CTCTCCAAAATCTTTCTTTGTCGTCCTCTGATCTTATTTTTATCTTTTTCCCTTTGTAACTAAAGGATAGGCCTTGGGGGAATTCCCACCTAAAAATGATTCCGTTGCTTCTCAACAGGGCGGCCAGATCTCTATAATTGGACCTAAGGTCCAGAAGATGTTTCGGAATGTCCTTAAATATCTCTACTTTTGACTGATGAATTTCCAAAGTCTTCTGGAAATGCAGACTCAATATTTTGTCTCTCTCCTCTTTTGTTCGGAGGGTGATCAAACAGTCTCTCACCCTGTTCTTCTTCCCTCCTCTTCCAAGCCTAAAAGCACTCACTATCTTGAAACCTTCCTTCTCCAAATCTAGGTCCCAAAAGTCTGCAAATTCCTGCATAAGAAAGTCAGTCAGATTGTCTTTCTCAAGTTCAGGTACGGCCCTGATCCTCAAATTCGTTTGCTTCTCCTTCAACTCAATCATAGACAATATTGACCTATGGTCTTCAAGTTGTTTGTGTATCGGTGGTATCTTCTCTTCTACAGCAGTTGCTATTTCCTTTGCCTCTTCAGCTGTCTTTCATGTCGAGGTAGATTCCTGTAGTAATTTCTGAATAGTTTCTGTGTTAGTATTTACCTTCTGTCCCAAATTGTTAATACTTGTGGTATTTTGGTCAATTTTACCCGATGCTTCGGCTACTTGTTTACTTATTCTTTCCAAAGATTTGTTAATTTTACCTAGTGCCTGAGCCAAAACATCTTCAGATGCCATTCCTTTGGGTTTAGGTTGTGCTGACGCAGCTCCTGTTGGTAATCCAGAAGGACCAGATGTTGACGCTCTTCGCTGCAGCCCAACGTCTGTACGAAATAATCTGCCAGACCTCGTTGTTTTTTCCTGTAGCAAATCTATCTTCTCCTTTCCATCTGCCATAACACTCTAGATAAGGCCCAAGGTCAATCCCACGATCATAATTTGTTTTGAAGTGGAAAATTCCCCTGACCCAGCTGTTATTGTAACAATTTCAAACTTCCTCTAGGGGGACACAGTAGCAGTCAGAAATTGTTGTCTTAAAATAATTAACCTTTTTTCCTATAGCCCCCCAATTCACAAAAAAGACGACAGTTTCAATCGCAATTGTTTTTCAGTTACTTTAAAACCAGGAGAAGCCAGCCAGAAATATTGTATCTTACTTGTATCTCAGTTGCAGAGTTAACTGTCAAAGAGTACTTTCAGCAACAGCGCATTCCACAGTACGGCATTCTTATTGTTCACTGGCAACCCGTTCCCAGGTTTTAAGCGGTGGATTTTAGTTTCCTTTTCTCTCTTTTTGCAGGGAAATACAGTTCAGACCTTTCCCCCCTCCTCCCCTGCAATCAAGGGGGAAAATCGCTTGTTTGATGTTAGAATTATAATCCTTTTCAAACGCCTTTCAAGGTTTCCGCTTACAAGTTCATTGCTTTACTCCATTTACAAAGAACGGAAGGCAGACTTCCTGTTTATGCCTCTCTGCTTCGGTGCCGAATTACTTCTTTGTTCCTTTGTTTCCCAAATTAGCCTACTCACGGATCGTTGTTTTGTAGCCAAATTGTCCCAGGAAAAAGGCAGCGCTCTCCGGTAACGGCTGTGCGGCTTCACTCCACGGAAGAAGCAGTTGACTCACAGCCCCGCGCCACTTCCCCGCTCCGCTCCGGAACCCGTAATCGGGCTCCTTTGCAAGTTGGGGGGGGCGCAAAAGGTGCCCGCCGAGTCCCACGGTCACAGGCTTCACCCGCCTGTGATTTTTGAAGGGTCCCTGCTTCGCCGTAGTGGTGCAGACCCGATTTCCACAGAGCCGGTCCCCTCTGAGTCAGAGGGAATCCGCCATTACCGATGGCGCCACCCCGGAAGTCCTCCAGCCTTGCAACTTCTCAAAACTCTTATATTTGCCAAATAATATAGTTCCATCTGCAGACAAAAGTAGACCAAAGTATCAGGACTGAATCCTACTTGTCACAGGATAGCTGTGAATAGGATATCCTGTGGTGTTTTTTGTTGTAAGAGTTAGTAATGGCACTAGAAGAGCTGATGTGGATTGAGACCCCAGTGCTGTGGAAGGGAGTATGGCTAATTGGTTAACCCTTTCCATGCTATTTCCCTCTGAGAACTGCCTGCATCCCTGCTGATGCTATTTATCTTCAAGGCAAACCCATACATATACGGTGGTAATACCCGTATGTGTTGCTCCACAAGGCAACTAGCTCTAGGGATGCAATTTGGCTTAGGACAAATGACATGGGGGAAGTATTGAGCCCCCACTCACGGTGCAGTATCAAAAACATTTACCCTTCCTGATCTTGAAGACAGCCACTCCATCCTAAACAGCTTTACCTTGGAAGTCTTATTGACTTTATTAGGCCTTCTAAGTAAGTGAACTGAGGATCACAGGCTCTTTGTGTATGTTATGTGTAGTAAGGGCTGATTCATATCATTCTTTTAAGGTGACTGAGAGAGATGCAGATCCTGCATATTGATGTTCCATGCCATAATGATAACACTTACATAGGTCATTCATGCATAAAATGGACAGGGTGGAAAGCCTTAATGAATCCCCATCCCTTTGCAAGCATATCTTCCACATGGTGACATTATAGTACACCTAGATCAGGGGTCAGCAACCTTTTTCATCCGTGGGCCGGTCCACCATCCCTCAGACCATATGGTGGGTTGGACTATATTTTGCGGGAGGAAATGAACGAATTCCTATGCCCCACAAATAACCCAGAGAAGCATTTTAAAGAAAAGGACACATTCTACTCACGTAAAAACACGCTGATTCCCGGACCGTCCATGGGCTGGATTAAGAAGGCGATTGGGCCGCATCCGGCCTGTGGGCCTTAGGTTGCCTACCCCTGTTCTAGATGGTGAGTGCTGCTGAAGGGAGCTAACACTGTTTAAGGGTAGAGAGAACTGCTAAAAGGCCCTTACGGCAACTGCAATATAGAGTATTATCTGAACAGTCTGTGCCACCAACTCTGTTGCCTGCCCATGGTTGTGAATTGCTCTGGTTTTGTAAGGATCATACAGACACTTTTTAGAATAATTTAAAAGACACACTCTGTTTCACCAGAGATGGTACCAGAAGAAAAACAAATTGTTCCCAGGCACAGATGGTGTATTAAGGTTTAGGCTACAAGGCATATGGGTTGCAGGAAAGAGCACTGGCTGAAGTATATAAAACCATCCATCATGAAAATAGCCAATGCATGTTTCCTTGTGCAAAGGTGGCCAGCTGGCCACTTGTAGTGTGAAAATGTGTATTGTATTGCATCTGATCAGACAAGCATCAAGACAGGCCTGACTTTCCTGTACTGCTCGGTATTACAAAAGCACTGATCCAAACTAACCCTGTTATCATGAGGTTAGGGTTAGAAATAAGTTGTTCTCCTAAGTGAATAATAGAATATATCACTTTGATGTTGTTTTGAATATAAAGCAAGTAGGACATTTTCTAAATAAATGAAACATGTTGTTTCAAAACAATCTCATTTCATAATAGTGAAACATTTATTTTATTAACATCCCAGATGACAAAACATGAAAAAATAAGGAAATTTAGTCTGTCATTAAATCGAAATAGGATTACAAACCGTCTCCCATGCTAGGGCTTGGATCAAGAGTATTAATGGGGTCAACTACCCATTTCCCTGGGCACTGCTTCGACTCACCCACCTTTGGCAATCTTCTGTAATGCACAACCAGAGCTTTGTATGTCATGGTAAGAAGAGAGGGTCAGACACCTATTTAGGGAAATAACCAAACACTGTGAAATGTCTGGTTATTTTTTTCATTGTCACCATGAAAACCTAAAACTCATTGGTTCTTCTAAGAGAGAGATACTCAACATAGTGTCCTCCATATGTTTTTGGACTATAACTCCAATCAATCCAGCCAACATAGATAATAGTAGGGGATAATGGGAATCATAGTTCTAAACATCTGGAGAGTATCACATTGGTTAACCCTATTACTTTTAGCCCAAGTCTCATTAGCTCTCTCCAGCTCTCCTTTGGTCTTTGAAGAAAGCAAGGGAGGTTCATAGTGCAATCTATCAAAAAAACCAAAACCCTACAATATTAACAATGTTACAACTTTTTCCTATACAAGAGTGGGAAAGCATACAAGTAGCAGATCAAAGATGAAGACATATATAATATTGAAACAAAAGTTGCATAGGTTTTTCACCCATGATATGATTTTAGCCTTTTCCTGGCTTCTACCAAAGCAAATATTGGATAAGCTCTCATTTTTTTTCTCCTATCTTGTGATTGAGGCAGTCTATGTACTATTTCTTTCTTCTTCATGTGTGTCTTGAAGCATTGTCCAATCAGCACCATATATAGCTGAATTTTGCTGCAAACCTATAGCCCAATTTCCTTCAGCATTCAACAATGGGGGAAAAATATGCATTTGAACTGAACACAATGAGCACGCTTCCAAATCAGCTGCACTATAAATAGGTCTCTCTTAAACCCCAATTTCAGAAAGGAAAGTAGGAGCAGGCACACATTCTAAATGAATTAATCCTATAAACTCAGTTGTGCACCATTTGGTGAATAGCACTGACGTGTTCTTTACATCTTGGAACAAATTTTCCTAGAAAAAGGGAGGGAAGCATCTCTTCCCAACAAGACCAAGAATGGAAAAGTGACTAGGAAGATGTCAAGTGAAGATAAAGTTAGTACTTGTCAGAATATTTTGTCTGGAAAACGAAAATGCCAGGAAACCTGTGTTGTTTACCCTCCTGCCAAAGCCAGATCTTTCACAAAGCAGAATCAATAAGTTCTTCTCAGCCTTCTTATTGTAAACCTGACATAGTTATACAAGTGTGAGTATCCTGGAGAGAGGAGAATATAGAATCCTTCCACCCCTGCCCTCAATTCTCCTCAGCAGGATGAAGTGAGGGAGAATATTCAGGATTCAAAATGGGCTGTTTATACTAAGTGCCTGGAAAGTGAATGCAAAGTGAAGTCCTTTTCTATCACGGTTTCTCTGGCTTCTCCACCTGCAAATCAATCACTTTCACGTTCCCTATGTCCTGGTAGGTGGCCTGTAGCCCCCGTGAAATGTCCTCGTACATAGAACAGTCATCCAGATTCAGTCCCTAGGAAAGGAAAACAAAAAAAGGTCAATCTCTGAAAGATACCGTATTTTTCGCTCTATAAGACGCACCAGACCACAAGACGCACCTAGTTTTTGGAGGAGGAAAACAAGAAAAAAAATATTCTGAATCTCAGAAGCCAGAACAGCAAGAGGGATTGCTGCGCAGCGAAAGCAGCAATCCCTCTTGCTGTTCTGGCTTCTGTGATAGCTGCACAGCCTGCATTCGCTCCATAAGATGCACACACATTTCCCCTTACTTTTTAGGAGGGAAAAAATGATCTTATAGAGCAAAAAATATGGTAAGTCTATAAGCATGAATACTGATATAAAATGACAAAAAGGGGTTCACTATTATTCTGAAGATGCATTGAGTTTTAGGGTGATAGCCAAGGTTAGTCTTATTCAGAGCAGACCCATTAAAAACAATGGACATTACAAACTTCGGTGCATTCATTTCAAAGGGTCTGCTCTGTGGGATGTGACATCACTGTAGCAGTCAAATACAACATTTCCAGTTTGCCCAGAGTGGACTCACGGGGATGATGTTCCAACCAGGAGGACTTCCTGTCACTAGGTATAACTTGATACAACCCTTTGGCTGCAACCCTGAACAAGTTTATTAGGAAGTAAATCCCACTAAGTAGGATATTGAGATTGAACTGAAGGGGGAGACGGCGCTCTTCTTTTTCCACAGGCCTCACCACAGGAAAGGGCGGAGTGGGTCTGGTTTTTTTTAGGATAATGGCAAAACATACTTTCACAGTAACATAATGAACTCATCTTGAGCAACAGGAAAATGTACATAAGCATATACAGTAAAATAAAATACATAAAAATAACAAATAGTAAAGCTTTTGACTACTTTCCTTCCTACTGGAATTAAAGCATTCTCATTTTTTAATTCACTGATCTTTGGCAGGGATCCTCACTCCTAAATCTGTAGGCAGTGCCTATACTTTGGAACTGCCTGCCTATTGAGATCAAGCGCATGACTTCACTAAACTCTTTTCAGCATCTGCTAAAAACATTCCTCTTTAGACAAGTCTGCCCAGAAGCTTAGAACTTTGAGGTGATTTAAATCTGTTTTAGCATTTTAACTTTTGTATGCTTTAAAGCAGGCTTCCTCAAACTCGGCCCTCCAGATGTTTTGAGACTACAATTCCCATCATCCCTGATTACTGGTCCTGCTAGCTAGGGATCAGGGGAGTTGTAGGCTAAAAACATCTGGAGGGCTAAGTTAAAGTCTGAGCCTGCTTTAAAGTCAGGTCGTAATTTTTTTTCTTGATTTCACTGTTTTATCTCTTTGTAAACCTCTTTGAGGTTTTGTTTTCTTCTTACAATCAAGCGGTGTATAAATTATATATATAATGCATGAATATGTTTCTTTGTCCGCTGTTAGATTATGTTGCTGCAGAATACTGGCTGGGCTTCCTATTTCTAGTATCATATGAATACACTGTGGTGTCCATCTCCTTCAGCTTTGGAATTTTCCCACATTCTGCTGCACAGAAGCATGGGCGTAGCCTGGATTTTTGTTAACATTTTTATTTATTGGGGGGGGGACAGCTGCCCCTCCCTTTCCCATGCCCATGCACAGAAGTCTCCCGGAATTACCTCATATATGTTCTCCTCTTCATAAGCCTTCTTCTTGGCTTGTAAAAGGCGCTCATTTTCCCATCTCTTCTGCAAAAAAAGACAAGCAAAACACTATGAAAACATCAGGGTAGGCATCATCGGGCCCTGCCAAAGCCTGCAGCCCAGTAGTAAGAGTGAGATAATGGAGACATATCCTCTATGTGCTTTTCCTCCAAATTGGAGATGGCACTACTTAGGATCTTTGCTTAGCTGCATCAGTTTTCAGTGCATTTTACATGCTTTTAGGCCACAAACTCAGGCCACACACAAACACCACACATTTAAAGCACTCTTCTGTCACTTTAAAAGCCATGGCTTCTCCCAAAGACTCCTGGGAACTGTAGTTAAGGGTGCCAAGAGTTGTTAGGAGACCCCTCACAGAGCTGCAATTCCCAACACTCTTAGCAAACTACAGTTACCAGGATTCTTTGAGGGAAGCCATGACTGTTAAAATGGTACAATAATGGCTTTTATTATTATTATTATTTTTAAGTATGTTGTGGATGTAACTTTAAACCAGTTTAACTGTCCTTCCCCCATTTCAGAGTTGGGCTTCTCTGAGGAAGCGAGAGGTGAGTTATAGCGAATTGTTCACTACCACTTCTTGCTAAATGACAATTACCAGTATTGAGAGGCTCATAATCTTGGTAGCCATTTACTGCTTAGATTTCATAGGTTCTCAATACGTTGGTCACAGTTAATGGTACCTAACGAGTTGATCACAGAAGAGCATAACAATTAAATCAATTTTAGTTTAAGGGCCATTTCATACAAACAAAAACTGGTCCTCAGCTGATCAGCACATGATAAAACTGAACACATGTTACGACATTCTGTCTGGCCATATGGAAAAGTAGTTGCATGAACTTTCTGTCATGCATGATTGGGGTGCATGGGTGAAAACTTACATCCTGGGCAGCTGTGTGTGACAGAGAAATAAACAGGCCACTTCACCAAATGCCCAGTTGTAATTCACACAGCATTTGTAGATGGACAATTCTAGCTTATATGGACTAGTCTTCAGTTAGCTGTATAGATATAACAACAGGTCTCAGATAAGTACCAGGGGCCACAGCATGGTCTAAGGGTGCATGACACAGCCATCATGTTCTTGTCAGTGCCTGGATGGGAACCTATCTGAGACCCCTCTGTGTGCTTCCTTAAGTTTCATGACAGTGGAGAAGTGGGATATCGATGTGATAAACACGTCACACAAGTCTTTTACTAAAGGAACACAGCAAACAGCATTTTGTATTTCAGAGCCATCCAATTATTGTTCTCAGACAATACCCTTGGTCCTTTGCTATAACTGACACATGTGATTCCAGTGAACTGCCATTTGGGGGAAAACCCTTGTATTAGGCTATTATCTAGATGCTGTGCCTGTTGCTGGTGCACATGCTGATAAAAGGACAGTTTGGCTCTTGGGGGTAGCAATTTACTCTTTAAAAATAGAAAAAAAGCAGAACAAGATCTGGTGACTGGAAACTGTAGGCTGACAGATTCATTTATGCACCATGCTCTCTCTGTCTGTGCATGCCTACAAAGACTAAGCAGAGGGAAATAACAGCTCACCCTGAAGAGCAAAAAAAGACCAGGACCAATGGCACAGATGAGTAGCAGGAAACCCTCAGCTGTGATGATCTTATTTTTGACGCCTTCTGTCATGTTCAGGAAAGAGGCTGGTCGAGGCCCTAGAAGACAGCAAGCAGGAGAGTGTTTGATCCAGAAACCCCACAGCATCCCTAACTATTTTATCACTCTCTTGCAATCCCAGGTAAAACTACAAGTATGCAAAGAAAAATATACACCCCAGGTATTATTGCATTAAGTATCTTTGTTTGTATTGATTTACTCTGCCTGCCTTGCCACGGGTGGTGCTGTGGGTTAAACCACAGAGCCTAGGGCTTGCCGATCAGAAGGTCGGCAGTTCGATCCCCTGCTCCTGTTGCTCGGTCCCTGCTCCTGCCAACCTAGCAGTTTGAAAGCACAAAGTGCAAGTAGATAAATAGGTACCGCTCTGGCAGGAAGGTAAACGGCATTTCTGTATGCTGCTCTGGTTTGCCAGAAGTGGCTTAGTCATGCTGGCCACATGACCCGGAAGCTGTATGCAGGCTCCCTCAGCCAATAAAGCGAGATGAGCGCCGCAACCCCAGAGTTGTCCATGACTGGACCTAATGGTCAGGGGTCCCTTTATCTTTACCTTACTCTGCCTGCCCTGCCACCTCTGCCACTGACAGAGAAGTGGCACTGGCACTGGCACCGATTTTGGGCAAGTACTCGCTATGAAATTGGCACCAATGCCAGCGCTGCTTCTCCACAATGGTTCTGTTTGTACATTACAGGGCTAAACCTACTCTCCAGATTTCTCCTTAAGATACTTTTTTTGGTGGGGGCTTCTGTGCCCCTTCACATTCTGCAGAAAACATTTCCCCATTTTGAAGCTTCAGGTTAAATGTTGTGTTGTGCGGACTGACAATACGTCATTTCACAGGCCAGTGGTAATTTCAGAAAGGAAATGAAAGTTCTTATTGACAAAACAAGGTTGTGGAGCATATTTACAAAAACCCTGATCAAGATACTGTCTGGCAGAAGTATGAATTCTGCTCTGACTTATAACTCACTGGGTGTTTGGGAGCAACGCTAGTTGTAACACCTTGTTTACTTCTCAATGAAACCTACCTAACAAAGTTGTAGAAATGATAAAATGTGGTTGGGGCTCCTTGGAGGAAACCAGGAAGATAAACAATATCAATATTCTCATAACCCAAAACTCACCTGTATCAGTTCCTATTTCCTCTGAGCTTCTCCCTGGCACTACTCTAGCTACACTCCCATCTCTCTGGAAGAACCATCAACTTTAAGAATTCCATGCAGGAATCCTGTATAGATATTACCAGCCTGGCTTAGGTCTCTAGAAAATCCCCAGTCTGAAAAACTAAGCTGCTTCACTATAACCCATGAGTGCAGCTACTCAGAGCACACCCACTGAAATGAATGGGGATGACTAACTGCCCTGTTTAGGGAAGCTTTTAATGTTTGATGTATTATAGTATTTTAATATTTTTTTGGAAGCCACCCAGAGTGGCTGGGGAAGCCCAGCCAGATGGGCGGGGTATAAATAAATTATTATTATTATTATTATTATTATTATTATTATTATTATTAGTCCATTAATTTCATTTAGACTATTCTGTGTAGAACTTAGTTAAATACAACCCCACGTTCTTTTCCTTCTACATCTGGCACCAGGTATATATCTATTTAACCAAGTGGTAACTTTGCAAGTGGTTAACTTGAATTCCCCCTGCCAGGTGATGAAGAAAATCCAAACACATCTAAGCAGAAATCTGGGAAAGCAGGGAAATAATCATATTGTCTTCACCATTTGGCAGGCTACAGCAGAGTAGAAGAGAAAAAATGCACCTCTCTGAATTCTGCAATGTCGTTTTCCAGCCAAGCAGTGTTTTAAAAATGCATCTACTAAGATAACATGCACATAAGAATGCTTGTATAATGACAAAGATGCAGTATACTCCAGAAAATTGCTTTGCAAAAATGGGGAAACTGTACGTAAAAAGGTGTCTATTGGAAGAAAATTGCACCAAAACACTGGTGAAATTCATGAGGCCTTTTTCTAAAATGTGGAAATGGGGAGGGCAGAACTTAAAGACTAGAAAAAATAAGAAACTGAAACTTATATTGGCCCATGTTGAGAAGCTATCAAGTGTCACCTGGCAGCAGCTGTTTAATCAGAAGGTGGAAGAGAAGACTCCATCAACACAGCTGAGAGACTGGCATTTCTTGGTTTCTCCTCTCTCTGAAGTTTTCTACCACAGCAGGAACTAAGAACTCCTGTCTTGAGTGCTAGTTTCCTCCTCCTGCCTCATCCATTTGCCTTTTGTGTCATCCTTGATGCCTTCCTTTCCATGGAGGCACAGGTTGCAGCAACATTTTTCCACCTTCGTTGTATCAAGCAGTTGGTCCCTTACCTTTCCCACCCTGACCTGGCCACAGTGATCCATGCGACGGTCACCTCCAGGCTTGACTACTGTAACTCGCTCTATGCGGGGCTGCCCTTGAAACTGTCCCAGAAACTCCAGCGGGTGCAGAATGCTGCAGTGAGGCTCCTCAAAGGGTCTCTGCCATGGGAGCATATTCACCCAGTGCTTTACCAGTTGCACTGGCTCCCAGTGGAGTATCGGGTCAGGTTTAGGGTGCTGGTTTTGATCTTTAAAGCCCTATGTGGCCTAGGACCCTTATACTTACGGGACCGCCTCTCCTGGTATGCCTGGTAAAGTCCATGAATAATAATAGCTTAAAGGTCCCAGGCCCTAAGGAAGCCAGACTATCCTCCACCAGGGCCAGGGCTTTTTCAGTGATGGTTCCGACCTGGTGGAATGCTCTGTCCCACGAGACTAGGGCCCTGCAGGACTTGATCTCCTTCTGCAGGGTCTGTAAGACAGAGCTATTCCACCTGGCCTTAAATTTGAATTAGCCTGATCCTCTGTTCCCTTTTCCCTTTTCTCTTCTATGAAGAAACCCTTTCGGGGACCCCACATTTAAATGTTTCACTGGCCTCCTTCCTGGCCCTAGTAGGACCAACTTGGCCAGTTAGCCCTGGTGATCATTTGATGTCTACTGACTGGGGTTTCCCCCCCTTCCCAAAATGACCCCTGAATTTTTGAATTTTATTGATATTGATGCTGCATTTTTATGTTGTATTTTATGCTGTTTTAAAGTCGCATTTTAATCAATGTTTTATATTTGCTGTTCTCTGCCCTGAGCCCGGTTTTTAAACCGGGAAGGGCAGGGTATAAATAAATTATTATTATTATTATTATTATTATTATTATTATTATTATTACATCTAAATTATAACCCTGAGGGCAGGAGCTGTCTTGTTTCTATTGCTCTGGAAGCCTTTTTCATCCGAATGCATGCACACATTGCACACCCAACATAGAAAATTACCACTTGAGAAAATGATGACCAGCATTTAATCTGCCATCACTTACAGGGGGAAGGGGGATAACTCCCTAACATTGTAACAACCACAACTTGTTGTTTTGCTGGCTCTAGACCACTGGCTTTCAACTGGTGGGTTGAGAAAAGATCAGAGATGGACCATGGCAGTAACACCATACAAATAGATGGTAGAAAAATAAATAAATAAGAAATGGGTCTTTTGACTTAAAGGTGGGCCCTGAAGTCTGCTGCTCTACCAGGGTTTCCCAAATTTGGGTCTCCAGCTGCTGTTGGGCTACAACTCCCATCATCCCTAGCTAGCAGGGCCAGTGGTCAGGGATGATGGGAATTGTAGTCCAAAAACACCTGGAGACCCAAGTTTGGGAAACGCTGCTGTAGACAATGGGGAACAGCCGTAGCTCAGTGTAGGACATCTGCCTCTCTGGCCTTTCCATGTAGGGCTGAGATAGATTTCCTGCCTAATTAAAACCCTGCAATTGACTCTGCCAGTTTGCCAGCACTGTCCTCCTCCTCCTCCTCCTCTTCCGCTTCAACCTGATCATGTCTTTCTGGACTGTCTGATCTTAAGCTTTTGATATTTTCCAAATGGTGATTTGAAGGAAGGTGGTCAGGAAATGGCCAAAGAACAATATTATGACTATTAATACAATATCAGAGTTGAAACTTCTTTGGGGGGGGGGGAGGGATGTGCCAAGAAACTTCTCGTATCTGATGCATTCTAGCAAACATTTGAATTCATCATCTCCTAACCAGCCCCCTTCCCTCCAACTCTCCCAAATCTAGGTGCTGAAGGATTTTTAAAGGACAGCATTAAGATGTGTAGCTATTGAACACAGCAAATTATAGTTTTCACTACTTCCTCAAGACTCTTATCAGCAAGACTTAAAGTTTTCATTTTTAAAAAGACCACCCCACCAGTACTAATATTAATACCAATACTTAAAATTTATGTATACCCCACCTTTTTCCCTGATGGGACTCAAGCTGGCTCTCAAAGAAATATCTCTCAACCCAAGACTGCAATCTTACGTAATTCAGAGGAAGCTCATTGAACACAGTGGTCCTTACGCCCAAGTCGCTACTCACAGGTTTCAATAGTAAGATTTGTTTTATTTATCTAGTTTCCATAATCCTATTATTTCACCATGGAGCTCTGAGTTGAGTATGCAGGGCCTGTATCTCATTTTATCCTTACATCTACAAGTTAGATTACACTGAAAAGACAGAGACTTGCCAAAAGAAGTTATCACTCATCAGGGTATTGAAACCCCAGTCCAAGTCTTGCATCGTCAATGGTTTTCCAAGTGTCAGGATTCAGAATCAGATATAAAACAACATTTCAAGGCCAATGTTGAAAATTAAACATAAAACAACAGTGAATATCTTGAGATATTTCTGATTTTCAGATTGTATTTATTTCAGATCTATAATGAGATAAATTTTATTTTTGCAAAGTAGCTCCTAGAAAAGTTTTAGAGTTTAGAATTTAGTCATCTTATACTCTCTTCTGATATGCATTGGCCAATTACAAATTATTTTTCTTAAGGCATTTTTTTAAAAAAACACACACACAAGCAAACCCCAAACTAACAGCCTATACACCCTTCCCTCAGCTTGCCTGCTGATCCCAACACAGCTTTTGTGTGTGTGTGTGTGTCTGTGTGTGTGTGTGTGTGTGTGTGTGTGTGTAGAAATCCCATTGGCACCAATGGGCACTTTCCCCCTAAGTCTAATTGTTGCCCATTTTTGGTGGTGGTGGTGGGGGAGCAATTTTAGTTAGGATCACAGAATACAGGGAGTCATCTCTGCTTTCTCCAGCCAAAGTTCCAATGAGAATTGCACCCCCCCCCCAAGGCATGGCAATAAGCATTGTGTGTGTGGGGGGGGCGGTTCTCTCACTAACTACTAAGCCTAATTGCCACACAAGCGGAGGTGTGTGGGTATTTTTGGTCATGATTAAGTGTGCCATTGTTAAGTTGTGGGTGAACATATCAGATGACACAGCAATTCTTCAAACACCTCTTGTTTATTCGCAGGCCAGAACAGAACTGACTGAAGGGTTCAGCCAGCCTGCTTATGTAGAGCTCCACTACAAAGTAACAGTAACAACATTCTGTAACTATCCAATCACTGAACGTCACTTTCTATTCCTTATTTGCATATGTGGACCTGAGTGAAAACTATCTACAGTATCCCCCTGCTGGCCCAGGGTGAGAACTTCAGTACATAACAGCCATGACTAATAATAATAACAATAATAATAATAATAATATATTATTTATACCCCGCCCATCTGGTTGAGTTTCCCCAGCCACTCTGGGTGGCTCCCAATCGAGTGTTAAAAACAATACAGCATACCCAAAGACTTACCCACCCCAGCTTTACAGATACCACCCCAACCCTATGGAGTCACAAGGTTCATACTCACTCCGGACCCAGAGGTACGTGCCACAAGACTGGCGTTGGCCGGCCGATGGAGCAGACACACAGCAATAGTACATGGCTGTGTCTTCCCTTTGGACTGAATGGAAGCTGAGCGTTGACAACCCTTGAGAAATGTCTTCCGTGATCTTCCGGCTGTCAGTCTCATTGACAGCAAAGCTTTCACTGCAGTTGGAGGAGCAAGTCTTTTTCCAAATGACTTTGGCCCCTTTGGGGGCCTTGAACTTGCACTCTAGAGTGGCAGAAGACCCTTCGGTGGTTATGTAAGAGGGGCGTCCAGGCTCCACCGTCATGGACACATAGCCCACTGGTGTAGGCAGGGGGGCTGTTTTGGGGCGTTTTTTCTCAGTCGTAGGAGGCAGAGTGGCTTCTGTTGTTCCAGAGCTGCTGGCATTTAGTGTGTCTGATGGTGAAATGGACTTGTCAACTGTGGTCTGGTTCTCACAAGCATAACCTGGAGAAGGGAGAAGGGAGAAGAAGTTTTGATGTCTACAAGTTGTAGAAAGAGCCGTCTTCTTTTCTTTCTTTTTATGTGGAAATCTCCCTTTGTTTTATTTAGGGCAGTGGTTTTCAACCAGTGTGCTATGGTAGCCTGGGTCAGGTGTGCCATAGACAATACTGGCCTCCATCCCCCTTCCTTCCTTCCTTCCTTCCTTCCTTCCTTCCTTCCTTCCCTCCCTCCCTCCCTCCCTCCCATCTCTGAAATATTTCAGAAGTTTTAAAGGCCTGGGATATTTATCTTTTTAGAGTCTTTGCATAGCACCTATAGGATCAACTGGAAAAGGAGTTCCACAAATGGGCTGTCACTATCAAAAATGCTCTCACTCCATTTACTATTATTTTTTATTAAAATTTGTGTACTGGCCTTTCATCCACAGATCTCTGGGATCTTTTCTATGAAGACAGAAGAGCACAGATGAGGATGTAAACAAATGTTGTTAACGTATGGGCAGATACTGAAGTCATAAGTCAAAAAGGATTTTATTAGATGAGTAGCAGTGGCTTGAAAAGAGTTTGCAAACAGAACAAAAGAAAGCTAGTTCCAACATTCCTTAAGCCGTAAGAGCCATATTCTCAGGCCTACTTATTTAAAATACAACAAAATGGTGTATCTGGGAATTCAATCCCTCTTTCCAACATCTTTGAAGACTTAGCTACAAGTGCGGTTGGAAATATGTCAAGAGACCATCGGCTCACCAAACATTTGGGTTACCCTCCTCCTGCCCCAAGACAGAGAGAAAATGAGAATGTGTGCACACACTTTACTTTTCCAAATGGCCTGGGTAAAGGTCTGATCTAGTAGAATTAAATTTGCTAACAACAATAATTTTCCCAGTAGTGATGTATGGAAGTGAGAGCTGGACCATAAAGAAGGCTGGTCACCAAAGAATTGATGCTTTTGAATTCTGGTGCTGAAGGAGACTCTTGAGAGTCCCATGGACTGCAAGAAGATCAAACCTCTCCATTCTGAAGGAAATCAGCCCTGAGTGCTCACTGGAAGGGCAGATCCTGAAGCTGAGACTCCAGTACTTTGGCCACCTCATGAGAAGAGAAGACTCTCTGGAAAAGACCCTGATGTTGGGAAAGATGGAGGGCACAAGGAGAAGGGGACGACAGAGGACAAGATGGTTGGACAGTGTTCTTGAAGCTACTAACATGAGTTTGACCTAACTGTGGGAGGCAGTGAAAGACAGGAGTGCCTGGTGTGCTCTGGCCCATGGGGTCACGAAGAGTCGGACATGACTAAACAACTAAACAACAACAATAATAATAGTAGTAATAATATATTACTTGTTGCTCCAGCCACATTAGTTGTGGTACCCCACCTAACACTCTATTAAATTAAAACTTACGCTGCACAGTAAAAATCTCAGATCTGCTTATTGTCACCATGAAAACATTGATCCCGATGAATCCTCTTTATTTTTTCATAGGATGTCAACAAAACCACAAACCAATCATAGAATACATCTGTGGACACAGAGCTGACCTGGAACCAGGAGTGAAAGACCTTTTGGCCCACCAGATGCTTGTTGGACTCCAACTCCCATCAGCCCCTGCTAGCATGGCCAATGGTCAGGGATGATGGGAGTTGTGGTCTAGTGGAAGCAGGGATGGCCAAAGGTTCCCCAGCCCTGACCTAGACAAACCAGTGTTTGGTCTCAAAGTAAGGCAGTTCCTAGCTGCTAGCTTTGAACAGTCTTGATTAAATACATGCCACCATAAGTCATGGTTTATTTTTATTGATTGATGGAGATGGATACCTCTCACTACAGAGGGCATTCCATAAATGGGGAACCACCACTGAAAAGATCCTGCCACAAGTTGATTGTGAACTAACAGTGTGTTCAGGTAAATGCAGCCATAGGACCAGAACTAAGAGACACACATCTTTCCAGCATATGTGGGGGGGCTTGTAAAAAAGAGTTCCGGTTTCGGACTGTGATCTTTTCAGAAATTACTAAAATGACTGGACAGCAGTCATTAGTCCTGTTAAACATGTTTCAGAACAATGGGGATTGTCACTTAAAACCTCGAATTGGCTATCTTCTTGCAGCTGCCCAGCCAGCTGTTGCTCAATATTGGAAGAACCTCCTAAAGGATGCCGTGTTAGCTAACTGGTATAGCTAAGGTAAAGGTAAAGGACCCCATGATGGTTAAGTCCAGTCAAGGGCGAGTATGGGGCTGGGGCGCTAATCTCACTTTCAGGCTGAGGGAGCCTGCTTTTGTCCACAGACAGTTTTCCGAGTCATGTGGCCAACATGATTAAACCACTTCTGGCGCAACGGAACACCGTGATAGAAACCAGAGCGCACGGAAACGCCGTTTACCTTCCCACCACAGCGGTACCTATTTATATACTTGCACTGGCGTGCTTTTGAACTGCTAAGTTGGCAGGAGCTGGGACAGAGCAACGGGAGCTCACTTCATCCCGGAGATTCGAACCGCCAACCTTCTGATCAGCAAACCCAAGAGGCTCAGTTATAAGATGGTTTGGCCAGGTGCTTGGGTGGAAAAATTAATTTAAAATCTATGTTCGGCTAAAGGAATGAAATTTAAAGATCCATTTAAGTCAGATTGACACTGTTTTGTTTCTTATGCAAGCAAAGATGGACTACAAAGACATATCCCAGCAGCATACAAAACTTAACGGTTGCTTTGAACATTGTGGGCTTGAATTTTGGTACTTCTTGATGGGTTGTACTGACCAGTTAGTGTTTCTGTTTTGTTCTGTTTATTTTACTTTAGACTCCCCTTGTCTCCTGTATGAGATGAGGAATGGATTGTTCTGTACAGTACTTTTAAAATAGTGTTAATAATAAGAAAAAGAAAAAAGAAAAAAAACTGCTAAGGGCTGGTTTCAGTGTATCTGAAGAAGTGTGCATGCACATGAAAGCTTATACCCAGAACAAACTTAGTTTGTCTCTAAGGTGCTACTGGAGATAGATAGATAGATGATAGATAGATGATAGATAGATAGATAGATAGATAGATAGATGAAAGATATTGTGTCAGATCAACACGGCTACCTACCTGATGCTAAGGGCTGTCATTGAATCATTATGAGTTTGTGCAGAATTTGCTCATTTTTGCCTTATTTATATGGGATTGCATTTTTGATTGTAATGTTTGCTAATTTTTAATTATTATCATTATCATCATCATCATCATTATTATGAGCTGATTTGAACTCAACATTGTTACCAGAAAAGCAGAATACACATATTAATGCAATCTTTAATTTAATGGTGGTTACATGAAGGACACCATGTAAAATCTATTATAATTTTAGCAGATCAGACTTTTGCCCGGACATCGTGGAAAAGCAGAGAGTGGCCTGTCACTGACAGGAAAATGCCCCCTGTGTTTTTACAGAAGCCTAGTTATTTAGCAGGCGACTATTTTCCTGATGTGAAGTGGTCACCTGCTGAATTTCTTGCATGGCATCCAAGCTACTGGGTTTGTTAAGAACAAAAATGGGGGGGGCACGTAACCACCCACCCCCATTTTGAATTGCCGTTCCAGTAACAAGCTGTGTAATTTTCTCTCCCCCGTTCCTTCCCTTTCACTGAACCACATCTCCACTTCATGATGACACCCCCTCCCCGGCCATCTCTCAAGGGGTACCATGCTGGTTTTAGTTCCCTTTTCCTGCCCCTGTTGACAGGAAACAGAAGATAAGTTTTTTTAAATTTTATTTTCAAAAAGGGAACTTTGCAGGTAAGTGGGCCTTGTAGGGTGGGGTGGAACCTTACATGACAGGCTCTTCCTCTCCTGGGGACCGTTCTAAAATAGGCTGTGGTTACCTCTGGGTCTAGCAGAGTCTGACAAAAAATGGGCAGGAGGTTTGTAGGACAGGTGAGTATACAAAAAGCTGCTAGCCCACGAAAAGGAGTTAGGAACATACACATATCCTCCAACATTTCCCTGATGAAAATAGGGAAAGCAGAGACATCACCTTGCCAACAAAGGTTGTTGTTGTTGTTTAGTCGTTTAGTCGTGTCCGACTCTTCGTGACCCCATGGACCAGAGCACGCCAGGCACTCCTGTTTTCCACTGCCTCCCGCAGTTTGGTCAGACTCATGTTTGTAGCTTCGAGAACACAGTCCAACCATCTCGTCCTCTGTCGTCCCCTTCTCCTTGTGCCCTCTATCTTTCCCAACATCAGGGTCTTTTCCAGGGAGTCGTCTCTTCTCATGAGGTGGCCAAAGTATTGGAGCCTCAGCTTCATGATCTGTCCTTCCAGTGAGCACTCAGGGCTGATTTCCTTAAGAATGGATACGTTGATCTACTGCCAACAAAGGTCCGTATAGTTAAAGCTATGGTTTTCCCAGTAGTGATGTATGGAAGTGAGAGCTGGACCATCAAGAAGGCTGATTGCCGAAGAATTTATGCTTTTGAATTCTGGTGCTGGAGGAGACTCTTGAGAGTCCCATGGACTGCAAGAAGATCAAACCTATCCATTCTGAAGGAAATCAGCCCTGGGTGCTCACTGGAAGGACAGATTGTGAAGCTGAGGCTCCCATACTTTGGCCACCTCATGAGAAGAGAAGACTCCCTGGAAAAGACCCTGATGCTGGGAAAGATTGAGGGCACAAGGAGAAGGGGATGACGGAGGACGAGATGGTTGGACACTGTTCTCGAAGCTACCAGCATGAGTTTGACCAAACTGCGGGAGGCAGTGGAAGACAGGAGTGCCTGGAGTGCTCTGGTCCATGGGGTCACAAAGAGTCAGACACGACTAAACTAAACAACAACAACAAGGAAAAGCGGGGCATTCCAGGATCAAGTCAGAAAATGGGGCGGCTTCTGAAAATCCAGGACTACCCCCTGAAAAATAGGAACAGTTGGAGGGTCTGTATACATTGAAAGCACTATTGTACCACAGTCATGGCTCTCCACAATGAATTCCGGGATCTGCAGTTTCTTAAGGGTGATAAGAATTGTTAGGAGGCCCCTAGTCCTCTCACAGAGCTACAGAATTGTAGATCTGGGAGGGGAATGGCACCCTTATCTCATGACAGCTCCCAGAATTCTTTGGGGGAAGCCATGACTGTTTAAAGTGGTATCGCAGTGTTTTCAATGTCTGGTGTGAATGGGGGTCAGGTCAGACCATTAGTCTACATAGCTCAGTTTTGTCTCACATGTGTGGGGAACCTTTGGCTATTGGCTGTGCTGGCTGGGGATGATGGGCATTGAGATTCAGTAACACCTGGAAGACTCCAGACTTCTGGTTTGCAATGACAGGCAGTGGCTCCTGAGGATTTGAGACAGGGGCTCTCTCTCTTGGACAGCTTTTAAAAGAGGAATAGACAGGGAGAAGGCTGTCTACAGCTACCAACCTAGATGGCTATGCCTTGCCTCCACTGTCTGGAAACTGTAGAAAAGGGAGTGTGTTGTCTGGCTCAAGTCTCACTTATAGGCTTCCCATGGGCAGCTGGTTAGCGATTGCATAGCTGTCAACATTTCCTTTTTTTAAAGGGAAATTCCCTTATTCCGAATAGGATTCCTCGCAAGAAAAGGGAAAAGTTGACAGCTATGCGATTGTGAGAACAGGATGCTAGCAGACACACTATTGGCGTGACACAGCCGGCTCTTCTTACCCACTTACCTAGGAGCAAGCCCCATTGAACTTAATAGGGCTTACCGATGAGTAGGCATGCGTAAGATTGTTATTCAAGTTATTCATTTCCCCACTCCAGCTACAGTACTTTAATTTGAGCCTACTTGACCCTGATGGTGGTACAAGGCAACGGAACAATGGATCCCTTTATTGATGGAAAATACCACAAGTGACACTGGTGAATATACCAAATGTCAGTTGATTAAAAGTGTTTCAAAACAAAGAACACCACCCTATTCTATGAATAAGGGACCCTCTATCCTAAGAAAACATGGTAGGTTATAGTTAAGGTTGTCAGCTGACTAAAACCTATTTTGCTGGTTGCTCCTCTTTTAAGGTTTTCTTTAATTAAATTTTTAATTAAAAAATTGTCCAGTAGCACCTTAGAGACCAACTAAGTTTGTTCTGGATATAAGCTTTCATGTGCATGCAGACCCAGAACAACTTAGTTGGTTTCTAAGGTGCTACTGGACAATTTTTTTTTTATTTCGACTGCGTCAGACCGACATGACTACCTACCTAAATTTTTAATCTTTAAATTTAATTTATTTTTAAATTTACAGCCTCACTACTAAAATTGGCCTCCGATGAAAGTTTGCTCTGTAACCTATGGCACCATCAGGTTCAAGGCAGGGCCTTTTCAGTGGTGGTTCCCCATTTGAGGAGTGACCTCTCTGGTGAGGTACATTTCTCTCCCTCATTATAAACATTTGAGGTGGATCTTAAAACATTCCTCTTTGCCTAGGGTTGCTGTTGTTTTGGTGAAGTATTTTTATTGCTTTTAAACAAAAGCAGAAAATCATTGCAGGCAATGGCAAGTGTAAAAACATTATTGGTTCACCCAGATATTTGATGGCTGAAAGGGACTGTTCCCAGCAACCCTGGAAATTATTAGCTGTGATTGTTTTGAAATGTTTTTGGATGTTCTTAAGGTGCTTAGGTATAATTAATATTTATGAATGCTTTTCTTTATTTTATTTTTTAAAGCCTTATTGTCTTCCGCCTTGAACTCCTTTGGAAGGAACGGCAGGATAGACATTTAAAAAGAAAATGCCTCTTCTAAATTCAGCCACAGAGCTCACATTTTATGCCGCAACTCTGTACCCCACAGCTAGCCAATGTGGTTGCCTCCAGGTGATGTTGGACATCTAACAGCCAGGGACCCTAAACATCTATATGGCTGCCTATCCCTGCTATACACAGCTAATGAACTCAATGGGGCTTCTGAGTAGGGATGGGGGGGAGGATTGAATTCAATTTGCACTTTAAGGCAAACTTACCTAATTCACACTTTCAGAAACAATATGCAAACCGAAACAGCCAGCCTTCAAAATTCACACCTCTCTGAATGTTGCAGTGCAGCTCTGCAGCTAAGCAATGTGTACAAAAATGCATGCAAAGTGTGCATAAAAATGCACACATTACTGAAAATAGCATGTAAAATACATTATCTTTGTGAAAATAGCTTTGCAAAAAATGTGTATACGAGGCAAAATTGCCTACAAAAATACATACGATAGGAGAAATTTGCACTAAAACACTGGTTAACTTTCATGAGGTCTGGTGAATTTTCATGTAGAGAACCGAACTGAAGACAGGAAAAATGAGAAACAAAACTGCCCCTCTCTACTTCTGAGTAAAACATGCAGAAGGATGCACTGTCTAATCCTTCAGAATTACAGATACCTTTAGTGCCCATGACCTCTGCTTTGAACAGCAGCCTGGCACAAATGAATCAGGTGATTTTCCTGCACTTCTGGAAATGTACACAATTCACCTGTCAAACTGCTGCATATCAGACTGCTACCAAAGCCCTGTGCAATGCTATTGCCCTTCCTATGCCAGCCCAGTTCTAAAGATCTCCAAACCTGTTAAGAACCGCCAGCCCAAAAGGTCTCCAGTTAGTGCTTACCTGTAAAGAGACTCAGTAGAACCAGGAAACACAGCTGTTTTGGACCACCTTTCATCCTGCCACTCGGAGCTACTTGTTCTTAGCCACGGCGGTCCTAGACTTGCATACAACTTGCGGCTGAGTCTGATGGACTTGGCGTTGTTTTTGCTCGCAGGCTTCTTTTCCCCAACCCTCCTTTCAGCAGACACCAGGAGATGCGGCTGGTTGCTTCGTAGCTCCACCCAACTAAACTTATGAGGGCTTCCCTCCCCCCCTCCTTTTATTTTCTGGCTGTGCACTGAAGCTTCAGTTTTCACTAGAAATGTATTTTTAATTCGGAGGGTGTAGCAGAGTGTCTTGTGATTCTGAGGAGTGCAGAGGCGATGGTTTATTGGTGCCCCTCTGCTTCTGTAAGGGCATCAGAACACAAGAAGAACAAATCTAACTGGGGTTGGCTACCCTTTGCATTGGAGGGGATGTAACAAAAAAGAAATGTATTGGCACATGTGGTGGTCATGTAAACATGTACAGTCATACCTTGGGTTACAGATGTTTCGGGTTGCGCGATTTCGGGTTGCGCACTGTGCCGAACCCAGAAGTACCGGAACGGGTTACTTCCGGGCTTCGGCACTTGCGCATGCGCAGAAGTGCTAAATCGTGCTTTGTGCATGCACGGAATCGCCATCCTCATGTGCACAGACGCGCAGGTCACGAGTTGCGAACGCTGCAGATTGCGAACGTGCCTCCCGTGTACATAAATCTTGGGAAGAGGTGATGAGGGTTATTTCTGAACAATAGGTGTAGACCAGTGCCTTTATACCACAGATCGTGCCTTTTATCAATTTTTGATACGTCAAATACAGACTGCTTATAACTTTTCTGTTAGTAGCTGCTCGAAGGAGCCCACAAGTTTTAGTTTAAATATTCTGTTTAATAAAGGAATGTTTATCCTTCTTCCTGAAAAAATTGACTCATAAATGAAGGATATCTTAGCGGCAGCTAAACCTATGGACTTTGCTGCCATTTGTTATTTATATGACAAGTATATCATGACTGGCAAGTCCCAATGAAATATAGCTTTATCTGGTATTCATTTGCTTAATATCAGGACAGTTTTTGTTTTAATATCTAATTTATTGTGTACCCTCTTGGGCATATACTTTATGTGCCGATGGCTGTGAACCCAGGTGTGGTTTTTCTGGTCTTGTATAGTTTTTGTTTTCCCCCTTGCTGTTATTTTGTTGTACTTTCTATCTCTTCCTGGACTGTTATTTTTATTTCATGGTAAAGTTTTGACTTTTTTTAATGACCTCTACATTCTTGTATACTACAGCAGTGGTACCCAAACTATGGTCCACAGACCGCCAATCCTCCATGAGCTTCAGCCAGATGGCACGTCCATTGTACTGAATAATTACGGTATATTTCTATTGCTGCTTTTGTGCTTTCTGTTGTATTTTGCCACATAACAATATGAATACTATAAAACTCAAATTTTAATACAATAAAATACGGTATATAAGAAAAAAAACCAAAGCAATACGGATATAATTAAAATATATAGAGCATCTAGCACAGCACATTATTACAGCTACAGCAGGAAGAAATATCATTAACCCTTAGCAGTTTTTAAGTAGTCCAGGGGAGGGCAGGGGGAAGCTTGGGAACCCCTGGGTTAGAGGCAAGACACAGAGGCTGGACTCTTTTTGAAAGCTGAAATATGAAACACAGCACTTTTGGCAATCTATGCTAGCAACGATTTTAAAGGGCACACCCCAAAGAGACAAAATAGAAACCCGAATTTACCAGTTTAAAGGGAAACAGCGGAAGCCATATTCATGACAGTGGCAAAACTAAATAATTAACAGCCTGCCTGTTTTAATTTGTTTCCAATCTCCACCTGCTAAAAATCCTAAAAATACATTAGACAAGAGGGCTACTTCAGGGTTCCTTCCAACTCTACAATTCTATGATTATATGACAAAGTTAGCTCCATTAATTTCAATGGGACTATTCTATGTAAAGCTTAGTTTGACACAACCTTTAGGGGTTATCCCCTCACTGCCACCACGACTACACAAAAGAACTTCCCCTTGTACAACTGCCCATACAGATCGTTCCTTTATATCAGCAGTAGGAAGCCTTAGGCTTATCTTGCCAACCTGTCTGGCCCACAAGACCAATTTGGCCAAGCCACACCCACCTGGTGTCAGGTGTAGGGCAGGTAAGAAGAAGAGTTTGGATTTGATATCCCGCTTTATCACTACCCGAAGGAGTCTCAAAGCGGCTAACATTCTCCTTTCCCTTCCTCCCCCACAACAAACACTCTGTGAGGTGAGTGGGGCTGAGAGACTTCAGAGAAGTGTGACTGGCCCAAGGTCACCCAGCAGCTGCAGGTGGAGGAGCAGGGAATCGAACCCGGTTCACCAGATTATGAGTATACTGCTCTTAACCACTACACCACATTGGTAAAGGCAGGGCTCTGCTGAAAAGGAGTTTTCAGACAATGCTGTTCAGCTGAGTTCTGGGAATCAGCCTACTATCAGATCCTGCAAAGTGTCGTGCACAGGACTTTGTGAACTTTGACAATCATCTGGCTGTTGAACTTTGACAATCATCTGGGATACAGTGCCCGGGGCTTTGAGAGACCCAACGATCAGATGATTGTTGCCGCTTTCTGAGTTGCTCCTTTGGCCTGCTTGGTTTGATTGCAAGCAGCACAGATAAAAATAGATCATCTGATGTCAGCGTGATGCCAGGCAATTGACAGGTGGGTGGCTCACCGTGTTAACAATTTGGCTGCCAGATGAATCCACTCCCCACCACCACCACCTTGCCAACTCTAGTAACACTTGAAAAATTTGCAGGCCTGATAAGTATATTTGAATGTGAAGTTCAAGGTTCCCTTTTTGCCTCTTCCAGCCTTTGCCACACATTTCCTCTCCTTTCTGTAGATGGGGTGTGTGTGTGTGTGTGTGTGTGGTAAAATAATGCAAATATCATGCAGACAACTAAACTGGGTTACTAAATTCATCTTGTCAGAAGAACAAGGGGGAGGGGAGGGTACCTACGACTGCAACATGGCAAGAAGCAACACAGGAGTCCTTGTGTATCGCCATGGAAGGTCAGAGCTAGCAAACAGAGGCAAGGGACCAAAACCCAGGAATGGCATTTCTGGGTGGAACATCGCTCAGGGCATATGGCATGACCCCTGAGGATGAATCACAAAGCAATAGGTTGCATCCAACTCACAGCAGCCCCACACTAAAATTGATAGAGCTAAATGATCTGCGTTCATCAGTTTCAGTGTGTCTACTCTGAATAGTGCCGGCACCAGGTGTCTGAATCTTCTACAAAAATGGAAAGAAAGTACAGTGGTACCTCGGGTTACATACGCTTCAGGTTACAGACTCTGCTAACCCAGAAATAGTACCTCAGGTTAAGAATTTTGCTTCAGGATGAGAACAGAAATCGTGCTCCGGAGGCGCGGCGGAGGCCCCATTAGCTAAAGTGGTGCTTCAGCTTAAGAACAGTTTCAGGTTAAGAACAGACCTCCAGAACGAATTAAGTACTAAACCCGCGGTACCACTGTATAGTGGTACCTGGGTTTAAGAACAGCTTAGTTTATGAACAACTTGGATTAAGAATGCTGCAAACCTGGAAGTAGGTGTTTTGGTTTGTGAACTTTGCCTTGGAAGCAGAACATGTTCCGTTTGTAAATTGAGTCCCCCGCTGCTATGGGAAAGCACAACTTGGTTTAAGAACGCTTTTGTTTAAGAACGGACTTCCAAAATGGATTTAGTTCGTAAACCGAAGTACCACTGTATTATGAAATAGGTTGTCATGTCCAGGCCAGAGATAAGAATGAAAGAAAAGAGCCCTGATTGATCAAACCACTGTTCTCACAGCAGCCAACCAGATGCCCATGTAAAACCTGAAAGCAAGAAGTGTTTCCCAGCAACTGGTATTAAGAAGTATACTGCCTCTTGTCTGACAACGGGGATAAAATTTAAGCCATCATGGCTGGCGGTTTTAGAAACCCTGCAACCATGACAGTCTGAGCAGTGGCACTTTTTGAAACTTGAAAGATCTTTTCTTCCTACATATCTTATATCCTAGACAGAGTCTCTGGAGCTGGCAACTTTCTGTAAAAGATGCTCTCAGCTTGAAAGGTTACATTGGTGAATGTTGCTGTGATTGCTTCCTTGAGATCTTGTGAAACTACTTGGAAGTTTAAGGTTTAACTGGGCTGCCTGTGCACTTTTGAAGATTTAACTGTAATCTACTATTTAGATTTAGTAATAATAATTGTATCATTTATACCCCACCCATCTGGCTGGGTTTCCCCACCCACTCTGGGCTTCTTACAGTACATACAAAAAATTGTAAAACATCTGACACAAAAATATTCCCGATACAGGGCTGCCTTCAGATGTCTTCTAAAAGTCAGATAGTTGTTTATTTCCTTGACATCTGAAGGGAGGGCAGGTGCCACTACCGCAAAGGCCCTCTGCCTGGTTCCCTGTAACTTGGCTTCTCGAAGTGAGGGATCCACCAGAAGGCCCTTGGCACTGGACCTCAGCGTCCGAGTAGAACGATGGGGGGGGGTGGAGATGCTCCTTCAGGTATACTGGGCCGAGGCCATTTAGGGCCTTAGAGGTCAGCACCAACGCTTTGAATTATTCTCAGAAACATACTGGGAGCCAACGTAGGTCTTTCAGGACCAGTGTTATATGGTCTCAGCAGCCACTCCCTGTAACCAGTCTAGCTGCTGCTTTCTGGATTAGTTGTAGTTTCTGAGTCACCTTCAAAGGTAGCTCCACGTAGAGCACATTGCAGTAGTCTAAGTGGGAGATAACCAGAGCATGCACCACTCTGGCAAGACAGTGCGCAAGCAGGTAGGGTCACAGCCTGCATACCAGATGGAGGTGGCAGGTAGACAGTTACTTTTAATCTGGGCAACTGGACCTGTGATCCTAAACGGATTTCTGTACAAACAAAATTGCAACCAATTTTGCTTTGACTATCCAAGAGGGATATATCTGAAGGGCTGTCACATGGAAGATGGAGCAAACTTGTTTTCTGCTGCTCCAGAGGGAAGGACCCAAATCAGTGGATTCAAATTACAACCAAGGGGATTCAGACTAAACATTAGGAAGAACTTTCTGTTGGTACGAGCTGTTGACAGCGGAAAACTTGGAAGGTGGTGAGCTCTCCTTCCTTGGAGGTTTTTAAACACAGGTTGAACAGCTGTCGTCAGAGATTCTTTAGCTGTGATTCCTGCATTTCAGGGGGTTGGACTAGATTACCCTTGGGATCTCCTTCAATTCTACAAGTATGATTCTAGGGTTTAGGATGAAACTTGATCAGACTGTGTAATGTCCACATTTCGCCAGCAGAGGGAACCCACTACTACTAAAACTGTATTCTGCACACTGGACTAAGGTTTAATCTCACACTTTATTGCAACAAAAGCATATCATATCAAAATGCTCAGGAAGATGAGTCCTATCACATAGAAAAAAAGTATTCCACAATCACCTGCCAGGAAAATTGCCTACACCACTATTTATGGCTTTTTAAATATCTTTTCACTCTCTTCCACGTGTGATTCAACATCTCTTGAAATAACAGAGAAAGATAAAGGAATCCAGCACCATCTGAAAAAGAAGACCTAAAGTTTCACACTGATACACAACACTTTGAAATTACATTAAATTCATGATACACTATGGCCAAAATAAGTTGATTCTTTATTTTTAAACATGGGAGGTAGGAATCAACATTTGGGCACAAATATATTTCCATAGGGACGCGGGTGGTGCTGTGGGTTAAACCACAGTGCCTAGGACTTGCCGATCAGAAGGTCGGCAGTTCGAATCCCTGGATACTATTTGTGGCTGGTGCATCTAGCTGTTAACCAGAAGGGATAGCTGTGGGAAGGGCTCCTGTGTGGGAATGTTCAAGGTGGCAGGAGAGGATATATTGTTTATTAATATCCTTCCTAAATTGCACTAGCAAGTTTCTTATGTAGCAAGTTACATTCCCCTTCTCACGCACAGCAAAAAGCTGGCTGCAGGCTCGTTAGAACCTCTTATTATTATGCAATTCAATCTGCCTCAGATTGAATTGTATGTTCCTTGTAAGACCCCTTTTAAATCCCTCCTAAAAGAAAAAAGACACCAACAGTCTTATTCCTAAGTAACAAAAAGTAGTTTTACTTATGATCAGGCAGACCACCGTGTGATCTCTGAAGGCAGGCTTTAGGCTTAAAATTACAAGCACATACAAACAGGTTTACCCTGTATGGGATATAACCTAGGGAGACTGCTGGCTAGCAGTCCAGATGATGCAGGAAGGTTGAAAGGAGTCAAAGAGAGAGAGAGAGGGGGGGGGCAGCATGCCTTGGCCTTTTACCAGGTCTGGAAAAGTCACGCCCACCCACTAGTCACAGGCAAGGAAGGATGCTCCAGGCAGGTGTAACAGGAAGTTTGACTGGCTGGACCAACATCCCCTTGCATGTCCACTCTAGGAAAACAAGGAATGTTGTATTTGACTGCTCCCAGTGGATTACATCCCACATCCTGTATTGCAGGGGGTTGGACTGGATGACCGTCGGGGTCCCTTCCAACTCTGTGACTTCTGTGATGATGGCTGCATACTGTCTCTGCTGCCAAAGGCACTACTATGCCTCTGAATACATGTTGCTGCTATTTTCCTCACTTCCTGATTCTGGGCTTCTTGTTGACCACTGTGGAAACAGAATGCTGGGTTTGATAAACTTTTGTCTGATCCAGGATGGCTCCTCTTACATTTTTCAGTAGCCTCTGAATGTGGAGGTTTCATCCAGCTGTTAATGGTGAACAGCCGCTAATAAGACTTCTCTAACACCACTGTAGGAAGGAATATGCCAATTTGGACTTCCTGGAAACCGCTGGAGAAAAGTGTTTTTATGAAATTTCTTCTCCTCCACCTGCATTTTGTCAAATATCCTTTTAAAGAGCCAGTGTGGTGTAGTGGTTAAGAGCAGTAGTCTCGTAATCTGGGGAACCGGGTTTGAGTCTCCGCTCCTCCACATGCAGCTGCTGGGTGACCTTGGGCCAGTCACACTTCTTTGAAGTCTCTCAGCCCCACTCACCTCACAGAGTGTTTGTTGTGGGGGAGGAAGGGAAAGGAGAATGTTAGCCACTTTGAGACTCCTTAAAGGGAGTGAAAGGCGGGATATCAAATCCAAACTCTTCTTCTTCTTCTTCTTCTTCTTCTTCTTCTTCTTCTTCTTCTAAAACAACCTAAGCCAGTGGACGCGGGACGCGGGTGGCGCTGTGGGTTAAACCACAGAGCCTAGGACTTGTTGATCAGAAGGTCGGCAGTTCGAATCCCTGCGATGGGGTGAGCTCCTATTGCTCGGTCCCTGCTCCTGCCAACCTAGCAGTTCGAAAGCACATCAAAGTGCAAGGAGATAAATAGGTACCCCTCTGGCAGGAAGGTAAACGGCGTTTCCGTGCACTGCTCTGGTTCGCCAGAAGCGGCTTAGTCCTGCTGGCCACATGACCCGGAAGCTGTACGCCGGCTCCCTCGGCCAATAAAGCGAGATGAGCGCCGCAACCCCAGAGTCGGCCACGACTGGACCTAATGGTCCTTTACCTTTACGCCAGTGGACATAATCACATCTTGTGGCAGGGAATCCCACAGACCGATTATGAGCTGTGTGAAAAACGACTTCCTATTGCCATCCAGTTTCACTGGAAGGTGACAAGCGGGTCACAAGATGGCCAGGGGAGTTGGACTAAAGGTCCCTCAAGGGTCCCTTCCAATGGTACAATTCTATGATCCTACTGTTGGGCAGGGCAGAAAATAAATAGCACATATTATTTTCACCAATCCATTCATTTTTATGCCCACTTTCCCCTTATATATGTGGGGTTTTTTTATATATAAGCATTGGTTGGTTAGCAAGCTGCATTGCAAAATTCGGATAACTGCACCGTTCCAAAGGATGGCTTCCTCCTTTCTTTTATGTGAATTTGGAAGATTCAACTTTCAATTTGAACTGAATCAACTTCCCCTGTCCGCCATAAATACAATTCTAATCTAATAATTTAAGAAAAGGCGGCTGGATCAGGCCAAAGGCCCATGTAGTCCAGTATCCTGTTCTCACAGCGGCTACGCAGATTTACTCAGAAGTAACTCCCACAGTGTTCAATAGGCTGCGGTAAGTATGCGCAGGATTGCAGCCCTCATTTCTAAGCCTAATAGCAGGTCTTCATTTTCCTTTACAAGAGCACCACTTCTGGCATATCACTGCTGAAATCAATGGGCTTTAGGTGTGTTTAGGATTGTAAATCTGCTTCCAAGCAAAGATGGAGAAATTTCTGCTGTCCAGCACTTCACAGCCTTTCTTCCAAGGACCTCAAAGTGGCATACATGGTTCTCCTCCTCCCCATTTTATCCTCACAACGACCCTGTGAGGTAGGCGAGGCTGAGAAACAATGACTGAATGCAAGGTCACCCAGCTAGCTTCGTGGCTGAATCCTAGCCCAAAACTCTAACCGCTATGCCACACTGCCTTCATACTTAACACTGCTGTTTTATTGATGCTATTACGAAATTGTATGGTCGTTTTTTAGAGGTATTCTTGTTTTCTTGGCTGTGAGACGCTTTGGGCACGGTTCTTTCCTTGGAAAGGCGGTGTACAAAGATGACGATGCAATCCTACAACATGTCTTACTACTCAGTGAAACAAATCCCGTCGAGTCCAGGTAAGTGGCTTTAGGATTGCGCAGCCAATGTCCCGCTGAGCTGAACGGAGCTTGCTTTTCGGTGCACGTGCTCAGGATCCCGCTTGCGCGGTTTCGATGCTCCACTGTCTATAATATAACTGATTGGGTCTACTTCTGAGTGAACACGGGTGGGCTAGAGGTCTGTTTCGATTTCCTTATGCGGCCATCCCAGCCCGAGAAACAGGTGAGAATCGCGTTCGTACCCCTGCCTTGCAGCCTCCGACCCTACACCCAGCGCATTCACACGTGCATCCCCCGACCCCCGTCTACCTGCAAGCTGCGCGCGCGGCATTCCAGCACAAAGAGGCCAGCGGGCGTCGGAAGAGGAGGAGGCGCCGCCGAGAAACCCAGAAAGGGGAGGCGCTGCGGGAAGGAGGAGGAGGAGACCGGCGGGGCGGGATCCAGAAAGCTGCGAGCGGCTTCCTGCTCCCCCCTCCACACCGCCCCACATCCCCGGCCAGCCCCTCCCCACAAGCCGCCCTCTGCAACAGGAAACCCCGCCGGGGCCTTGCGTCGGGAGGCAGCGGGAGCCAAACTCAAGTTCGATCCAGGTGAGGAGCTCCAAGGTGCTGCGCGCGTGTGCACGGCGTCGATTCGGATCGGGGGCGCGGGGGAGGGGGTCCGTGTGGACAGAAAGGGGACGTTTCCGGTTCGAAGCGTTCTTAGCGCTTTGCTCGTTCCAAACAAACAAAAAAAAGAAGATTTTAAGAGCTGGGAGTTTTTGGGGCGTTGCAGCGCAAGCCCCTGTGCGTGCCTGTTTACACTCGGGAGCAGGCGCCGAGTTGGGTTCAAACGGGGCTTACTACTCCCGAGTAAGTGGGTTGCAGGCGGAATCGCGTCTCGCGTGGGAGCAGGCTCTGGTGTTCGTGGCCAGCCTCGTGAAAACGCCACCCTCGCGACGTGTTTTTCCAGGGCTGTGCCCCTGGAAAATATGGAGGAGTAGTCAATAAGCGGGCGAAGCGAAGCGGAGTGATCCGAGTTAGCTGCCAAGTATATTTCCCTCCCGTCACTGGGTAACCTGAGAGCCCATTCCCTTAAATCGGCGCTGGAGGAAACGTGGATTCCTGGAGTTTCTTTCTTTTCTTTTGGAGGTAACTGTATTCTGCACATGCTCCGGGTAACTCTTGGCTGTGGTTATTCCAGGATTGAGCCTGGACTTTGACCACAGGATGCGTGGCAGCCCTCAGATTATTCCGTGGCAGAAAGTGGCTGGGGGAGCGAAGGCAGACACCTGGAACTGGAACTCAAATTAATTGAATTGAAACTGAAAGTAAAAAGAGGTTAAGAGCGTTGGCCAAGGGTTCAAATCCCTGGCTGGGTGACCTTGGGCCTGTCACTGCCTGGCAGCCTAACCTATCTCGCAGGGTTGTTGTGAAGATTAAATGAGGAAGAGTGGGGGAACCACATATTTCAGCTCCTCGGATAAGACATGGGGGTATAAAAGCAAAAATACGTAGGTTCAAGAGAGGAAGGGATAATGCTTAGGATGGAAGCTGGACGAGGATGCATTGAAAGTTTGTATTATGTTAGCAGGGTGGGAGGGTGGCTGACATTCAAATGATTTTGTCCCTTAAAAGGAATATCCAAAAGGATGGATTTTAGGTTTTAGAGAGATGGAAAATGGGATTGGAGAGCAAGGCCTGTTAGTAGGGTGTGTTTTATGGTGTGTTTTATGTGGCGTGTGGTATTGATATGGCTTTCCGGAATTAGAAACATGGTTTTGTGTTTAAGGCTAAAAGGCCCTCACACAGCCTTCACAAACCTGGCACCCTCCCTCCAGATGTAAGCCTACAACTCCCATCATCCCCAAGGGCACCAGGTTGACAAAGATTTCCCTGGCACTGTCCTTCCCTCTTTCCTCCCCTCTTTTTCAGGCTAGTTTTACAGCAGGTGTCTTCTCCCTTTCCAGATCCAAGACCCACCTTTTACCTAAACACACATTTTGGGGCCTATTTATTCATAACAACATAAAGTTGGAAGGGACCATGAGAGTTATCTAGTCCAACCCAATCTGCAGTGACCAAGGCTGATGGGATTTGTAGTCCAACGACTTCTGGAAGACTATAGCTTTCCCATCCTGTGTTTCGAAGGGGTGGTTTGTTTCATAGATGGGATTTTTAAGGCCATCTTTACACTGTCCTTTGACACCTGAGAGGTGTGTTTTCAGGGCCCAGCCTCTTCCTGTGCCTGTTTTAATTGTTTTTAATTTTCGGTATCAAATTGTTGTTACCCGCCCTGGCGCCTGCTGGTGAAGGAAGGGCAATGAATTTAATAATAATAGATGAGCTATTAGTGTTTTTGATGTAGGTGTAGAAACTCTTTGTGTGTGTGTGGGTGGGTTGGGGAAGAGCGTTTGTTTGTTTTCTAAAAATAGGGAATGCTTTGTGTAATGGGAGTGTGTGCCGCTTGAGCATTTTGCAGGAAAAGAGCTACGCTGTTTTTTGTGCATTAAAAAACAAACCTCTGCGTGTTTACAACCACCATTAAAGGAAAGTCCATAGTCCATTGTTGGAGCAAGTGCTTTCCATGCCAGCAGGGACCGGCACCTGGGACTGATGTGAGTTGTAGTCCAAAATATTTGAAGGGCACCAGGTTGGCTAAGGCTAGTGTGGGCAACGCTGAGTTCAGACCGAGAGCAGCATGGCTTGGCACCCACCCACACCCATTCCATCTGTTCATATATGAAACACACATATCTGTGGGCAAGTCTTTTTTAAAAATCTATTCCTGATCCAGTCCATTTCCTGTGACCTAGAACTGCCATTAGGGAGGTAAATAAGAATAAAATCAAGACCCCCCTCCCTTGAAGCAATAGTGTTTGAAATATGGGGAATATTTCCCTGCAGCTGAATTCTTAAGAAGCCGCATACCTTTTTCTTTTTTTTTCTTTTTTTTGCATTCAGGGGCACAACAGCCAGCTTTACCTGGAACTGAACTGGGAACTGGTTGTCTACCCTCTCTAGAGGCATGTTGATCCCTCCTCCCCTTGCCACCTCTAGCCTCTCATCGCTCCAGCTGCCCTGGGACCGCAGCTTTTGCATGCCAAACATTTTTTGCTAGCCAGGGAGGCATCTTGAGCCTGTGAGGTCAGTTGCAGAGCGCATGCCAGCGGCCTGGTGGTTTGGGGGGGGGGGGAAGAAAGGGGTTAGGCTGCTGCCTTGGAGAGGTTTCTCTGCAGGCTCCCAAAGCCCTCTCTCTGCCCCATATTTTTCCTCCTCTTCCTCTTCCTCCTCCTCCTCCTCCTCCATCACCCTATCAGTTAAAGCAGCAAACGTTTTCAACAGGGGGTTGGTCCACTGTCCCTCAGACCTTGTGGGGGGCCGGACTATATTTTGAAAAAAGAACGAATTCCTATTCCCCACAAAGAGATGCATTTTAAATAAAAGCACACATTCTACTCATGTAAAAACACCAGGCAGGCCCCACAAAGAACCCAGAGATGCATTTTAAAGAAAGCGACACATTCTACTCATGTAAAAACACCCTGATTCCTGGACCGTCCGTGGGCCGATTCTAGAAGGCAGTTGGGCCGGATCCGCACCCCCGGGCCTTAGTTTGCCTACCCACGGGTTAAAGGATCCCTTCATTTCGTTTTGCTTCGTAAAGGACCCCTCAGTGTGTTCCGTGGTGTTTGCTTGACATGGAATGAATATCCCTGCAGCCAATAGTGTGAATCTGTTCCCCACTACAGTGTGCAAAGCTGCTGCTCTCCACATATGTTCAACTAGTTCTCCATGGGTCGGTTCATGTGTTGCTGCTGGCGACTGGTCGTGGGGGCAGCAGACTCTGCCTGGCTTCAAAGAGCGGTCCCCAAAATTATTATTAGGACAACTCGTCACTGTTTTACTCTTGAAACGTATCTCAAAAGGATGCTGTTGTGTGTGTGCATCAGGACGAAGGGGTTGTATTTTTGAAAGGATCCTGTGTTTGTGAGTGGAAGGTGGGGATTTAGTGTGCATTGCACCCCCACTTTCGTCCTCACCCTCCATTTCAGATGTTGAAAGACCGCTCCCCCCCCCCGCTCACAAAGCTACAATTCCCAGACTTCCCTGGAAAGATGGATTGATCGCTTACCCACTCTGAATATTGTAGCTCTTCGTGAAGGACAAGGTGTTTCTGAGGACCTCTTCACAAACTGCACTTCCCAGAATACTGCTTTAAATGTGCACTGCGGCGGCACTCCCTGCCCCAAGGAGCTTCCAGTTAAAATTCTGACAGTTGAAGCAGACAACCGAGGGAAATGCGAGAAGGACAAAGGAGCAAGTTCAACTGACGGCTAATGACAAGCCCGTGTGATTGCAGCAGGAAATCGCTTTGCCTGCGTTGGCTCGTGGCCTGCTCTCAACAGAGGCATGCTAGTTCATGTTCAGTCTATGCACAGGATGCCATGCGTGGCACAAACCAGCAAATGTTGTGTGTTTGGGGTTTTTTTTGGAGGGCTTGCTGTAGTGGGCCCCAAAACCAAATCCTCGTGTCTGGCGCTGGGGGCACCCCACAGGCTGAAACAATTGGAAAACAACAGGGGCGGCTTTGCATGTGCCTGCCATGTGCTCAGAGGACCACAGGAAGTGACCCTAGTGTTGTTACTCTCATTGCTTATTGGACTGTTTTTGTGTGGTTTTCTTTCCCTCTGTCTCACGCCACTCTTTTTCAGACAGAAATCAGAGCGGCTTAGAACAATAAAGCCATAGCTATACCAAAACAATGTAGAAAATACAAATGGAAAATGGGACTGTATAAGCAGGCCTGATTTTGCCAATCTGGTGCCTTCAAGATGGTTGGGAGTCCTTGGTTGAGGAAGGCTGAACCAGACAAAACAACAAAATGGAGGCTCATGTAGGGAAGAAAAGCTGTGATGAAGACCTCTTGGGGGGAAAACAGAACTCCTGTTTGAATAGGAACCAGTGTTAGAAACCCAGATATAGTAGCTAGGTGCCAAATGGCTCCTTAAACCAGGGTTACAGTCGCCAAAACAGAATGCCTAGTTGCCATTTTGGGGCCAAGCAGCTCAAAAGTTATATTTTTCAATACAGTCATACCTCGGGTTGAAGTAGCTTCGGGATGAATATTTTCGGGTTGCGCTCCGCGGCGTTACTTCCGGGTTTCGCTGCATGCGCAGATGCTCAAAATGACATCACACGCATGCGCAGAAGCACCAACATGCGCAAACGCACAGTCACGTGTTACGTTCGCTTCAGGATGTGAACGGGGCTCCGGAATGGATCCCGTTCGCATCCAGAGGTACCACTGTACGACTTTTTGGTTCTTGAAATTGTGCTCTGATTGTGCAGATAAAATAGAACGGATAGAATTCTACAGGATGTGTTGCTAGTGTGTGAAAACAGGATGGACCCATGGATCTCCAGGCAGGCAACTCCAGAGGGTGGAGATGTCAGGTGCCCCCTGCCCCCCCTCCAGAAATCTTTACTGGGTTGCAAGTGACCGTTAGCCAGGTGCAAAATGCCTCTGGTACCTGGCTAATTTCGAATGCTGAGAGGAACATAGGGAGCTGTCTTCTACTGAGTCAGACCATTGGTCCATCTAGATCAAATTTAATAAGTAAATATTGTCTACACCGGCTGGCTGCGGTTCTTCATCATTACAGGCAGGGAATGTCTCCCTGCTGGAGATGGTGTGGATCTTCTGTATGCGGTGGGGCATCAGATGTTGTTGAACTACAACTTCCATCACCTCTGACCATTGGCCGTGTCCGCTGGGAATGATGGGAGTTGTAGTTTCAGCAGCATCTGGAGGGCCAGAGACTCTCCATCCCTGCTCTAACCCACCAAACTACCAGCTTCCCTCAACCCATCTACAAACATTTAGTGTTGGTGCTGAGCAGGCTTTCCTAAGGAGTCTGTTTTATGGTGTTAGCTCTGCAACCAAGAAGCCCCCACTTCTCGGAGATGTCCACATCTGGAGCAGAGCTTCAGAAATTACGCAAAGTGCTTGTGGGGCGGTGAGAACTCAGAAAGGAAACCTTAAAACTTAAAAGAATACATACAAATATGTAAGAAGACCCACCTTTCTCCCATATGCTGCTCAGCGGTCCCTCTTGGTTCTCGCCATAGTCAACCAGGTGCCTTCACACAGTGCATACTTAAACTTGAAATCTGCTCCCAGAAGATGCAGTGAAGGCCACCCACTTATGCCCCCAGCAGATTCCTGTGGTCTTTCAGAGGATTTCTCATGATGTGGGTCTTTTAGTGTGCGGCTGACCCTGTTCTGTGTGAAATAACATTTCTGCTGAGAGATAACGGGGACCCACTATCTGCATTTTCGGGAAACAATTAGAGTTATTTTTGTTTTCCGACAGGTTTTCTCAGCCGGATAAATGGGCCTTGATCACAAGTGTCCACTTCTTAGGGTTTTAGTCATCTTCTAAATGTATTTGGTGTTTTTTTTAAAAATAAACCTGTTTCCTACATGTAAATCGCCTTGAGACAGTGTTTTAGAAGGCAGTTCATAGATTGATGGTGATGATAGTATGATTAGTAACTTAGATGACTGTAGAAGAGGATATCATGTGGGATTCTAGAAACAGTACGAAAGCCTGTGCTGATTTGCACATCTTTGAAAAGATCAGAGCAAGATGCATTGTGGGGTTTTTTGGTGAGATGGAGACGACAAGCACAGCACTAATGTTAACATGAAGGCAACATGGATGAAGACATGCTTTGCAGAACACAAACTTTGTACGCAGGAACCCTTTCCACCCCGCTGTGCAAAAAGATTCCTCACTCTGATGAGATCTTATGCCTTCCCCCCCTTGCCTCTGCTAAACAGCTGGAAGAGGAATCTCAGGGGGGTGCCAAGGGGGCAGGATATCACAGCAGGAGGAGTGACTGTTCCAGCAATTCTCAGAAGACTGAAGAAGCCTACGAGGAAGGTTGTGTCTTGGGACTGGGGGGACATCAGCAGAGCCTGGAGCTGGGAACCAGATCCATGCTGCAATTGAGAGGGGGTTGAGAGAGAGGCGTGTGGGCTGGTATAACCAGGAGAGTGGAGCTGAGGCTACTAAAACAGTTGGGGAATCTTTGCGCAGTGCAAAATTAACGTAGGCAAAGTCATTTGAGCCAGCCTTTCTGTGGACTTCCAGTTGTTGCTGGACTCCATTTCCCATCAGCCCCAGCTAGCATGGCCAGTGAGCAGGGGGTGATGGGAGTGATAGTCAGATAAGGCCACTAGCACCCCAGTTCTGGCCTGCGGCATTCACCGCCAAAAAGCTAGCGTACATAACTTTGGAAAACACACAAGATACCAACCAAATTCAAGGAGGACAAATCTGTGAAGGGCAATGAGGTAACCTTCATATTCAAAGGCAGCAAAGGGCCACATCTGCGCCATTTGTGTAAAGTGCCTTGACACCACTTCAAACAAACATGGCTTCCTCCCAAAGAATTCTGGGAGCTGTTGTTTGTTAAGGGTGCTGAGAGTCATTAGGATGCCCCCATTCCCCTTACAAACCCGCAATTCTCAAATTTTCCCATGAAGAGGGATTTGTTGTTACACCATGCGGGAGTCATGGCTATTTAAAGGAGACCCGCTGTTCCGTTCACAGAGCTACAACGTTTGCAACGGTTTATAGTCAATACCTCCTTTTTTTTTTAATATTAAGAATTTCAACAAAACATTTTGTCATATAGCATATCATCCTTTATCCCCCCCCCCCCGTTTCCCCCCTCCACATAAAGTAACCCCCCCTCCCCCCTGACTTCCCTCAGCTCCACTCTCTGGTTTATCTGCAAGTGTTGTTCTCTGCATGTTACAAAATTGTATAGATAGTTTGTCTAACTGAATTTTGCTAAAAAAAGGTTTGTGAGTGTTTATTCGAAACCTGCCAATGAGTCCAATGCATTTTCTTGTTTCTTTAAGTACTTTGTAAAAGGTTCCCATTCATCTTTAAAATCACAGTTATCCTTGTCCTGTAGTTTATGTGTCAGTTTTGCCAGTTCTGCGTACTCCATCAGTTTCTCTTGCCATAGTTCTTTAGTCGGGATTTCCTCATTCTTCCATCCTTGAGCTATTAAGACTCTTGCCGCCGTTGTCGCATACATGAAGATATTTTGCAGTTTCTTTGGCAGTTTCTTTTCCTACAATCCCTAACAAAAATGCTTCAGGTTTTTAAACAAATGTTAGATGGAAAATTTTCTTCAATTCATTGTAAATTGTTTCCCAAAACCTTTTTGATTTCATTACAATCCCACCACATATGGTAAAACGTCCCCTCCTTTTCTTTACGCTTCCAACACATATTTGAACTGGTTTTATACATTTTTACTAACTGCACTGGTGTCATACACCATCTATATATAGTCAATACCTCTTCACAGGGAGCTTTGGGAACTGTAGCTCTGTGCAGGGGATAATGGACCTCCTAACAACTCTCAGCTCCCAGAATTCTTTGCGGGGAAGCCATGATTGTTTAAAGTGGCATTGTCTGGTGCTTAAAATACATGATGTGAATTTTGCCTAGCTCTGAACATCGGGCGACGGGGGCAGATAGGGCATCTACATGGCATGTCGAAGGCCCTGAGTTTGAAACCTGGCATCTCCAGATTGGACTGGGAATGCCCCTGTGTCTGCAACTTCGTACAGTGTCTGTCGGCGTGGACAATACTGAAATAGATGGGCCAGTGGTTTCACTTGGGCGCGAGGCGGCTTCCTGTGTTCCTACTTCGACACTTCCTGTCGGAAGCAGAAAGCTGCGCTAGATAACCCAGCGGCTCTTTTCACGCGATTGCATTGCCTCCATAACCCATGAGATTTGCCCCCCTCCCTGCCCTAAAGGTGACACAACTGCCTCCCCCTGCCCCCCGCTGAGATAGCATATCTCTCTCTCTGCACTTGCAGGAGCGTGAGGTGGCTGTTCTTTTTTAAATATATATATTATATAATTAATTTTTTAACATATTATTTTCAGCAATCATTTAACACAATTTCATATCTTATACAATTTTTTGACTTCCATCAATCACATCTGAAAATTTTCCAATCTTTTTCACTTAATTTATCTTTCTTAATTTCACCATTACTTTTAATTATCTTAACTAATAGCTTTCTTCATAATCTTCCTTGCAGTATTTCATATATTCTTCCTTATAAAACTTCTTGTAATCCTACTAGTGTAATCTGTTGATTACAATTGCTTTTCAAATAGTTCACATATTTATTCCAGTCCTCTGAGAATCTCTGGTCCCGCAGGTTTCAAATCCTTCCTGTCATCTTCTCTAATTCTGCATAGTCCATTAATTTCATCTGCCATTCTTCTTTCGTCGGTAATTTTTCTTGTTTCCAGTTCTGGGCCAATAATACTCTTGCTGCTGTTATTGCATATAAAAACAGTTTGTTATCCTGTCTATTAATATCCTCTCTTACAATACCAAGTAAAAATGCTTCTGGTTTTTTAAAAAATGTATATTGCAACATCTTTTTCATCTCATATATCATTTCCCAGAAGTTTTTCACTTTCTTACATTCCCACCACATGTGATAAAAAGTTCCTTCTTTTTCTTTACATTTCCAACATTTATTACTTGTCTTATACATTTTAGCTAATTTCACTGGTGTGATATACCATCTATGCATCATTTTCATCACATTTTCTTTCAAAGCGTTTTCCCCAATCTTTTAACTGTATATTATACCCGAAATCTTTGGCCCAGTGTATCATACCCGACTTAACTTCTTCATCTTTCAACTGCCATTCCAACAGTGATTTATATATTTTAGACAATATTTTACAATCATTTTTCTAATACTTCTATTTCAAATTTTGATTTTTTTATCATCAAATCCATTTTCTTTTAAATCTTGTTTAAACATTTCATTGATTTGGCGATAGTGCAGCCAGTCATCCACAAATTCTTTAACTTCTTCATAAGGTTTCATTTTCCATTTACTTCCTTCTTTTTCTACCAATTTCTCATACGTGACCCAATTTTTACTCATATTTATCTTTTTCACACTCATTGCTTCTAATGGAGATACCCACCATGGTGTTTTACGTTCTAATAGGTTTTTATATCTATCTCATATTTCAAATAGAGATCTTCGGAATATATGGTTGCCAAATCCTTTATGGACTTTTGTTTTGTTATACTATAGATATGCATGCCAACCAAATCTATTATCATAACCCTCTAAATCCAACAAATCTGTATTTTCTAACAACATCCATTCCTTTAACCAACAGAGGCAGCCTGCTTCATAGTACAATTTCAAGTCTGCCAGGGCGAAGCCCCCTCTTTCTTTGGCATCTGTCAACACCTTACAGTATATTGAATTCTTGGTTTCTTCCCCTGCCAGATATATCTTGAAATGGTCTTCTGTCACTCCTTAAAAATTGCTGCCCCCTTGATTATTGGAACTGATTGAAATAAAAACAACATATTTCGTAGCACATTCATTTTGATAGCAGAAATCCTTCCCCAAAATGACAATTTCATCCTTCCTCATACTTCCAGATCTCTCTTAATTCAATTCCACACCGGTGTATAATTATTTTGAAACAAATCTGTATTCTTTGAGGTCAACCTTATTCCTAAATATTTGACTTTTTTAACAAGTTCTATACCAATCTGTTGCTGCAACATATCCACCAAATCTTGTTTCATATTTTTAAGTAACATTTTCGTCGTCTTTTTATTTATTTTTAAAACCTGCTACTTGCCCAAATCATTCACTAGATGTCCACACATAAACTATTCTCAAAGCTGATTGATTTGGTTCTGAAAAAATGAGTGAATTGTTTTTCTAATGGGTGTCTCAGTCTCCAAACGTCTATCAAATTACAATAATCTATCATAGAAAAAAATGTCTTTGGTAGCTTCCCTTCCTTCGATCTTTCTTTTCTTCTTGATCTATCCATTTTCAGTGACACCACACCATTCATTTCCCCCATTATTATAATTTTTTGATCCACAAATTCAAATAGTTTTTCTTCCAAATCTTTATAAAATTCCATCTTACTACCATTTGGTGCATAAATTCTGACGATTATCAATTTTTCGCCTTGCCAAGTGACTTGTACTTCAATTACCCTGCCCTCTTCATCTTTGAAGATTTGCTAAGCTTCAAATTTGTTTTTTATATACATCACCACTCCCCTCTTCTTACTTCTGATGACATAAATTCATTTCCTAATTTTTTATTAATCAATACTCTTCTACGTTTCCTGGCTACATGAGTCTCTTGTAAATAAATAATATCCAAATTCTTTTTTAACAAAAAGTGTTCAGTTTTGTTCCTTTTATTTTTATTACTTATGTCATTCACATTCCAGGTCCATAATTTTAATTCCAGTTTGGTTTCTTTTAATATGTAAGACTATAAAAGTTCTTAAACCTGTCCCTCTTCCTCCTCCTTTTCTTCTTCTTCCAAATTATCAGTATCTTCTCCTTCCGGGGTCACTGCTGCTTCTTCTTCTCTTCCCAACTCTTTATATTTCCTCAAAAATTTATATGTTTCATCCACACTTTTAAATTTGAATTTCTTCTCTTTATAATAAAATGAGACGTCTTCTGGAAATTCCAATTTAAATTCAATTCCATTTTTCCTCAATATCTGTGTCAATGGCTTGTATTGGTCGCGTTTTTTCAGCAAGTGAAGTGGCACGTCTTTAAAGATGATTGTGAATATTCCATCAATACATAGTCTCTTTTTCTGCAAAATCCAATTTCTCATTTCTCTCCTTAAAGATAATCAGACAGTCTCCTGGGAATTTTTTTGCCTTTGTCGTCTTCGTTTTAATCCTAAACACATTTTGTATTGTTTTTGCCTATTCCTCTACTTCCATATTTAACCATTGTGCAATTTCCGTTGTCAATTTTTCACAATATTTTCTCATTGTGATTCTGCAACCGATCTAAACCTCAAATTCATTTCTCTTTGCCTCAATTCATTCATAGCAATCGCGTCCCACAACTCCTCCTGTGTTTTATTCATTTCTGAGACTTCTTCTTTAACCTTTTCTTCCTCTTTTTTCATATCTCTTACTTCTTGCTTTGTTCGCTTCATCCCTTCTTCCAAGCTTTGTGTTCTTTTGGTTATCTCTTTCATTTGGCGCCTCAGAAACAGTCATATCAATTTTTTTATCCATCTGCTCCAGCCTTGTCTCCAAATTCTTTTCACTCTGTTTTATGTCCTTTTTTATTTCTGCAAACATTTTTTAAATCTCTCCTTTATTTTGACTTTCTTGTTTCGATCCCCTCCTCTCCAATGGTGTTCCTCCTCCTGCCTTTTCTGTGCTGACATTCTTTTTTAAAAAAAGTTTTTAATTAACAATTTTGACATATCAAAGTATCAAAACATAATCATATTAATTATTTTTTCCCTTTCTCCCCACCTCCCCATCAAACCCTCCCCCCAAGACTTCTCTCAGCTCCTCTCTCTGATTTTTCAACACATATTATTCTCTGCATACTGTAAAATTGTATAAATTCTTATATTATCTATCTGCTATGTCAACAATCAATTAATTTGTGTGTGTTTATTCATAACCTGCCAAGGAGTCCAATTCATTTTGTTGTCTTTTTAAATAATTTGTAAAAAGTTCCCATTCTTCTTTGAAGGCACAGTTGTCCTTATCTCGCAGTTTATACGTTAGTTTAGCCAGTTCTGCATAGTTCATCAATTTCTCTTGCCACTTTTCTTTTGTTGGGGTTTCCTCATTCTTCCATCCTTGTGCTATCAAGACTCTTGCCGCTGTTGTTGCATACAAAAATATATTCTTTATTATCCTTGGAAGGTCTTGTCCTACTCTAACAGAAATACTTCTGGTTTTTTTTAACAAATGTCATTCTAAACATTTTCTTCAATTCATTGTATATCATTTCCCAAATTTTTAAAATTTTTCTACATTCCCACTGCATGTGATAAAAAGTCCCTTCCTTTTCTTTAAATTTCCAACATATGTTTGACCCGGTTTTATATATTTTTGCTATCTGTACTGGTGTTATATACCAGCTATACATCATTTTCTTAAAATTTTATTTCAAAAGAGCACAATCTGTAAATTTTAAATCTGTTTTCCACAGTTTTCCCCAATCCTTAAATTGTATATTATGTCCTATATCTTGCGCCCATTTGATCATTTACCTCCTCATCTTTTGTTTCCCATTTTAACAGGATACTATATGCACCCTTCAGCAACTTCACTTTTCCTTCTATAACTTCCTTTTGAAATCTAGAAGTGGTATAACTAAATCCTTTCTTGTTGTCTTCTTTGTATATCTCATGTAATTGCCTGTAATGTAACCAACTCTGAAAACAATCTTTTATTTCCTCATACTTTTTTATTTCCATTTTCCTTCTTGATCTACAGTGGTACCTCGGGTTAAGTACTTAATTCGTTCCGGAGGTCGGTTCTTAACCTGAAACTGTTCTTAACCTGAGGTACCACTTTAGCTAATGGGGCCTCCTGCCACCGACGCGCCGCCGGAGCACGATTTCTGTTCTCATCCTGAAGCAAAGTTCTTAACCCGAGGTAATATTTCTGGGTTAGCGGAGTCTGTAACCTGAAGCATATGTAACCCGAGGTACCACTTTATTAGCAAATCACTGTATGTAAGCCGTTTTTCTCAAGTGCCTTGAGCAACAGAGCTTCAGTTGGTGAGGAGTCTTTTGTTCTATTAAGTCTTTATATCTCTCCCAGACCCTCATGACATTGTCTATTTTTAATGTTTTTTCACTCTTTGCCACTAGATGTCACCCTCCAGAGTTAAACAGTCAAAGAAAGAAAGGGACGAAACAAGAAAACTTAATTCAAATTTTTCCACCTCTTGTTTGGCTAATCCACCGTTCCGGAACAGCAAAGTTAAATTCACCCCCAAAAAACAAACTCAAATTATTAAGTTTAAACTTCTTCTGCCACTTGCTTGGCTAATCCACTACAAAGCTTTCCCAACGTAGTGCACACAAAATCACAAATTCCTTAATATCGAGGAAGAAAAATAAAAAAATAAAAACCACCACAAGCCTTCAAGTGTCCTAATAAAAACCCCCAAATAAAAATCAAACCAATTCTTCAGCCACTTGTTGGCCTAATTCCTTCGAAATCCCACTATCCAAAGAAGAAGAAGAGGAACAGGTACAAAAATTAAATGAATATAGAAACCAATCCACCAGTTTGCTAACAGTCCACACCAAAAAAATAAATAAGGGGGAGGGGCGTAGTTCAGTGTCTTTTTTCCACTCTGCTCCTCCTCAAAATAAAAATAAAAATATACAATCTGCATCCAAATCAATCCTGCTTGGGCTTAGTAGCTTTCTCCCTACACACTGGTGTCTGGCATTAGTAAAAACTAAAAAGAATAAAATAAGAAGTACAAAGTTTCCTAATTTTAACCAGGCAGTTCCGCATAAACGAAGGTAAAAGGAAGTTCTCCTTCTGCTTTCTCAGAGATCTTTGGGCCGACCAAGAATATCCAAAGTAAGAGGTTTTCACCCTTTTTATATACAGTCTGCTTCTATTAAAGTTTATATTTCCGCTGTAGGTAAAATCATAAGTTTACTGTTCCTTATCTGAGTTCAATTCCCAGACGAGGCTGACCTCCTTTTTTCCACCCCGCTGAGAGGTGGCTGTACTTATATCACTTCCTCTTGCAGGAAATCGGCTCTCTCTGTAAATACGCCGAGCCTCTCCTTTTGTTATGGAGCCCGGCTGCAGCAGATGTGGCTGCTCCTTCGGGCTCGGAGGAAAGGGGGAGTCCCCGAGGGGCACAGGTGTCCTGGGGCGTGTGGATCTTCACCCGCAACTCTTGTCGTTGCTCAAGAAACAGAGACAAGGGCGATGGTGTGACTCACTTCCTGAATCTTTTGCCCGCTTGGCTGCAGGTAGCGACCGTCGCGAGGGCAGATGGGGAATGGGTGTATATTAAGGGGCTAGGACCATTTTGTGCCTCTCTCATATCCTTCAAAGCACCTCGCATCAGTGGTCCTGCATCTGCAGCCTCGGAGTCCATCTTGTTGCAATCCATTCCATCTTGTTCAGTGGTTTTCTTGCGCCTGCCATTTCTGCCTCGTCCCTCACTTGTCCGCGGGGGCTGCAGCTGCCCTTAATCCTCGGCACAGCTGATTCAGCCTTTATTATTGTCTTTTGCAAAATGCCTTTGCAAAGCGTTTCTTTCTCGTTCTCGCAGTGGGCCGGGCGAAGGCCCGGTTTGACACTTCTCTGGGCGCCGTAACAAACTCTGTGGCTAAGCAAAGGAAGTGGGTTTTTCACACCGCACACCCTTGAGTGTGTGAAATACATGTGTTCTCTTGACGGTTCTGTGGTTTCTCTCACATAATTAATTTGTTTAATGGCTTGTTTTATTTAAGGCAGGGCTTTGCTTGCTTGTTTCTTTGCAGTATTTCTATACCGGTTTTCAGACAGACCTCGCAAAGTGGTTTACGTAAGATTATTACGACAATAAACATCAATTGAAAAAAGAAAATATTCAATAGAATATAAAAGGCAACTTGTTTGCTTAAGGGAATAAATGAACCCTGTGGCAGTTTGAGGAGAGGGGACATGGGAGTTAGATGGTGACAAATCATCAACCCTCCTTCTCACCTCTCCTCCGGGCAAGAGGCTGCATTCCCCAAATCGTGGTCCTTGAGGTTCGTTCAGGTGGTCCGTGGTGTGTCCACATTAAATATCCACCTTGATTTTTAATTGTATTTGTATGGCTTCTGTTGTTTCTTATATTATATTCCATTGAATGATGGTTCAAACTCCAAAGAATTGAGCTTGTAATACAATAAAATACAACATAAGAAATGAAAGAAGCAATAAAAAAAATGAAGTTTTAAAATCATACAGCATCTAGCACAGTGAGTCTCCACCTGTTTTCAGACTACAACTCCCGTCACCCTGAGCTTGCAAGACCCAGTGTCCAGGGATGATGGGAATTGTAGTCCAAAAACCAAGTTTGGGAAACCCTGATTTAAGGTATTTACTGCACCATGCCACTGAAATAGGCTCTCAGTTTCTATATTGTGAGGCCACTTCTCGATGAGTCTCTTAAAAGCACGCAGAACATTAAAGAACGTGGCTGAAAGCTGGGTCACAGTCCACTCTGAAAGGTTGGTCACCCTTTTCCAGACAAGCTTCTCTGTCTTTTTTAACATACACATCACTGGCAGAACTTTCAACAATAGTGCAGCTTGACAGAGAAATGTGGATGTTTGCTTTTAATTTCTGTTTCTTTTGCGGTTGCCAAAAAGCCACAGAGCCATTGGTCAGAGAGAAATGTAGCTATGGCTGGGAATCCTTGCCTGCTAAAGCAGCTTGACGCTTGATGTAATGCATTGCATAGAATGCATATATATATATATATATATATATATATATATATATATATATATATCCCCATAAAAGCTACTAATCCTCAGAAGGTTGTACCGGCTTGCTTCTCCCTATACTTTGTCTGGTTGGCCATTTTGTGGCCTCAAAGGGCGAAAAAAGCGGGGCGTTTTTCTGCTAAGCTTCTGGGAGACCACACAAAGAAGCAATTCCTTCTTGACTACAAGAGCGGCCATTTATGAGTCTTCTGTAAACATGTCCTGAAATTGCTTTGCAAGCTGGTTATTTTGTGTGTGTCTGTGTGTGTGTCATTCTGTTAATGGTCCATAGATGGGGGCACAGAACCATAGCATTGCAGATTTGGAAAGGGACCACGAGGCTTCCTCAAACTCGGCCCTCCAGATGTTTTTGGCCTACATCTCCCATGATCCCTAGCTAGCAGGACCAGTGGTCAGGGATGATAGGAACTGTAGCCTCAAACCAACTGAAGGGCTGAGTTTGAGGAAGCCTGATCTATCTAGTTCAGGGTTTCCCAAACTTTGGCCGCCAGCTGTTGTTGGGCTACAGCTCCCATGATCCCTAGCTAGCAGGACCAGTGGTCAGGGATGATGGGAGGTATAGTCTAAAAAAAAAGCTGTAGATTCAAGTTTGGGAAACCCTGATCTAGTCCATTTAGGTGCCGAAGTTGACTTCTAAATTGCAAGTTGTACTGTTCCCCATAAGGGATGCGGGTGGCACTGTGGGTTAAACCACAGAGCCTAGGACTTGCCAATCAGAAGGTCAGCGGTTCGAATTCCTGTGATGGGGTGAGCTCCTATTGCTCGGTCCCTGTTCCTAACCACCTAGCAGTTCGAAAGCATGTTAAAGTGCAAGTAGATAAATAGGTACCGCTCTGGTGGGAAGGTAAACGGCGTTTCCGTGCGCTGCTCTGGTTCGCCAGAAGCGGCTTAGTCATGCTGGCCACATGACCCAGAAGCTGTATGCCGGCTCCCTCGGCCAGTAAAGCGAGATGAGCGGGGCAACCCCAGAGTCGGCCACAACTGGACCTAATGGTCAGGGGTCCCTTTACCTTACTGTTCCCCATTACAGGAACTACCCAGAATGCTAACTACCTTGTGGGCAATTAATTTTATCCTTCCTTTGTGTCACCACTAGGGGACACCAAGCTAGTCATCACTCATTAGGATTTTTTTACCTGTTCCACAAAAAGAGACAAATAATACCTGTGGGAAAATAGATAGCAATGCCCTAGAGATGGGTATCTGGGGCTAAACCTCAATAATCAGACTGGGAAACTTCAATAATCAGGTTATTCTGTCCCCCCCACCCTGGGACAGTGTGTGTGAAGGCAATCCAAGCCCAGCACTCTGAAGAGTTTTGCAATGTGCTGTTTTGATTCTGACCCATATTTTTCCCCAAACCGAGCTCCTCCCTGGCCACTACTGCCAGCCGTTTGGAAAGGTGCCCTTTATGAGTCAGGCTGTCTGTGGGGTGTGGAGTTTTTCTCCTGCTTGTCTCTGAGGCCTCTTTGTAGGTGACAGAGGCAGTATTCATGCAGAATTCACCTCCACCTAGTGCAGGAATTTCTGAGTAATGGGGGGGGAGAGAAAGAGAGGTGGGGTGGCCTTGGTAGCTTGAATACCTCTCTGTGTATGAAGCCCTCCCCCTGCTCCAACTTGCTTTCCATTCCATCTCTTCTCCCTCCCCCCCCCCCCCCCGCATCTCCCATATTCTTCCTGAGGACGGGTGTGTATTTTTCCTGAAAAACCGAATCCTTGCAAAGCTGGGTTTTATTTAAAGAGAGCAATCATTTAGGGGAAATCCATGCCATGGGTTTTTTAAGCTCATTCAGTGCATGTGAATTCCCCCCAAAGAATCCTTGAAACTGTAGTTTGACACCCCAGAGCTATGATTCCCCAGTGCCCTTAACAAACTACAGTTCCCATGATTGTCGTGCGGTTTGAAAGCCCGTTGGATGTGTGTCTGGCCTTAGAGCAGGGATAGGGAATGTGTTGTAAACCGAACTCCCAAATCTATGTGCTTCACCACCACTGCCCAGTTTGTTAATTTTTCATTTTTCTGTCCGCCCCCCTAAAGGTAGATGCTGACCCTGAACACTTGGACCCCTTGACTCAGTTGCTGGGGACCTTATCCCCACCCGCCCCACAGGGGCAGAATGGAGTTGGAGGAAGGATACAATGGGGTGAGTGATTGGCATGGGGAGGGGAGGGGAAGGGAAGGAGATGGGGTTTTGTACAGTGAGGGGTGATACAGTCAAAGTTCTAACCTGCCCACCCCCCAGAAAAACAGTGTTTCCCAAATTTAGGTCTCCAGTTGTTGGACTACAACTCCCATCATCCCTAGCTAGCAGGACCAGTGGTCAGGGATAATGGGAGTTGTAGTCCAAAAACCGCTGAAAACCCGAGTTTGGGGAACCTACCACAGAGCAAAGATAGGGAGCCTGTGGCGCTCCAGACATTGTTGGACATTGTTGGGACGCGGGTGGCGCTGTGGGTTAAACCACAGAGCCTAGGTCTTGCCGATCAGAAGGTCGGCGGTTCGGATCCCCGCGACAGGGTGAGCTCCCGTTGCTCAGTCCCTGCTCCTGCCAACCTAGCAGTTCAAAAGCACGTCAAAGTGCAAGTAGATAAATAGGTACCGCTCCAGCGGGAAGGTAAACAGTGTTTCCGTGCACTGCTCTGGTTTGCCAGAAGCGGCTTAGTCATGCTGGCCACGTGACCCGCAAGCTGTACGCCAGCTCCCTCGGCCAATAAAGCGAGATGAGCACCGCAACCCCAGAGTCGGCCACGACTGGACCTAACGGTCAGGGGTCCCTTTACCTTTGCCACAGAGCAAAGATAGGGAGCCTGTGGCGCTCCAGACAGTGTTGGACTCCAACTCCCATCATCCCCAGCTAGCAGAGCCAATTGCCAGGGCTGATGGGAGTGGGAGTTGGAGACTGGCAACCTCTGGAGGGCTCCCTTCTGTATTTTAGAAAGGGCAGTGCTTTTTTATAAATCAGATTCGCTGATTGGCAACTGGCATTGGTAGTTTCTACACAAAATACTCTTGTTATATGAGGGGTTTTGTGGGTGGAGAGAAAGGTCTGATTTGAGAGTGCGTGGAGTTTCCAGGGTGCTTGGTTGGGACCTCAAGTTATGGGTGATCCAAGCAGGGCAAGGTGGGGCTTCTCGATGCTGCCACTGATATGGTCTCGCGTCTTCCTTACCAGAACCCGGCACTGGGTGCCCGCACTGGGTCGGCCATGGCGATCATCGGAGCAGAAGACGAGGACTTCGAAAACGACATCGAACCAGTAAGTGGGAGGTTCGGGAGAGGCCAGGGTTCTAACAGCAGGAGGAAGGTCACGACAGCACCATAGCTCAGTGGCAGAACACCTGCCTGGCATGCAGAAGGTTGAATCATCAGCATCTCCAGGTGGGGCTGGGAGAGCCCCTTCCCTGAGTCCCTGCTGCCGGCCTGTGTTGATCAGACGAACCTTTGGCCTCTAAAAGTTGCTGAACTACCGTTCCCATCCTCCCTGCCAATTGGCCACGCTTGCTGGAGCTGATAGGAGGTCATAGCTGAGCAAGATCAGGAGGGCCAGAGCTTCTCCACACGTGGGGTAGACAGTGCTGATCTGGGTGGGCTTGTTAGAAGGAAACTTGTGAACAAACACCGAGAGTGATCTGGAAGGAACTGTGTTGAAAGGAGGCAGTGAGGAGAGGGTGGGGTGGAGAAGGTAAGAGTGGGGGAAATCCCCCACTCTCTCTCTCTCTCTCTTTTTTGTTGCTCCCCTCAGTTCCAGAACCCAGATGCACAAAGCAGCATGTTCCAGAGCCTGGACCTCTTAACACGGCACCCCGCCTACTTGATGGTTTTTCTGCAGCATGTGGTACTGCAGTTTGACTCCAGCCCTGTGGTAAGCCTTGCATTTTTTTTTTGTCATTGTTGATTTATTAACCCCCTTCTAAACCACCTCTCAAGACGATTTAGACCATGGGTAGGCAAACTAAGGCCCGGGGGGGTTGGATCCGGCCCAATCGCCTTCTAAATCCGGCCCGTGGATGGTCCGGGAATCAGCGTGTTTTTACGTGGGTAGAATGTGTGCTTTTATTTAAAATGCATCTCTGGGTTATTTGTGGGGCATAGGAATTCGTTTACCCCCCCCAAAAAAATATATAGTCCGGCCCCCCACAAGTTCTGAGGGACAGTGGACCGGCCCCCTGCTGAAAATGTTTGCTGACCTCTGATTTAGACATAAGGTGATTTTGGAAAGTTAAAAACAACAGATGCATTTAAAACAAGACTAAAACCCTAACAAGTGGACACTCGTTTAAAGACTCGTTCATTCATGAGGATTAGCTTCCTACCACGCTTGGCTGTGGTGCGATTAGGTGGGTCGGCCCACGCAGGCACATCTCACTGCTGGTTTCCCGAAGCTCATGCAGGGGACAAGCGTGAGTGTATTTTCTCAGACCAAATAATTTGCACCAATTGTCAGCTTCAATAGTGAACTTCCCACGTAACAAGACTTTTGACATGCTTTAATTCAGGCAATTCTTTGCACTGATCTGTCCTGTTCACGGTCAGCTGGAATGGCAAGATTGACAAACGGAATAAGAGATCAAGATGATTTTTATTTTTTTTAAGAAGACTGGAAATGTTTTGAGGATCATTTGGAAAATTATTGTAAGCCTTTTAAAAAATTAACAGTAACAGTAAATTTAGCAGTAACAATTGCTGAGATATAAAAATGAGAAAATGAAAAGAGAGGGATTAATTAGAATATGTAGTGGAAAAGAAAATGATGAAGTGAACCATGGAAAGGGCGGGGGATGTCTAAATGAAATGTGTTTTTGGTATTTGGATTATTATCTATTGTTTTAATTGTAAAATAAAAATGATAAATACATTTTTTTTTTAATGGAATCGCATTGTGCAGGTTTTTCTGGGCTGCACCAGTTTTGCCGACAGATGATGAAATTGCATGTTAAATGCAGCCTAAAATAAACATAAACAAAACTAGCCTGCTGGGGAGAAAATGCTCTAGCCCAGCTTTCAGTGTTGCTAAACCACCCTCCTATCTATGGGCTTATACCTGTTGTGTGGCATAGTTCTCAGTATGTGAGAGGTTCCTGGCAGAAGCTCAGGACCCTGTAGCTATTCTTGATTTCGTCCTTGTATTGCCAGCTGTTGTTTCCCCCCAGCAAGTTTCTAGTCCCTTTTATTAAGGAAAATATAAGGAAAAACCTGGGGGCAGGTAGGCATTCTTAGCTCATTGCTCAGTGAGAAGCAAACCTTCGCCAGTCACCCACTGTCCCAAGCCTTGCAGGCAAGGGCACTGAGATTATTTACGAAGCACTCAAGAATATTTTTTTTAAGTGCTGTACAAACAGTAGGATAGACCTGCGGCCAGTGGCTTGCAGTCTTAGACACAATAGCAAAAGGAGGAGGTGTGGGTAGAGAAGGAAAGGGAAAAGCCCATTCGGATACCAAACGTGTTTTCATTTATCATTGGGCTGGATAAAGATCAGTAAGCAAGGCAGTCTCTGCTGTAGGCTTGCAGTCTGATAGACATGACACAAAAGGAAAGTGGAATGAGGAGGGCATGGGAAAATAAGCAAATTAAGGCTCCAAGTCTTAAAAGTTAATGTATCACCATTGATAAATTCTGACATCATGAACGCGAGGTCAGTGCAGGAAGCAGTTATGGATGGCATAGACTCAAATGGTGGTTGGTCCCAGCCAAGCCAATGGAGGGCGTCCCATGGTGTAACCTTGCCCTCTCACGCAGGCAGGCAGGATGATTGACAGTTAGTGGAAGCAATGGCTTCACTTCCCTGTTTTACATGTATAGACCAATGCAGAGGGGAGCAGGGAAGGAGGGCCTTTCTGAACTTTCCTTCCTTCTCTCATTTAATGTTGCATTGATTAGGACTGGAGTGTTGTTGATTTTATTTTGCATTTCTGTGCCACTTTCCTTTCAAATGAACCCCAAAGTGACTTATAAACCATAAATAGCAATGGCATAATAAGAGCATCACAAGCACAGCATAGATCACATAATTAACAAATCATCAGCAAAACAATAGCAGTCTCTAAAACTCTCTTAACAAACCAGCAACTAAGAAATAAGCTAACGCTCGCAATTACGGCGTCAGTCATATTATATGATTACCAAATCAATGGGGCATTTATAATCTATAGAACGATATTAAACAAGAAAGCAACTAAAAATAAGCTATTAAGTTCTCTCTCACACACGCACACACCTTCTCTCAATGACTCATAATCTTTCGCTCTGTTCAGTTCATTAAAACACACATACCCATCCATCATCTGGGAGTTTTGGGGAGTCGCCATCTTGAATTGACACAAGAGGGCCAGGTGAGAAGGAATCCGGCCCCGCCTTTCCTCAGCCGGCTGCCAGCTGCTTCTTTCCTAACTGCCTTCCTTTCTTTCAGCTCTGTTACCTTCATGTGGACCTCATACTGAACCGCCTCGGGGCCAAAGAGGCGAAGAAGCAGTTTGTGGAATTCTGCCATACGTTCCTAGACAAAGCCGGGGTAAGCCAACTCTGCGGGAGATCACTTCACGGTGACGATGGTTATCTTTATGAATCTATACCCTACGGGTGGTGTTCTCATAATCTTACTCAGAGTAGACCTATGGAAATTACTGGACCTCACTTTGTCCCATTTATTAATTTCAGAAGGTCTCCTCTGAGAAAAACATACAGGCCACAGTCACACCATAGGTTTAAAGAGCTGTGATAAAAATCAAAAAGTTGTGGCTTGCCTCCCCCCAGAGGATCCTGGGAGTTGTAGTCTGTTGTGGGCGCTGAGAGTTGTCAGGAGACACCTCCCCCCCTTTATTCCCCTCAACGGAGCTACAGTTCCCAAAGTGGTATAATAATAATAATAATAATAATTAATAATAATTTATTTATACCCCGCCCATCTGGCTGAGTTTCCCCAGCCACTCTGGGCGGCTTCCAATCAAGTGTTTAAAAACAGTGCAGCATTAAATATTAAAAACTTCCCTGAACAGGGCTGCCTTAAGATGTCTTTTAAAGATAGGATAGCTGTTTATTTCCTTCACATCTGAAGGGAGGGCGTTCCACAGGGTGGGTGCCACTACCGAGAAGGCCCTCTGTCTGGTTCCCTGTAACCTCACTTCTCGCAATGAGGGAACCGCCAGAAGGCCCTCGGAGCTGGATCTCACTGTGGGGGTGGAGACGCTCTTTCAACAGTCAATGCCTCTTCAGCAGCTCCGGGAATTGTAGCTCTGTGAGGGGAAATATGGGGCCTCCTGGCACCTTTTAAAAAAACTGCAGTTCCCAAGGTCATTTGGGGGAGAAGCCGTGTTTGAAGTGGTGTCATAGCGCTTTAAATGTATGTTGACTTACCACCCTCTCTGTCCACAAAAGTACATGAGGCAGCAACCATAAGATGGACACCATACGGAAGTACATTGCAGTAACAAACAGCAGTTGAAAACAAACTAGCAGCAGTTTTAAAAGCAGAAAATGGGATAGAAAGTGGAGAGCCTTGAGACACTCCCTTCCTCTCCTCCGGCACCACTTTCTCCAGCTGGCTTTAACCAGCGTTCTCTCATAACCAAGATTCGAAACCAAAGTTCTGAAGCTCCTGCAATTATTCCACTCCTTCTACAACTCGAGTGGTTTAGTAGCTGTGGGGCGATTCCCTCACAGGCCCGTTCAAGGGTTTTGGGCATCTCGCATGCTGCCTCAATGATGTCGGGGATCCACTTTTACCACAATTCAGGTTCAGCCTGGTCCACAACACGTGGCAGAATGAGGGGTTGCTTGTTCTAATCATTATCCCTTATCTTTTCGGCAGCTGCTGAGGGTCCCTGTTCCATCCTCCGTTCAGTTTGAGCTGGGTAAGACCCAAAGCGAATGATGTGCTTGTTGTGCGTGAGTATGCAGTAGGGAAACAGGGCTTTCATCTCTTTTGCACTGGGGAATTTTGCAGAAAGAGCGCGTTTTATGCAAAGTCAACCCTCTGGCGGTATTATTATTTGCAAATTATTATTGTTTTGCATAATAATTTACATGCGTTCAGAAACACCATAGATCCTTTTACGAAAGTCCTGGCAGACTGTGGCGAGAGAAGCAAATACAGTTAATAATAATAATAATAATAATAATAATAATAATAATAAATTTTATTTATATCCCGCCCTCCCCAGCCGAAGCCGGGCTCAGGGCGGATAACAACAATAAAACAGTACAAAAGTACAGCACAAACAACACTCTAAAATCATTCATTATAAAATTAATTAATTCAAGCCACTGACAACCATTGGGCCAGAGCTCCGCAAGATTGCCAAGGGAGGGAGTCAGGCTGTGCCCTGGCCAAAGGCCTGGTGGAACAGCTCTGTCTTGCAGGCCCTGCGGAAAGATGTCAAGTCCCGCAGGGCCCTGGTCTCTTGTGACAGAGTGTTCCACCAGATCGGAGCCACGGCCGAAAAGCCCTGGCTCTAGTTGAGGCCAGCCTAACTTCTCTGTGGCCTGGGACCTTCAAGATGTTTTTATTTGAAGACCGTAAGTTTCTCTGTGGGGCATACCAGGAGAGGCGGTCCCGTAGGTATGAGGGTCCTAGGCCGTATAGGGCTTTAAAGGTTAAAACCAGCACCTTAAACCTGATCCTGTACTCCACCGGGAGCCAGTGCAGCTGGTATAGCACCGGGTGAATGTGATCTTGCAGCGAAGACCCCGTAAGGAGTCTCGCCGCGGCATTCTGCACCTGCTGGAGTTTCTGGGTCAGTCTCAAGGGCAGCCCCACGTAGAGCGAGTTACAATAATCCAGTCTGGAGGTGACTGTCGCGTGGATCACAGTGGCTAGGTCAGGGCGAGAGAGGTAAGGAGCCAACTGCTTAGCTTGGCGGAGATGGGTTATGGGTCTTGTGCAGCTTGACGTAATTGCAGGAGAGCCATGGAATTTTGCCACTGGTAGCAAAGTCCAGCATCTTGAAAACACTGGCATTTTTTGTTCTGCCGGCTAAAAGTCAAGTTAGTAGTTCTTGTGGATGTGCAAAGTGTGTGGGCATTGCCTGATGGCAACTCTGGAGCAATAGGGGAAGCCAGGTGTGTGGGGGGTGGGGGTTTTTTACCATGACTTACCAGGATTTTCATTGGACAGGCTTACCAGAAGGTGCTCTCAATAGCTGAGGACTCTGCTCCCTGGCTGGCAAGGGCAGGAATAAAATTATGCAAGGTTGCTTCGTTTATGCAGGATTCAGTTTTTGTTTGTATGTGAAGCATTTTCATATTAAGTGCAAACTATGTGGAATTGCTGCAGGACCAGGTAATTGGAGCTAGAGGGGAAGTTGCACAGAAGGCAGAAAATTTTGCAAGTTGGTTGGAGGCACGGCAAGTGAGTTTCATCAGCTGCCTTGGGCAAGGATTGCCCCTCCCAGTCCAAAACTGAAGAGGCTTTTATGGCACAGTAGCTCCTAAAGCCTGTGGGCTGTTCCCCACCCCATCCCACCCTCCGCTCCTTGCAGTTAGTGATCTAATGGTTAGAGTGTCGAACTGCGAGACCACAGTTCAAATCCCCCTACCCAGCCATGAAGCTCACTAGATGACCTTGGGCCAGTCACTTGCTACTCAGCCTGACCTCCCTTTCAGGGTTGTTGTGAAGATAAAAAGCAAGGCGGGGAGAACCACGCTCCCTCCCTTGAGCTCCTTGGACGGAAAGGCAGTACAGTGGTACCTCTGGATACGAACGGAATCCGTTCCGGAGCCCCGTTCGCATCCAGAAGTGAACGCAACCCGCGTCTGCGTGTCGCAATTTGCCGCTTCTGCGCACACGCATGACATCATTTTGACCGTCTGCGCATGCGCGAGTGGCAAAACCCGGAAGTAACGCGTTCCATTATTTCCGGGTTGCCGCAGAGCGCAACCCGAAAGCACTCAACCTGAAGCAACTTCAACCCGAGGTATGACTGTACAGTGATACCTCGGGTTAAGTACTGAATTTGTTCCGGAGCTCCGTACTTAACCTGAAACTGTTCTTAACCTGAAGCACTACTTTAGCTAATGGGGCGTCCTGCTGCTGCCACGCCGCCGGAGCCCAATTTCTGTTCTCATCCTGAAGCACTATTTCTGGCTTAGTGGAGTGTGTAACCTGAAGCGTATGTAACCTGAAGCGTATGTAACCCGAGGTACCACTGTATATAAACATAACAAACGCAGGAAATACTTAGGGAAAGAAGCTGCAGGGCTGAACTGAAATATCTACCCACTCTGGAGTTGGCGATCCTGGTTGCCACACAGCAGACGTGTTGCAAAATTACGTTTTAAGCTCACGGCAAAGAGGAGCCGGGAGTTGACTTAACACTTGTTGCTGCACTTCACAAAAGCATGTGACATAATGTATAACCGCGTTGGGTCTCCGGTGGTGCAGCAAGACTGCTTGCCTGGTCCCTGGTCCCGTTCTGCTCCCTTTCCAGATATTGTCGCCTTCGCCCCTCCCTCCGAGCTGCAGCCCCTAAACTGTTCTCCCTCCTCCCTGCCTCCGCCGGCCCCCCCCAGCAGTCTCTGCGGCTTGCTCCCCCTCCTGGCTTTCTAGATCGCAGCTGTCGGGGAGCCCCACCCAGCTGGTGAAACTCTGTGAAACTCTGTGAAAGACAGGAAGTTTGGGGGTGGGGAGTGAGGCAGGGAAGGCTACTGCTCTTCCCCCGCTGCCTCGGCCAATTGATGAGCTCATCTGGAGCCACGGACTGGCCCTGCCCATTTCTCCTGCCACGCTGGGGGTTGGGGGGGGCAGTTTAGAAATCTGGGTGCAGCCAGGCGACGGGTCCTGCGGCTTCGTGGCACCATCTAGTGGGCTTGCCTGCCAATTGCAGCTGACTGCCACACACTCTGGAGAGCGCCCAGCCTCAGAATGGAATTTCTGATATGAAAAATGTGCCGTGGTGCCACACGACTGTGGTGCCACATGGTGGTTAAGCATTTGGGAAGATCTCTGCAGGCAGGGTGGGTGGGTGGGTGTGAGAGAGAGAGAGGGGGAGGAGCTTCTAGGAAACAGGACTTTTGCACTGGGGGGGTGTATGCGAGAGAAATGAAAAGAGAGGGGGAGAAGCACCATTCACTCACCCCTAGAACACTGAAAGAGGGTCAGGGGAGAGGGCAGGGCCACCCCCTGTCTGTGCTTCCTGTGAATGAGTGAGCAAATGTGTTTTTATATATATTGCACAGAGAGAAGGCAGGGGTGCAAACGTAGGCGAACCTTTCGATTTGGACCACATTCGCACCATTCGTTTGAAGCAGATATTGCAAAGCTACACTTCTCAGAGTTCCTTGTGACAAGGGATTGGTTGTTAACCCCTTCTGGAAAGTAGCTTTGAGAAGGGGATAGTGGGAGGGTGTCTCCTAACAATTCTCAGCGCCCTTAACAAACCTTAACTAAAGCAGGCATAGGCAAACTCAGCCCTCCAGATGTTTTGGGACTACAACTCCCACCATCCCTAGCCAGCAAGATGAATGCCTCGCAAGACGAAAGAGTTTTTCGTTTTTTGAGTTGCTTCGCAAGACGAATTTCCCTATGGGCTTGCTTCGCAAGACGAAAACGTCTTGCAAGTTTGTTTCCTTTTGGATTTTCAATGTATTCCTATGGGAAACCGTGCTTCGCAAGACGAAAAATTCGCAAGACGAAAAAACTCGCAGAACGAATTAATTTCGTCTTGCGAGGCACCACTGTAGTCTCAAAACATCTGGAGGGCTGAGTTTGCCTATGCCAGGTTTAAAGGGATGTTGTGGCTCTTTAAATGTGCTGCGTGAATGTGGCCTTAGAAATAGCTGGAAAAAATGGAATCATCATCATCACCAGAGATATTCATATATTCATATATATGAATTATTTCTGAACGAACCCCTCATTGAAAGAGTCTAGGCTGGCTTGCAAAAGTGCGAATGAAACCAAGCAACAGTAAAAAATAATAATAACTTGAAGCCAGGAAATAAACGTGACAAAATGCAACAAGGCAAGGGAAATAAAGAGGGTTTTTTAAAAAAAGACTGAATAAGATTACTTTCAAAAAAATATTTTAAATACCTGGGAGAGATCTCTATACTTTGTTCTTAAAACAGAATAATACATTATTCCTTGAGTAACCCAGGTTCCAGGATCAGTGGCCCCCTTTGTGATGTCTGAGAATCCAATTCAGCCACCCAGTTCCCCCATATTTCTGAGATTTCACCCAACAGTGCTCACAGATATATATATATATATATATATATATATATATATATATATATATAAATAAAGTAGAGGGAGGAGAAAGTGATAGTAACTGTGTTCAATCATAGATGTGCTAGGTAAATTAAGCCCCAGCGGGACACGGGTGGCACTGTGGTCTAAACCACTGAGCCTCTTGGGCTTGCCGATCAGAAAGTTGGTGGTTTGAATCCTTGTGACGGGGTGAGCTCCCGTTGTTCGGTCCCAGCTCGCTTTATTGGCCAAGGGAGCCGGCGTACAGCTTCCGGGTCATGGGGCCAGCATGACTAAGCCGCTTCTGGCGAAACAGAGCAGCGCACGGAAACGCCATTTACCTTCCCGCCGGAGCGGTACCTATTTATCTACTTGCACTTTGGCATGCTTTCGAACTGCTAGGTTGGCAGGAGCAGGGACCGAGCAACGGGAGCTCACCCCGTCGCGGGGATTCGAACCGCCGACCTTCTGATCGGCAAGCCCTAGGCTCTGTGGTTTAACCCACAGTGCCATCAGCGTCCCTTGTATAGACCCCTCCAATTGTCATTGTAGGTCTCCAAATCTCAGGCTCTGAATCCTCTTTTCCCCCAGCCTTTCCAATCCCACAGCATTTTTATTAGATATACTCGGGGACTCCTGAAAGCAAATACGCCCTTGCGTCATGAGAGCACAGCTGCACAGAAGCAGAGGTGACTCTCTTCTCCTCCCCTCATTGAAAGGGGGCCACAAATAAACACACAGCTGCTCCACCCCAGAGATGACTGCATTACCGTCCTAGGACAGCTTGCTCTGCTCCAGAGGCTGCTTCCATGTTGGCAGCATGCCAGAGACAGTGGCATCCAAACAGCTGCAAGCGGTTTGCCTTGACGATGCTATGTTTGCACAAAATCACAGAGGAGATGCCTCCCCTCGGAGCGATCTCCGAATCCCAGGGCAGTTCTCCAGTCAGTCCTGTAGGCTGATCACTTTTTGTTTATTCCGCAGGCCGGCTGCCAGGACAGCTGGGAGTGCTTTGAAGGGCTTATTTTCCGAGTCTCTGCGGTTGTTTCTAGTTCGGTTTGAGGAGTTTGTTTATTTTTATTTTTTTTAATTGCTCTTGTACAAATATAGCAGCAAGAATACCCCTCTGGACTTTAAGGATACGGACCGTGAAAGGAAGCACAGAGCGACGTGGACTTGGGAAAGTTCCTAGGACACCCTTGTAGCAGGAACAAATATGGCATTGATGATGCCAGCAGCAGCCATAGATCTTCGTCATGGTGCTGTCAGGCGAAGAGGGAGGTGGAACACTTAGTTTGCAGAGTTGCAGCCTTGCCGTATGTCGAGGGCTGGAGATCTGAGAGTTGAACCTGCCAGAGTTCTCAGGATTCCAGTTCTCATGTCCTCTTACAGCAAGCACACTCCTAGGCCATCCATTCGGAGGAGTCCATCCTTCCACCTCTGTCGTGTTTCTGAAAAGCAAAAAAAAATCTGCGTTCTTTTGAGTTCGTATTAATGCACGCATTGCGTTGTGAATGCAGCATGAAGATTCAGTCGGCCCGATGAGCTGAAGTCGTGCAATGGCTGTGTGCCGTGAGTCAGGAGGTTCCAGATCTCAATCCTATCTCTGTTGCACACTCATTTAGGCAACATCAAATTGTAGTGCACCCCAGATCTGCAAACTGGGAGCAGGAATACCGATGTACCTTACGGGATTTTTGCTAGGGTGACTGAGATAATGTATGTGAAGCATGCTGGAGCACTGGACTCCAAGAAGTGCTGAATTATTACTGAACGATAACAAAGAGGGCAAACTTCTTCCTCCTCAGATTCTCTTTTTGCCCAGCAGCTTCTTAACATGTTTCCAATTAGTAAAAAACCAACCAACCTCCAAATTACTTTTTAAAAACTTTGCACAGAACTATGCAGATTGCAATATGCAAATTCAGTTGTCCATCTTACTGCAGAAGTTCTGCAGTGCAAGGGATCTTTCAGTTCCCGTTTCCCTGTAGGAGGGAAACTTGAATGCTTCTGAGTGTTTGCTGGTGAGAAGGTATTTTGGAAACTGTCTTGAGGTTTTGGGAGAATTCCCCTGCCTTAAAAACGATACCTTGGCAATGGGCCTCCGGAGCCTCTCAGTACCCCACGCAACCAGTTTTGCAGCATGCCTAAAATTTTGGGGCCCTCCTCTCTCCTTACCGCAGATCGTAACCGACCTGAGCTTCTGCCCGATGACCAGCAACGAAAACACTTGCAGGACATCCAGGCTTTCCAAGAACAGGAGATTGCTCGGCAGCTGGAGGACTTCAGGTACAGACCCTGCAGCCATCGGGCACGGAGGTTGTGGCAGAGAGGATCGTGGAGGGCTGGGCATCCTCTGAGGGTGGTAAAACTAACCAGAGTGCGCCCTCTGGCAATCTAGACCCCTGAGAGGGTCTGTAGGGCCCATTGGCCCACCCAGTATCGCCTACACTCATTGGCAGCAGCAGCAGCAGCTTGCCAAAGTTTCCAACAGGGGTTTATTCCCAGCCTACCTGAAGATGCAGAGGTTTGATCCAAGGATATTCTGTGTGTAGAACAGATGCCCTTCTGCTGGGCTGCAGCCCTTCCCCAGCACATTGCATTGTGCTGATTCAGACGATTGGTGCATCTAGTTCAGTATTGTCGGCACTGTCTGGCAGCAGCTCTCCAGGGTGTCGGGCAAAGGGCCTTTCCAGTCCTGTTTGGGGGTGCTGGAAAGCGAACCTAGAGCCTTCCCCATGCAATGCACATGCTCTACCGGTGAGCTACAGCTCTTTCCCTTCCAATAGAATCATTGGCTTGTAGAGTTGGAAGGGACCACGAGAGTCATCTAGTCCAACCCCCTTCAGTGCAAGAATCCTTTGCCCCAACATGGGACTCGAACACACAACCTTGAGATTAAGAGCCTCAAGACCTACTGACTGAGCTTTCCTAGTTCACTGGGGTTGGGGAGCAGAGGCACCTTTCTTCCTGAGCTGATTCGGCTCAGGGCATGGGTTTGTGGCACGAAAGAGCCCTCACTGCCTCCTCCTTTGTTTCCGGCAGGGAAAAGAGGAAGATGGGGATGACCCCGGGGGAGTCTGAGCTCTTTGAGTTGGAAGGCTATCGGACGAAGGACAAAGGCATCCGCGAGGCCAAGGAGAAGCAGCTGGCTGAGTTGCTGATGGTGAAGCTGGAGGAGATGCAGTGAGTGAATGTCTCTCTGTTCACCCGGCGCCTCATCATTGAGCCTGCCCATCCAGATCCACAGCCCAGAAAGCAGGCGGCAGTCTCTTCCTAGACACAGCTTCCCTGACATAGAATTGCAGGGGTACCCCAAAGGTCATCTAGTCCAACCCTCTGCAACGCAACATGGGGCTCAAACCCACGACCCTGAGATTAAGAGTCTCATGCTCTACAGTCTTCATTTTATTTTATTATTAAATCTTTATTGGTTTAAAATACAAAGATACAAACATACAACGAAGGTAAGTATTTCAGATTTAAATAAAAAAAAAAGAAAGGAAAAAAAGAAAAATTTTAAAAGAGAAAAAAATGATAAAAAGAAAAAAAAACATTCACAATCTTTTTTTCATTTCATTTCATTTTATTATTAAATCTTTATTGGTTTAAAATACAAAGATACAAACATACAACAAAGGTAAGTATTTCAGATTTAAATACAAAAAAAAGAAAGAAAGGAAAAAAAGAAAAATTTTAAAACAGAAAAAAATGATAAAAAGAAAAAAAAAACATTCACAATCTTTTTTTTTTTTTAAAGGCCAGGGAATATCTGGGTGGGGGGGAAATATATATATATATATATATATATATATATATATATATATATCCTTTTTCCATACCAATATCTTCCCTGCCCCCCTTTTTTTTTAAATGCCTGGTCAGCAAAACAAAATGGACACTGAAGCTTCTTAAAACCTCCTACTTCTTATTTAGGCTTAGTGGACCTACTTAGGTTGTTTTTAATTTTAAGCAACCCCACCACCCCAGGCTGTGCTGGTCCCATCCACACTTCCGACTTCTCCCAGGGAAAATGGATTCACCCAGACTGGCGTCTCTGTCGTGCAGACCTTGCCTCTTTTTCCCAGGAACCGAGTTTCTGGTCCCGTTCGCTCTGGGCGCAGCGCCAGGAACTGGCCTCTGATGTCTCATCCCTGAGGATGTGGCCAAGGCATGCTGATTACGGCCTCCCTCGGCCGCCACCCCTTCGCTGCCAAGTTCCTTCCAGATAATAGAAACCATCTGTCAAGCAGGGGAAGAAAGAAAGAGGGAGACATCCCCCGCCCAGGCCGGGATATTGCCTCCTGTTGCATCATCCAGGCAGGGTGTATAAACTCCCCTCGCAGCCCCCCTGTCCCCATCTCAGTCCTTGCACCCGACTCGACCCAGCAGCTCCGTTCCAGCTGTGAGCGCCTCTCGAGAGCCCCCCGCATCTCAGAACATGCGTATATGCCTTTCAACTTTTATTCTCTCACCGCGCAAATATGGGGCTGTTGTACGGGTGAGTTTAAACCTGCAAGGAGCCGGGGGGAGAAGGTGGGGAGTTTGCTCCTGAGTTGCAGCTTCCTCTGGGGTTGGTGCTGTGAGTCTGGGGGTGCAGCCCCTGCTTTAGGGATTTGGCATAGACATAGAATCATAAGAGTTGGAAAGGGAGCTTGAGGATCATCTATTCCAATCCCCTGCAATGCAGGAAAATGCAGCTCTCCCGTACGGGAATCGAACCTGCAACCTTGACATTCTCAGCACCACGCTGTAACCAACTGAGCCGTCCAAGCTATCCGTCTCTGCCTGCTTCTTCCCTTCAGTTGTTGAGAGTCAAAGCGGCCAGCATGTTGGACTGGGATCAGGGAGACGTGCGTTCAAATCCTTACGAGGCTGGGGAGCCTGCCTCTTCTTAAACCTTGGCCAGACCTTGCTACCATACAGGGTCCCTCGGGGTTACTTTGGATGAGGGTAAACTGGGAGAGTGCCCACCCTGAGCTGCTTGGCAGAAGCAAAGGGGGCACAGATCGAGTAGGTGAACAAATGTGGATTTCACAAACCAATCTCTGTCATACTTGCAATAATATTTTATTTTATGCTCTTGTTAGTTAGGCTCTTTTAAATGTGCATTTTATATTTGACTTCACTTAGCAATGGTTTGTTTGTTTTTTTGAAATGTTTAAGGGTGGTTTTTTGTTAACTTTGTGTTAAATATGTATTCTGTAGTTGACCTCCTTTGTAATGTTTTATTTTGAATATTTTAGCTTCCTGTTAATTATGTTGCTTTGGCTGTATGCTCTATATTTGAGTTCCTTCAGAAATGTTGGATTCTGGATTGTTTTATTGATTTTTGTTTTATTGATTTTTATTTAAAATATAAAACAGTATAGAAATGAAATTAATAATAATAATAATAACAATATTTTCTCTTTCTCCTTCTTTTTCATTGTCAATTCCAGCCCCACCATTTCTGTCGACGAGGAGAAAAGGTACATAACAGGCAGGGCTGTGGAGACAGTTGTTTTGGCTGTGTGTAGGGGGGGTTCAATGGTTTTATTTCCACAGTTCAGCCCCTGCAGAGTTCCATGACACGCATACTGCCAGATGCGACCTGCAGGAAATTTAGCTCCGCCGCTGCTCAGGAAGTTGTGTGTGGTTGTGTGTGTGTGTGTAGGCGAGGGTAGAGGGAAGGTAGGCCGTCCTTTGAACCTTTGAGCTTTTGACAGTGACAAAAGGCAGCAGCCTGCCTGAGAAGGCAGAAGAAGCTGGCTTATCCCAGAGTCAGGCCACTTGCCCACCAAAACCAGCACTGTCTGCAAAAACTGGTAGCCACTCTCCAAGCTGTGGAGCAAAAGGTCCTTTTCAGCCCTGCTTGCTTGTTACCTGGAAGCGGCAGAGATCTTTTCACCTGAGGTCTTTTCACAGGCAAGAGTTTATGCATTTCCATTGGATCTCAGGGCCCCTTGCCGTCCCTTCTGCTGCCTGCCTGGACCAGATCCGTGCCATACATTTAAATCCCAAGGCTTTCCCCCTAGAATCTTGGGAACAGTCTTTTGCTAAGGGTGCTGGGAATCATTAGCTCTGTGTAAACTACAGTTCCCAGGATTCTTTGCTGGAGGGGCGGGACAGAGCCATGAGCTGTAAACATGCTTAATGTGCGGTGTGGGCAAGTGTCTTTTATGAAGGCCCATTGTAGCTGCTTAGTGACCTCTGCCCCCCTCCCGCCCCCGGCACAGGCATTTTTGGAGCTGTACCAATGAATCATACCCTGTGTGCATGTGTGTGTATAGAATTTGGAATAGTGCTTCAGGAGCATGCATATATGGGAATGTTGCACCAAAATAGTCTTTCCTCCTATATATGCATACCATAACAATGTGAGAAGAGCATGGCACAGAAGTGAATGACAGTTCAATTGCTGGTGACCTTGACGTGTGCCATCAGGGGGCATCATATAAATGTTCCGGTTGATGTCGCCAGAGAATTGACTAGATAATACCAAAACTGAAAGCAGATCAGTCGGCTCAGTTCTGCCTTCCCCAAGTTGTATGTCTCCCTCTGCTGTCTGCAACCACTCAACAACTTTTCGTTTTCCTCTCTCTCCCCTCTGGTCCCTTAGTTCTGCCATTTTTGCTGCCGTTGTGACATATATGAAGTCCCTGGGGGTTAAGACGAAAGCTGCCGATAACAAAAAGTCGAAAGCCAACTTCTTCCGCAAGAAGGTATGGAGAAGCCTGAAACCCAGAATGGCACCATTTCCCCCCTGTGTATTTGCTTCAGGTTGATTATCAAGGTTGTTTTGCATTTTGTGGATTTGCAAGCGACCTCTTTTCATGGAAAACAATGAATAAATGTACCGTAGCAAAGAATAATAATCTGGGACCTGGTGCCTGTCCCTTACCCGGCCACCCCCAAATGATGAGAACTTAAACTGGTTTACTAAAGTCCTAGCTCTTGCCTTTCAAGAAAGGGCTTCACCTTTGTGAGAATTGGATAAATCTAGAACACATCCCAGAGAGTCCATATTTGGGCAGAGGTGGGATTAGGAAGCTACTTCATCCCTACCTTTGAAGGTGACCCGGAAACTACAATTAATCCAGAATGCGGCAGCTAGACTGATGACTGGGAGCAGCCGCCGAGACCACATAACACCGGTCCTGAAAAACCTATATTGGGTCCCAGTACACTTCTGAGCACAAATCAAAGTGTTGGTGCTGACCTTAAAAGCCCTAAACAGCCTCGGTTCTGTATACCTGAAGGAGCGTCTCCACCCCCATCGTTCAGCCCGGACACTGAGGTCCAGTGCTGAGGGCCTTCTGGCGGTTCCCTCACTGCAAGAAGTGAGGTTACAGGGAACCAGGCAGAGGGCCTTCTCGGTAGTGACACTCGCCCTGTGGAACGCCCTCCCATCAGATGTCAAGAAAATAAACAACTACAGTGGTACCTCGGGTTAAGAACTTAATTTGTACTGGAGGTCCGTTCTTAACCTGTAACTGTTCTTAACCTGAGGTATTACTTTAGCTAATGGGGCCTCCCGCTGCCACCGCACAATTTCTGTTCTCATCCTGAAGCAAAGTTCCTAACCCATTTCTGGGTTAGTGAAGTTTGTAACCTGAAGGGTCTGTAACCCGAGGTACCACTGTATCTGACTTTTAGAAGACATCTGAAGGCAGCCCTGTTTAGGGAAGTTTTTAATGTTTGATCATATTTTAATATTTTGTTGGGAGCCGCCCAGAGTGGCTGGGAAAACCCAGACAGATGGGTGGCGTATTAATAACAACAGCAACAACAACAACAATTAGTGAGGCCATTGGGACCATCTAACTCCAAATTGCTTACACTGACTGGCAGAATTTAAGACATGGGAAGTTCCCAGTCCTGCTTGGAGATGCAAAACAGATGATTTTCCATCGAGCCGCAGCTCTTACTCATTCTTCCTCTCTCGTCCTCCTTGTTTCCTGCTCACCCAGATTTCAGGGACCAAGAAGCCCGAGGAAGCTCCCAGATCAAAGAAGAGCTTCAGCATTTTGGACCCAGCCCGCTGGAACCGGGGAGACTCCCACTGTAAGTATGCATTTGTGGGCAGGAGCAGAGCCCTGGTTCAGGAACCTGCTCAGCTCAATAGTCCACAACCTCCCCGGTCATTAAAAAAACAAACCCTTAAGCGAAGGGAAAAGCGCCAAGGGTCTTCCCAGAAGAAATGAAGGCAAGCCCCCAAAGTGAGTGTGTCCACTCTTGCCCCCATCCTGGAAACAACAGACATGACAGGGATAAGGGAGGGTTGAGGCTGCATAGAAAAGCTGCCCTCTTCTGAGTTAGGTCAGTATAGCCTGCACCAGCTGGCAGCAGCTCTCCTGGTTTCTTGCATGGTTTCCCACTGAGCGACATCCCTTCTCTGGAAATGCCTAGGACTGGCCTCTCTGGAGCAGGTTCTCTAGCTAGTAATTGTATCTTAGAATCTGAAGATCAGGGCTTGACCCCTTATAGATAAGTTTACAGTGAGGGTTTCCTCTCCTACTGTCCAGTTTGCATGCGCCAGGCCAGCTTGAGTGGTGAGTCTGGCATGCTCTTTGCCCATAAGTATTTTTTAATAATAATAATAATAATAATGGAGGATTATTATTATTATTTAACGCAGGCAGGCGCTGTTGTCCCTGGGTGGGGTTTGGTTTTGTACCTCTCTCTTCCTCTGCCCCGTTTTGCCTTCCCTCCTCCATTTCTCCTCCTCTTCTTTTTTCCTGCATTTTTTGTAGATTCTGATTACAGACAACCCAAACCAGAGGGTGAAGGTACCAGCGCCCCTCCTCCTCCTCCTCTTCTCCCCCACCCCAATAACGCATGACGCCCCATGTGTCACCTTGTCCCTCTCTTTGCGGAGGGGTCCGCATTAAACTAATGCACTCCCTTGTAACCTCAGGCACTAACTTTTTGTATTCATGGTTTAACATAACAACGTCCCCTTTCACATAACAACGTTCCCCCTCCCCACTGCCCCACCCTCCAGATCATACTATATTACTAATATATCACACACATTCCGGTACAAGCCCATCATACTCGTCAACGTTATCAGACAACTTCCTTTGGCATGCTGTGGCTGCTCGCTGTGTCTCCATCCGTGTGTCTGTCTGTGGGAACTGTGTCTGTATTGGCTTAAAATTGGGCAAGTTAAGTGGGAGAGGACTCCTGGGTTCCTCCCTCTTCTCTGAAGGCTTATGCACTTACAAAATAGTGCCCTTACACATTTTACATGCACCCCCCCAAAAAAAAATCAATTAGCTTTTCCTAGAGAGCCAGTGTGGTGTAGTGGTTAAGAGCGGTAGACTCGTAATCTGGTGAACCGGGTTCGCGTCTCTGCTCCTCCACATGCAGCTGCTGGGTGACCTTGGGCCAGTCACACTTCTCTGAAGTCTCTCAGCCCCACTCACCTCACAGAGTGTTTGTTGTGGGGAAGGAAGGGAAAGGAGAATATTAGCCGCTTTGAGACTCCTTAGGGTAGTGATAAAGCGGGATATCAAATCCAAACTCTTCTTCTTCCTTGTCACGGACACTTAAATTATTGGGGAAGGAGGAGTGGCTGGATTCCAACTTCCACCAGCCCAAGCCATCATTATACAGTAGTACCTTGGGTTACAGACGCTTCAGGTTACAGACGCTTCAGGTTACAGACTCCGCTAACCCAGAAATACAGTGGTACCTCGGGTTAAGTACTTAATTCGTTCCAGAGGTCCGTTCTTAACCTGAAACTGTTCTTAACCTGAAGCACCACTTCAGCTAATGGGGCCTCCTGCTGCCGCTGCACGATTTCTGTTCTCATCCTGAAGCAAAGTTCTTAACCTGAGGTACTATTTCTGGGTTAGCGGAGTCTGTAACCTGAAGCGTATGTAACCTGAAGCGTCTGTAACCTGAGGTACCACTGTAGTACCTCAGGTTAATAACTTTGCTTCAGGATGAGAACAGAAGTTGTGTGGCGGCAGCAGGGGGAGGCCCCATTAGTTAAAGTGGTGCTTCAGGTTAAGAACAGTTTCAGGTTAAGAACGGGCCTCCATAACGAATTAAGTTCTTAACCCGAGGTACCACTGTACTAAGTCCACGATAACCTATTCTGTCATTCTGAAGACACAGGCTCAGTGATGCTCAATCTTCACACTCATGTTTTGTTTGGTAATTACTGTACAGTGGTAGTACCTTGGTTCTTAAACTTAATCCATTCCGGAAGTCTGTTCCAAAACCAAAGCGTTCCAAAACCAAAGCGCTTTCCCATAGAAAGCAATGCAAAACGGATTAATCCATTCCAGACTTTTAAAATACAACCCCTAAAACTGTAATTTAACATGAATTTCACTATCTAACGAGACCATTGCTCCGTAAAATGGAAGTAATAACCAGTGTACTGTACTATATAATAAATAAAACAGTATTGCAGATGATAAAAATTAAAATTAATTTGTTTTCCTTACCTGCGCTGATGATAGTCATTGTTTGGACAGGGGGCTTTTATCCATTTCTGCAGTCACACAATCAGTCAGTAGCTCAACTGGGTTCCACACAGCCACAAAAACAAATTAACCTAAAAAGCCTGTGACTTTTATAAGACATCTGAAGGCAGCCCTGTTTAGGGAAGTTTTTAATGTTTGATGTTTTATCATGTTTTTAATATTCTGTTGGGAGCCACCCAGAGTGGCTGGGGAAATCCAGCCAGATGGGCAGGGTATAAATAAAAATAAATTATTATTATTATTATTAATTCACGTCGGCAGACCATAGCTGTCAACTTTTCCCTTTTCTTGCGAGGAATCCTATTCGGAATAAGGGAGTTTCCCTTTAAAAAAGGAAAATGTTGACAGCTATGGGGGCAGACCCTCATAACCTCTGCATTCAGTGAAGGGTTAAGATTCGAGCAAATTCATACATTTAGCAAGGGCTGGCAAATAATGCCAGCTATTTTTGAGGATTATCGGGGGTGGGCTGATAATGGCCTGGTTTGCTTGATCATGGCAAGCCACCTGCAAAACATCAGACTCTCTGCCCAGTAACTTTTGTGGTAGGATAGCTCAGTCAGTAGAGCATGAGACTCTTAACTTCAGAGTTATGGGTCCGAGCCCCACATTGGGTGAACGATTCCTGCATTGCAGGGGGTTGGACTGGATGACACTTGTGGTCCCAACTGTGAGTCAGGCCTCTGACATGGCCAACTCAGTATCTTCTACACCAGTGTCTCCCAAATTTGGGTCTCCAGCTTTTTTTGGACCACAACTCCCATCATCCCTGGCTAGCAGGACCAGTGGTCAGGAATGATGGGGATTGTAGTCCCAAAACAGCTGGAGACCCAAGTTTGGGGAAACCCTGATTTAAGGTATTTACTGCACCATCCCACTCAAATGGCCTATCACTGGCAGTGGCTCTCCAGGGATTGAACCGGGGACCTTCCGCATGCAAGTCAGATGCCCTCCCACTGAGCTATGGCCCTGGTGCCTTATGGGAAACTACCCAGAGCTTAAATGGCACTCTCTCTTCTCCATCCAGCATCTGAAATAGGGAGAGGTTTGGTATGTGCACAAGCCTTCAGAAGCGGGGGAAGTACAGGGAGGAGAACGGTGCGTTTAAAGTGATTAGGGAGTGCTATATGCAAGGACTCTGTGTCTTCTAAAGCTTATTTTCCCCCCTGTGTTTTTGTTTTTTTTGTCTCCTTTACAGCAGCTGATAAGGCGCCGGCCTCGGACAGGAAAGGAAAGCAATTGGAGGGAGGCCCACTGCGGAGCAAGGCAAACTTTTCAGGATCGGATCCTGCGGGAGTGTCCGTCACTGTTCACCCCCCTCCTGGGGAGGGCAATGACAGAGAGCAGGGTGAGAGATCACTGGGTGAGGCTGAGGGTGGAGAAGCTGGGGGGGGGAGAACTCTAAAAAGGGGGCAGGCGAAGGTGTTTGGGCCATTCCCAACCCCCTGATGACTTCTGTCCTCCCTTTGCCATCTCTAGGTGCTGACAGTCAGGTTTCAACTGATGCCTCAGACTCCCCGGTTACGGAGCAGCCCCTGGCTGGGGAGCAGCCCCCAGCTGAAGATGGCATAGAAAACGAAAGGTGAGAGGGGGCACCGTTTTGGGAACCTCAGGGGCAAGGAGGGGAGAGAGATAAGCAATCCCACACCCTCTCCCCTCTTTTGAATGCTTACCGTATTTTTCGCTCTATAGGACGCAGCGGACAATAGGACGCACCTTGTTTTAGAGGGGGGAGAACAAGAAAAAATAATTCTCCCCCTCTCTGCCCAGCGCCCCTTCAGCGAAGCGGCAGGAGGCGCAGCTCAGACAGGGGAGAATTTTCCCCTCTTGTTCTCCCCCTCTAAAACAAGGTGCCATTTAAGGTGCGTTCAGTCGCCTTCAGGCAGCTACCTTGGAAGCCTGGAGAGCAAGAGGGGTCGGTGCGCACCGACCCCTCTCGCTCTCCAGGCTTCAGGTTCCTTTCGACCTGCTCTTTGGGGCTGGCGGGGGGGAAGCCCACCGCCAGCCCCAAAGAGCTGGTCGGGGAGCAGCGGAAAGGCGCGCAGCGGAGAGCCTGCGCGTCACCTCTCCAGCTGGGAGAGGGTCGTGGGGCTATGGCTTCTTCACTCCATAGGACATGCACACACACTTCATTTTTGAAGGGGAAAAAGTGCATCCTATAGGGCGAAAAATACGGTATTTGTGTGTGGTTTGGTGATGCTCTGAGTACGCAGACAGTTGGTGGGTGTGCTAGTCTAAGGCTGGGGAAAGCTCTGCCCTTCCAGATGACTTGGACTGCAGCTCTAATTATTATTATTATTATTATTATTTTATTATTATTATTATTATTATTATATTTATACCCCGGCCAGAGCCGTCCTGCTGGCTCGGGCTGATGGGAGTTGGGATCCAGCGACATCTGAGAAGCCATGACTTTCCCGATTCCCTGCTCTAGTCCGTTTAATCTGGAGTTAAATGTTACGGGGGTCTTGCATAAGCACGGAGGGGGAAATCCCATGATGTCTCCAGAGTCCTGTTGTCACTTGGTTACTTGGCGCTTCCCTTCTCAGGGAACAGTATTCCTTCATTTGCTCTCATCCAGGTTTTCTGGTGTTTGTATGTAAGAGGGTTTTATTTTTTTTAAAGACCCTCTTCTCTCATAGCTTCCATTTAAAAAATAAAATAAAATGAGGATAGCGTTCCTTCCCTCTATTTCTCCCTGTCTCTCTTTTCTCTCTCTGTGTCTCTCCTTTCAGTGTTAACCAAATCACCCTTCTATATTCTGTTCTTCCCTTCTAGAAGGCGAAAAAGGTTGGTGGCTTCCTCTCACACACACTCCCTCACCCTTTGCATGAATTCCTTCCTCAGGGAAAGACACGCGAGCCGAGTTAAGTATGACCTTGTTATCCAAAGCTGCCTGGTTAGAACGGTGGCGCCCCTCTCGCCAAGTCCGTTGCTTGCGAAGCGGGGCGCCGTACGATGTTTGCTTGGGGGTGGCTGGGAGGGGGGCTAATTGGCTCAGTGACCCCTCCCTTGTGGGCACACAGTGGTGAACTTGGGGGTCATTGCAGCAGGTTCTGAGTCCTCATCCCTGGCCCCAGTAACGCTAGCGGTGTGGGGTGTTGGCCCTCACAAGAAACAGGGTTCCTTTTGAAGTTGCACCCTCTTTGGGGGGCTGCACCTGTTCTCTGAGGTTCTCTCAAACCTTTGCATGGCAGCACGGGGTATTCTGCCTGTGCCCGGAGCGTTTCCCCACTCTCCCCTGTTCTGGTGCATGGATCTCTTACTGGTTCTGGGATTCTCACTTTTTCCCCTTTCTCTTCCCTTGTCTTTCCACTGCCGCATGTGCTGCTGTCTGTTTTCCTCCGCTACCCCACCCAATTGGGTGCTTGCTTGGCTCGTTCACTTATTGGTTGTGACCCTCCGTCGTCTCCTTTCCCACTGGTGTATGGCGCGCTACGCCCCGCCCCGCCGTCTCTCGTGATTGGTCCGTGGCCCTCCCGTGTCCCGTGGCTCATCCCACCGACCTCCTTCCTCTCCAAATTTGGCTCGTCCAACCCAACGGCTCTCCCCCATCTGCGTCTTTTTTGGTGTGTGTCTGTGGCCCCCGGCTCTGCCTTGCCCACCCCCTCGCCAGGCTCTCAGCAAAGCTGGGCCGCTCCGAGAGCCTGAGGGTATACGAGCGGAAGCGGTCTCTGCGCGGCTCAGCCAAGGGCAAGCAGCCACGATCGCGGAGCGACGTGGACGTCGAGGCCGCTGCCCGTGCCAATGAGATGGAGGAGAAGCAGTCCCTAGAACAGGCTCGGCAGAAGCAGGGGAGTCGCAAGTAGGTGAAGAGATGCTCCCCCTCTGGAGGGCCCCCAGGAGGGGACGGACATGGGGCACCCACACCAGGAGCCAGGTTTCAAGCTTTTGCAAACCCCATTCCCGGGTTGGTCTTGTTTACCGCCTGCACTAAATGCTGGGGTGATGGTACTTTTCTACCAGAGAGCCAGAGTGGTGTAGTGGTTAAGAGCGATAGACTCGTAATCTGGGGAACTGGGTTCGCTTCTCCGCTCCCCCACATGCAGCTGCTGGGTGACCTTGGGCTGGTCACACTTCTCTGAAGTCTCTCAGCCCCACACACCTCACAGAGTGTTTGTTGTCGGAGAGGAAGGGAAAGGAGAATGTTAGCCGCTTTGAGACTCCTTCAGGTAGTGATAAAGCGGGATATCAAATCCAAACTCTTCTTTCTCCCCCGCTAACCAGTGTTGGAAACTCAGGTATATCACCTAGGTGCCGAATGGCACCCTAAACCTAATTAACCTTTGCCACATTGGTATGTGTCTATTCGCCAGAGGGTTGGGCTTTTATGATTCTGTTTAATCTCAGTTACGTCGCTTGACTGTAGCTTACAATTACAGCAGTTTGCTGGTCCCAGTATGCAAGAAGGAGAATTGCACACAGTGGAAATGGAAATGGCGTTAACTGTGGACTAAGGCAGAGGTTTTTAAACTGTGGTCTGTTAGTTCCGTTTGCGGCAAGGCTGCAGCACATTCAGATATATCTGTACTCAGCCTGGCCCTTAATTTCCTTCATGTGATGATGGAGGACTAAGATGCCCAGCCCATGATTCACGCAGCAGCGCAAGACCCGTGTCTTTTGCAGCACACGAGTCAGCTGACATGATGGAGGCATCAGTTGCGAACCTGGCGCCCAGAAATCTCCACGTGGTCGCAATTGGACCTGCCCCACTAGCAAAACATGCCTGGCGCCCCCTGGGAATTTTCAAGCATAACCACAGGGATAAAGTACTCCAGCTCCACACATGGACTGCTTCAGAGAAAAGTAAACCACAGGGGTTTGTCTCTCTTCTTTTGCCACAGTGCCAAAAGGGCAAGAAGTACCTTTATCCTATGTCCCCTGCTGTTGAACCAGGGTAGAGGGTCTCAATTTTTTTTCTTTTTCTTTTTACCACTTGAAACTTTCTGGGACCACTTAATAAACTTGTTTTTTTCGACAAATCCAAGCACACACAGAACTCATATTTTTATAACACTTCTTCATCAATACCAGCTTCACACTTGAAACTAGTTCTTTATTATGGAAATTGTGGTCCCTAGGCTAAGCTGCTAGGAAAGCCCCCTTTAACTGGTTTTTTTTTTAAATTAATTAATTGGCTATGCCAGTGCTGTGCCATATTATGAAAATCATAGGCCACTTTGTTGGTCTGTTCAGTAGTAGATCAAAATGGCCTCTGTTTCCATTGTTGGGGAAAGAATTACTCAAGCACAGAGACAAATGGAGAGATTCTCAACTTTTCCACAATATTTCTGTGGGCCATCTGCGCAGAGCTTGTGGACCACCCATCATCCACGGACCACACTTTAAGAACCTCTGAGCGAGGGAGGATGTAGACTTTGAAACTGCCACTCTAGCCAGCTATGTCTTCTGCCCAGGAGGACCAAAATAGTTCTATTCTCCCGAATAATCCACACTTTCTTTTTCAAGCTTTCCCATGGGAAATAGTAAACTATAACTGGTTTTTACAGCTGTAATTTAACCGGAAACTACCGCTTCCCAACTCGTGCTTACGAGAGGTAAATACAGTTCTGTCTGGAGAGATTTGATTTAACCATCATAACTAACAGCCACTGGTGGAGACTACTTCTAACTTTAAAAAAATAAACAAACAAATTTTGGCAACACAACAAACAAAACATTTGGTCCCTTCCAGCTCTACAATTCTATGATTCCACGTTTTGTAGCAAATTCTCTTGCTAGTTTGCCCAGTGATAAAATGCCAAAAGAATAAAAAAGCATTTGGTGAATTGATGGTTTCTATGGAAAATAGGGACGCGGGTGGCACTGTGGGAAAACCTCAGTGCCTAGGACTTGCCGATCGTATGGTCGGCGGTTCGAATCCCCGCGGCGGGGTGAGCTCCCGTCGTTCGGTCCCAGCTCCTGCCCACCTAGCAGTTCGAAAGCACTCTTAAGTGCAAGTAGATAAATAGGGACCGCTTTATAGCGGGAAGGTAAATGGCGTTTCCGTGTGCTGCGCTGGTGCTGGCTCGCCAGCTGCAGCTTCGTCACGCTGGCCCCGTGACCCGGAAGTGTCTTCGGACGGCGCCGGCTCCCGGCCTCTAGAGCGAGATGAGCACGCAACCCTAGAGTCGACTGGCCCGTACGGGCAGGGGTACCTTTACCTTTTACCTTTATGGAAAATATTAATAGCAATTCCTTGGGCTGGTGGTTTGATTTAATTTTGTATTCCGCTTTTCCAGCAGCAATGTTGAGCTACAAGTTGCCGGAGTGCTTTGGGATGGGCCCGGGACAATGCTTAACTTGTTTCTCTGTTTTTGCGTCGGCCTGCCCTCACTTTCTGTGTCTTCCTCTCTCTGCAGTCTGGAGCCGGGAGGGGCTGGGGGAGGGGAGCCCCCGCCGTCCTTTCTGCATCCCCAGTCTGAGGAGACTGAGCCGCGTGTTTCGGAACTGGAGCTGGACCCGCCCAACTGGCGGGAGCTCGTCCCCAAAGACACCCTCCTCAGGCTGAAGAAAAGCGAAGTGAAGCGGCAAGAGGTCATCAATGGTACGTAGCTCGCTCTCACCCCCAGGTTCCCCACTTCAGAACAGCATCAGTTGGGGCTGGGAAAACAGACAAGCCAAGGGAAGATGGGAGCAGGGTGGAACTGAGCCCAAAGCAAAACATTGGGGGTTGGACTAGATCACCCTTGGGGTGTCTTGCAGCGCCACAATTCTATGAGTCTAAGAGTGATATACCGTATTTTTACTCTATAAGACGCACTTTTTCCCTCCTAAAAAGTAAGGGGAAACCTGTGTGCGTCTTATGGAGCAAATGCAGGCTGTGCAGCTATCCCAGAAGCCAGAACAGCAAGAGGGATTGCTGCTTTCACTGCGCAGCGATCCCTCTTGCTGCTCTGGCTTCTGGGATTCAGAATTTTTTTTTTCTTGTTTTCCTCCAAAAACTGGGTGTCTTATGGTCTAGTGCGTCTTATAGAGCGAAAAATACAGTACGCTTTTGTTTAGCTGCGATGGGGAATTCTCCCTATGAGGAAAGGTTGCCACTTAATATGCAATTCCAGTCCAATTTCAGTTATGCCACATAACTTTAAAAACAGTTGCTTACTCACTCAGTTGTTAGCGTTCAGCCCCGGGGTCTTTATAGACGTTGCTCTGCAGTTTTGTGATGGGTGTGAACTGTAAATTTTATCTGCACTAGGCTTTGCCTTAACGGATTTGTTGTTTTAGTTTAAGCTGCGCCGTTCCTTGTGGGTGGAGGGCGGGATGCAGATATTTTGAATAACTGACTTGTCCCTGCTTCGGCAGGACAAGAAACTTGCTTTATTCCTTTCAAAAGAAATTACAAGTGTGACACACGCACCCCATCGACACCAGTGTGGTACTTGCAACCCCTGTTTGCTTTTCTTTGACATGCCTCCCGTTTATCTCTCATGCGCATTAATATCTAAATTGTAATAATAATAATAATAGTAATAATAATAATTTATTTATTTATTCCCCAGCCACTCTGGGCGGCTTCCAACAAAGTATTAAATACAGTAGTCTGTTAAACATTAAAAGCTTCCCTAAAGAGGGCTGCCTTCAGATGTCTTCTAAAAGTCTGGTAGTTGTTCTTCTCTTTGACATCTGGTGGTAGGGCGTTCCACAGGGCGGGCGCCACTACCGAGAAGGCCCTCTGCCTGGTTCCCTGTAACTTGGCTTCTCGCAGCGAGGGAACCGCCAGAAGGCCCTCGGCGCTAGACCTCAGTGTCCAAGCAGAATAGACCCTACAGCATGGATGGGGAACCTCAGGCCTGGGGGGTCAAATATGGCCCTCAAGGCATCTCTGTCTGGCCCCTGGGAATCTCCCTAGGCCACGCCCCCTCCTGAGTCACTTGCCCCTCCTCGAGTGCTTTTGCCTTGCTGGAATATGCCTTCGAATACTGTGATCCTTGGATGAAGGGCGGTGTGTTAATTAAAATGAAATAAAAAGGCTGGCATGCTTGGGCAAAGGCTAGAAAGAGGTTTGTGTGAGAGTGAAAACTGCTTTATATTCGTTATTCCGCCCAAGGTTGGAAAGGCTTCCCCACACACCTGCACTGCAGGGAGAGGACACCTGTCCTGACATTCCCTCTGCCTTTTCTCCCGCAGAGCTGTTCATCACCGAACACGCCCACCTGCGCATGTTACGGGTGCTGCTGGAGGTCTTCTATCAACCTCTGCTGGCTGAGGAGCACTTCATTTACAAGGAACTGGCCAACATCTTCCCCAGCTTGGAGGACTTGATCGATGAACACAGTGAGCACATGGGAGAGGAAGTGGGGTGGGGAGTGAAGAGGCACAGCCGAGGCCAGAAACCCACCCACACACACACAGGCCAGGTTTATTTACCTGCAATAGCTGCAGTTCCTTGGCTATGTGTTTGTTTCTTTCTTTTTAAAATGCTTTTTATTAAGTTTTCATTTCAAATACACCACCACCAACAAAATACACAAATATTTCAAATCTTTTTACATCTGTCTTGCTTTACGCTCCGTAGAGCAGTTGACTTCCCTCCTTACCTTCCACAGGTTTTCTTATTCCAATCCCTAATCCACAGTTCCTTAATAATAACGAAACCATGACGTCAGTCCTGCTAACGTCTTCAAATTTCTACAGTTCTCACTTATATAGACCATAAATTTACTCCATTCTTTTTGGTACTTTGTTTCCTCCGGACTACGATTCCTATGGGTCAGTTTTGCTAATTCCGCATACTCCCTCACAGTTGGTATCTCATGTGTTTTCCATTTTTGGGCTATCAAAACTCTGGCAGCTGTCGTAGCATACATATATAATCTTTTGTCCATCTTCTTAATATCCTCTCCTATCAAACCTAGCAATAGTCTTCAGGCTTTTGGGGGGATGTATATTTAAGCATCTTTTTTAATTCATTATAGATCAATTCCCAAAACTCTTTCATTTTATCACATGTCCACCACATGTGGTAAAAATCACCATCCTTTTCTTTACATTTCCAACAGATTTTACTACTCGTCCTATACATTTTTGCTAGTTTGACAGGTGTTAGATACCAGCGATAGACCATTTTCATTACATTCTCTTTTAAAGTAGTGCATGCAGTTCCTTGGCTATGGGTTTCAGTCGTGAGCACCCACCTACCGTGGAACAAGGAACAAGGCCTGGGCGAGTGGAGAAGGGTCTTTGAGCCTGCAGGGACGTCCAGCATGTGCTGGTTCCTTCAGCGTATGAACTGGTGCACACTCAGTAAATGAGAATTTCCTTGAGGAGAGGAGGTCATTGCGCTGTTTTTTTTTCATAACCAGTGTCTCTCTGTGTGTGTCTTTTTCTCTTCTCAGAGGTGTTTCTGGAGAGCTTGAAGAAGCTGAGGGAGGAAAACAATTCCCTTGTTTCTGAAATTGGGAACACTCTGCTGGCTCGGGTAAGGGGCCAGCTTGGACCAGTATTTTGAGGGACGGAGGGCAGCGTTGCCGGGGGGCGGGGTTCGTCCTGAGAAATTAAAAGGCTTTGGAGCAGGGATCAAAAGCTCAGGCAGGGCCGTGGTCCATGGATGAGGAGTGGAACAGACTGAAGCATGTCGGCTGAGGGAATAATGAAGAGCATGAGGTCAGATCAGAGCTTTGTTTTGATGAAATGGGATGCTTGCCGCCTAAGGAGCTGATGTAGCGTATTGGGTACGAGCTATGTAAGCTCAAAGCTCTCCTCCGGTTCAGCAAGATGGTGTGGTTGTTAGAGTAGTCAAGACCAGGGAGATTGGGGTACAAATCCCCAATCTGTCAGGGAGCTCCCTGGGTGATCTTGGGCCCAGTCAGTCACCCTCAGCCTAATCTCCTTCAAAGGGTTGTTGTAAGGATAAAATGGGGAGGAGGAGGAGAATTACCGTATTTTTCGCCCTATAGGATGCACTTTTCCCCCTCCAAAAATGAAGGGGAAATGTGTGTGCGTCCTATGGGGCGAATGCAGGCTTTCACTGAAGCCTGGAGAGCGAGAGGGGTCGGTGCGCACCGACCCCTCTCGCTCTCCAGGCTTCAGGAAGCTATCCGCAAGCCTTAGGAGCCCGCAGGAGTTCCCGCCGGGCTCCCAAGGCTTGCGGACAGCAGTCTGCAGCCCAAAACCTGGGGAGCGCAGTGGAGCGCGCCCTGGGCTTCGGGCAACTCTCCGCAACTGGGAGGGAAATAATTTTTTTCCCCTTTATTTCCCCCCCCCCCCCCCAAAAAAAACTAGGTGCGCCCTATGGGGCGAAAAATACGGTATATATGGCTCCTTGGGCTTCTTGGAGGAAAGGTGGGAGGCATATGCAACCCATCAATCAATCAATCAATCAATCCATGAATGCCCTATTTGACCTTAATCAAGGCACAGGTTATGCTCTGTGGCCAGACATATATCTTATGATCTACCATTTCATTTTGCTGTCATTTTTCTACTGCTTCTATTAATACATCTGTTTTAATTAGGATTGATGGGTTGTTCTTATTGTTAACGTGAGCTCACTCTGTTACTTTAAAAAAAAAAATTCTGTTACATTTGCAATAAAAATACGCATTTTGAAAAAAATGAATCAATAGATAAGGCTTGAGCTGTCTCCATCCCACTCTGTGATACTCAAAGCGTAGCCTGTGAGCCGGCGGGTGGAGCATAAAAATATTGCAGGGGGTGGGGCCGTAAGGTCTTTAAAAAAATAAAATTAGAACTAAAGAACATCTCAAACAGCTCCTAAATGATCCCTGTGGAATCTTTGCCCTCTTGCCCATGTGTGAAATATATCTTGTTATGTCTCTGTTACTGTACGTATCTCGGTTTCTCTCTTCTGGGGGAAAATACTGGGGGCAGGGAAGGAATGGTTTCTAATAGATGTGGGGAACCTTTGTCCGCCCAGAGGTTGGGGAACTACAGCTCCAAACACCCCTGGCTATTGGCCATGATTGCTAGGGCTGATGGGAGTTGTAGTTCAGCTACATCTGGAGGGACAAAGCTTCTCGACTCATGGTTTAAACTGTACAGTGAAGGCAAAGGCTGGGAATGGGGCCTGTCAGAAAGAGCTTTTCCCCCTGAGATCCCCAGAGGTGTTGGGGGGGCAGGATAGCAACTTTTGTGTGGCTCATCATATAATGGCCACGCAGGTGAATCAGCCCAGGTACATCACAGTGATTCTTGAGTAGCCAAAAATGATATGAAGAGGCAACGGTGGGGGGCAAGGCAGAGGTTATCTTGGCTATCAGAAAGGGACCGAAGGTTTGCAAGATCCCTCTACGTGATCAACTCGCCAACCTTCTTTCCCCCCCACCCCCATCCCCAGTTTGATGGTCCTGAAGGAGCCTGGTTCCAGAAGATCTCGGCCCGTTTCTGCAGCCGCCAGTCGTTTGCTCTGGAGCAGCTGAAAGCCAAGCAGAAGAAGGAGCCGCGTTTCAACCAGTTCATCCAGGTAATCTTTGCTGGAGACTGGGGATAGCTCAGTCAATAGAGCACGAGACTCTTAATGTCAGGGTCGTGGGTTCGAGCACCACGTGGGGCAAAAGATGCCTCCATTGCAGCAGGTTAGACTAGATGACTCTCATGGTCCCTTCCGACTCTGCAATTCTGTGATTATATGAAATCGCCTCTCCTTCTACGATAGGGCCATGTACCTTTCCGGTGAAAAAATTTGGTATAGGCTGTACAATTCAGCATCCCAAGAAACCTTTTATGTTGTACAAAAATGATGAATTAAGTTTCCAGTTCTTAAAGGCTGTGAGGTAATTCTGAGGCAATTCTCTTTTTAGTGTGAGTTCCATAGCTCCATGAGACTTAAGCATACACAGAATAAATTTTCGTAAAGCATGTGCCCAGTTAAAAATTATTTTGGGTAACTTTATTTGGCTTTTTATTTATTTGGGTAACTTTATTTGGCTTTTTAACTAGCAGGCCTGGTTAAGGGTGGTATTCAATGCTAGGTCCAGTGGGTCTACTCTAAGTAGGACTTGGTTGAAGACAGCCCTAGGTTCCTACTCCCTTTCTCCCAGTGAAATATTTCCCTGTTAGAGTCAGGTGATATTCTTTCATTAATCAAAAGTATATGCCATTAAGAAGGGGGGAAAGTTGTTGTTTTTGCAAACACTGAGCTTGGATACCGATCCAAAAAAACTACCCCGGGGAGGCTTTTCCCACTGTACCTCCTCCAGTTACCCAGACTCTGTGAGCAACCACACTGTGAGAGCCAGTGTGGTGTAGTGGTTAAGAGCGGTAGACTCGCAATCTGGGGAACCGGGTTTGCTTCCCTGCTCCTCCACATGCAGTTGCTGGGTGACCTTGGACTAGTCACACTTCTCTGAAGTCTCTCGGCCCCACTCACCTCACAGAGTGTTTGTTGTGGGGGAGGAAGGGAAAGGAGAATGTTAGCTGCTTTGAGACTCCTTCAGGTAGTGATAAAGCGGGATATCAAATCCAAACTCTTCTTCTTCTTCTTTCCCTCTCATCCCGTCAGGAAGCAGAAAGTCAGCCTCGTTGCCGGCGGTTGCAACTGAAGGACATCATCCCCATCGAGATGCAGAGGCTTACCAAATATCCGCTGCTCCTTCACAACATTGCCAAATGCACAGGTGAGCAGAGGTGGGGGAGGATGGAGGTCGCTGTGGCTTGAGCAGGAGAGGTGAGACAATTGCACAGGGACAGCTAAGCCAAGGGCGGAACAGACGACATACTGTACATTTAAAGTGCTGAGATAGCCACTTTAAATATGCATGGCTTCCCCCAAAGAATTCTGGGAGCTGTGGTTTTGTTAGGGGTTGGGGTTCAGAGTTGTTGGTAGGCCCTCTGTCCTCCTCCCAAAGCTACGATTCCCTGAGTTCCCTGTGAAGAGGGATTGGTTGTTAAAGCCGCTCTGGGAGATTGTCTGAGTCTTGATTTTGCTGTGGTGAGGAAGGACTCACAGTATTTTCCTCCCTCCTGGGGGAAAAACCAACCCTGAATCTAGATCTGAACTGAATTCTAGATAGGGAAACACTGGGGCTGTGTTTAACGGGGTGCCTTTTGAAAAATCACTTCTACCTTTTTCGATCTGTGCTGCAGAGGAGGCCGAGGAACGGGAGAAGGTCCAGAAGGCGGCCAACTGCTGTCGGCAGATCCTCAACCACGTCAATCAGGAGGTGCGCGACATGGAGAACTTGCTGGTAAGTGCCCTTCTTCTTCTTCTTCTTGCTGCCTGACAGCATCATGCCTCAAGGGCCGCCTCTCCCCGTACGAACCAATCAGAACCTTGCGATTGTCACCCGAGGTCCTTTTCTGTACGCCAACACTAGAACAGGCCTTTTCAGCGGTGGCCACCTCCTTTTGTGGAGTGTGCTCTCCCCAGGGAAGCTCACCTGGTGCCATCATTACTTAAATTTAGGCACCAATCAGAACGTTTGTTTTCGCCCGGTCCTTCAGCTTTTATTTATCTGTGGGACGTTTTCATCCTGTCTTTAAAAATACCTGAATGAATTTTAGAGTTCTCTTATGTTTTGCTTTATGCTGGTTTTAAGGCATGTGTTATTATTTATTTATTGTTTATTATAATAATTTTTATTGGTATTTACACATTTTCCAACATATCATTCTTTTAAACATCATTTCAAAATCTTTGGCTATCACAGCCCTTCAACCTCAACTGATGGTTTTTTAAAATCATTTCTAATTATGCATTTTGCTACTATAGTTATTGCTTCAAATTCAAATCTTAATAACTATTCTTAATTCTTTTCACAATAATTTATATATTACTCCTTACAAAACTTCTTTTAACCCTACAAGTGATATCAGTTGGTTACAGTTGCTTTCCAAATATGTCGAAAACGTCTTCCATTCCTTTAGGAAAGTCTTTTTTATCATTCATATGAATTTCTGTACCCACAATAAATTGGGTATTTATTGTCCGCATGTCACTTTGAGTTAGCTTTTGTTTTGTTTTTTTGGTTTTTTTTAAAGTGACTAATAAGTTTGATAAATGAATAAATACCTCTCTGTTGAGCAGTTGCTCTTTCTAATCCTCCCTTGCCCCACCCTCTCTCTCTCTCTGTGTGTGTGTGTGTCCTCTCTGCGTTTTTCAGAAACTGAAGGATTATCAGCGTCGCCTGGACCTCTCCAACCTGAAGCAAAGTACTGATCCACTGCTTAGTGACTTTAGGGTGAGTTTCTGGCCTAGTATTTCCTCCCTGGTTGCAGACTGGGGAGTCGGGAACTTGTGAGCACCCAAATATTCTCCATCATCCCTGACTTTGGACCCTGCTGGTTGGGGCTGATGGGAGTTGTAGTCTAGCAACATCTGGAGGGCCACCTTTTCAGTGGGGTGGGGTATGGGGTGGGGAGCAAATTCTCTAACAAAATTTCCACCTGTTTCCTCGAGGGAGCCTGCCCCCTTTTAAAGAACTTCGCAGTAGGTAGCATGTCTCTCCATGCTTAGGCTGCACCTGTTATAATAATAATAGTAGTAATAATAATAATAATAATAATAATAATAATAATTTATTATTTATACCCCGCCCATCTGGCTGAGTTTCCCCAGCCACTCTGGGCGGCTCCCAATCAAGTGTTAAAAACAATACAGCATTAAATATTAAAAAATTCCCTGAACAGGGCTGCCTTCAGATGTCTTTTGAAGATAGGATAGCTGCTTATTTCCTTCACATCTGAAGGGAGGGTGTTCCACAGGGTGGGCGCCACTGCTGAGAAGGCCCTCTGTCTGGTTCCCTGTAAACTCACTTCTCGCAATGAGGGAACCGCCAGAAGGCCCTCGGCGCTGGATCTCAGTGTCTGGGCTGAAAGATGGGGGTGGAGACGCTCCTTCAGGTATACTGGACCGAGGCTGTTTAGGGCTTTAAAGGTCAGCACCCAACACTTTGAATTGTGCTCGGAAACGTACTGGGAGCCAATGCAGATCTCTCAGGACTGGTGTTATGTGGTCTCAGTGGCCACTCCCAGTCACCAGTCTAGCTGCCGCATTCTGGATTAATTGCAGTTTCTGGGTCACCTTCAAAGGTAGCCCCACGTAGAGCGCATTGCAGTAGTCCAAACGGGAGATAACTAGAGCATGCACCACTCTGGCAAGACATTCCACGGGCAGGTAGGGTCTCAGCCTGCGTACCAGATGGAGCTGGTAAACAGCTGCCTTGGACACAGAATTGACCTGCGCCTCCATGGACAGCTGTGAGTCCAAAATGACTCCTAGGCTGCACACCTGGTCATTCAGGGGTTTCAGCCCTGTTGAGTTTCTGCCCGTCACATGGCTGCTATCAAGGGGCAAGTGGCCTCTCTCTTGAAATGTGGCTTTAAGTCTGGTCTGAGCAACTGGTCTGGTGCTCTCAATTTACGTAATGAGGTTTGTAAAATTATAAGAGTGTTTCTTTGATTTGGAGTGAAAAGTGTGGTCTTTCATGAGCTCTGGTTTCCCCAGGGCCTCAGGTTTTATCTCCACGCTCCTGCTTCTTAATGCAACTCTTTGTGCGTGAAATGATAGCGTATGCAAAACCTCAGGCTGTAACCAGCTCTTTCCCACAGAACGACATCACCAAGAAAAACCTCGTCTACGAGGGACCCCTGACTTGGCGTATCACCAAGGATAAATCAGTAGGTAAGTTGAGCTCAGGCTCACTCTTTCTTGGGAGCCTTCTTCGGCTTAAACTCTGGGACAGGGCTTTGATTCAAGAACATCATCTTGATGCCAGGGTCGGTGTGCTGACGCAATTGAAATAAGATTTGAGTGGATGTATTTATTTAAATCCTTCTCATCCCACTCTTCAGCCCCAAAAATGATTTGAATGGGACCCCTACAGGTCTTGCCTGTAGGCATGGCACGAGAGGAAAAGGGATTGGTGGGGAGGAGGAAAAAAGAAAGCTCAGGCACCGTTACAGAGTTCTTGCACTGACCAGCTGGAATGGCATTATTTCAAGGAGAGGAGGAGTGGGTTTCCTTCACTGTAGAACAATCCCCACCCTGGGGCTGACCTTGTGGACAGTTTCCCCATCAGTATTGCTGTATAATGGGCTTGCTGTCCTCCAAGCAATTGTTTTATTTACGTATTGTTACAATTCTTCCCTTGAGTGCTGGGAGACTAGCGGGGAGGTCAGCGCAAGGGAACTGCACTTGGTAGGCCTTTCAGCCTTGCATGGGCCCTGGGACCTTGTTGACTACATTTGAGATTTGTGGGCGTGGCTTCTGAGTCGAAGGGGTGGGGCTTTCAATGGCTCCACCCCCTCAGGGCTCCCCTTTCTATAAGCTCAGCTTTGGTGGGGGCCTGGGTTTCCCAGCGAGGCCCGGAAGCGTACGCCAGACCTCTGACCTTCTCTCTCTTTTGGACCCTCCAAAAAAAGATGTCCACGTTCTCCTGCTGGACGACATCTTGGTGCTTCTGCAGAAGCAGGAGGAGCGCTTGGTCCTCAAGTGCCACAGCCGCACCATCAACCCAACCCCTGACGGGAAGCAGATGCTGAGCCCCATCATCAGGCTCAATTCGGCCATGACACGCGAAGTGGCCACAGGTGGGTGCTGGGGTGGCGGGTGGGTGTGGCGGAGCCCCCGGTCATCTCACGGACTATTGACCCGTACACCACTAATCCGCTGCCACCAACCTGGTCCTCCCCGGTAAATCACTAATAATAATAATAATAATAATAATTTTTATTTATACCCCGCCCTCCCCAGCCAAGGCCGGGCTCAGGGCGGCTAACAAGCAATAATAAAAACAAGTTGAATGAATACAACTTAAAAACAAGATTAAAATACAACATTAAAATATTGAAACATTAAAATATTAAAATGCAGCCTCATTGCAGGAGGAGAAAGGAAAAAGGAAAAAGAAAGAGGGGGAGGGAATCAAACTGGCTCCAAGCCAAAGGCCAGGCAGAACAACTCTGTCTTACAGGCCCTGCAGAAAGAAATCAGATCCTGCAGGGCCCTGGTCTCATGAGACAGAGCGTTCCACCAGGCCGGGGCCAGAGTTGAAAAGGCCCTGGCTCTGGTTGAAGCTAATCTAACTTCCTTAGGGCCTGGGACCACTAGGGTGTTGTTATTTATGGACCTTGAGGCTCTCCGTGGGGCATACCAGGAGAGGCGGTCCCGTAGGTACGAGGGTCCTAGGCCATGAAGGGCTTTAAAGGTCAAAAGCAGCACCTTAAATCTGACCCTGTTGTTACTCTTTACCTTCTTAGTCTTATTGTATCCTGTCTCTAACTCTTCTACCTCCCCTCACACAAGAACCAACTGCACTGTCTATTTCCAACTGTCTGCCAACTGCTTTCCCAACTGCCTTTCCCAACCAACCAACTAAAAACCAACCAACTCAAACCTCAGGCTAAGCCTTTTTATAAACAGGTAGGCTCTGCCTCTGGCTTTTCTGTTGGTCTACCTATTAACTCTTTCTCTCCCCCTGTACAGACATTTTAAAAAGAACGGGCAAACGCCACAGTGGGTGAGGTGAGGTGGAAGCCCCTCTGCTTTGAAAGTGTGTGGATTAGGACCGGAGGTGTAGTGGTCGTGGGGTGTGTGTGTCAAAGACACCTTACTATTTCTGCAGACGGGTTCCCATCCCTAGTATCTTAGAGCTGCCTGGCTAGCGTGAAAGGGGTAGCTTTTTAGCCACTGAGAAGAATTATTCTCATCTTTCGTGCTGATTGGAACCAGTCAGAGCGAAAGGAGGCGACTCTGCCACTGAGGACGGAGGAGCAACACTGAGGAGTTTGTTTGCTTTTTAATTTTTAATAATAATAATAATAATAATAATAATAATAATAATTTTTAATATATATCCTGCCCTCCCCAGCTGAAACCGGGCTCAGAGCGGCTAACAAAAATAAAAATAACACAGTTTACATAAAATCACAATCAATTAATAGAAATGCATTCTAAAATCAATTCGTTTTAAATTCAATTCAAAATCAAATTAATGGCAACCATTGGGCTAGAGTTCTATGAGGATTACAGAAGGAGGGGGTCAGACTGTGCCTTGGCCAAAGGCCTGGTGGAACAGCTCCTGTCTTGCAGGCCCTGCGGAAAGATGTCAAGTCCCGCAGGACCCTAGTCTATTGTGACAGAGCATTCCACCGGATCAGAATTTATATACCGCCCTATATCCGGGGGTCTCAGGGCGGTTCGCAGAATAAAATCAAGATATAAAATCACAAAATAAAATAAAATAAAATAAATAAAAACAACAACCCAGTAGCCCCCCCCCCAAAAAAACCCCCTCATTTTAAAAAGGGCATAGGAGTAGTTGTTCTGTACGCTTCAAAGCTAAGCATTTAGGGACACTGAGAGCACAAGGGGCTTCTCAGAATGGTATTCACATTCTGTTACATGCAATGGAACTTCAAGGAAGGCACAACTTAGGTCATTTGGAAGATACTGGAGCGCTCCAGGTCTTTTGCACAGAAAATAGTAGATCTGACTCAAAGGCAGTACGTGGAGATCTGCAGTGATAGCTGCAATGGATCTATTATTATTATTATTATTATTATTATTATTATTATTATATTGTAAAATTATTGTATAATATTAGAAGCAGTCATTGCAGGGTTTTTAAGCAGAGGTTGGATGGCCATCTGTCATGGATGCTTTGGTTGAGATTCCTGCATTGCAGGGGGTTGGACTAGATGACCGTTGGGGGTCCCTTCCAACTCTACAATTCTGTGATTCTATGACTGTATAGTATTGAAGGGGGTGTGGCTATGAGGGGACATGGCTGTGAGGGGGAACCCTGTCCTACCGATTGGGACCGAAGCAGCGAAGTTAAGTCACACAGCACTAGATTAAGAATGTGGGTCCCCCCCCCCAAGGAAGCTTTTAAGCGGAGGAGGAATACGGTTCGGTGGTACAGCATGTGCTTTGCATTTGGGGAGACCCCAGGCTGGCTGTCTTCGGTGAATGACCTACAAGCAAAGCAGGCTTTTCTTAGTTAGGCGGGACAGTTTCCTGGCAGCGAGGAAACTTCGTGTGACGATTACGTTTCTTTGGTTGTGGAAGAAAAGGAAACCTTGAAACGGAACAGGCAGTACAAGCTAAATTAAAAAAACCCAAACCTTGCAGCAGCTATTAATAGTTTAGCATTCGGCTCAGGGCCATTCTCGTCTCCTATGCTGTTTTTAAATAAAAGATTGGGACGGAAGCCACAAACAGCCTAGATCCTGCCTGTTACCTTGAATAATCTAAAATTCTGCTGCAAGCACAGCTCTGACTGCAGACGGTCTCTGTATTCTTGGCCGTGCATCATCCACCCCCAGGCAGCATGAATTCTGTGCCAGGAATGCGGAATTCTGCAACCTGCACAAACTGACATGCAGGTCGGGCAGTTTTTTTAAAAAACAAATTTGGCGTGTATTGACAGCAATCCTCTCTATTCCTGATACACCGGGACTCAATATATGCTGATGGTGCTGTGGGCAAGGTAGCCCAAGGGGTTTGGGGGAATCACGCAACCAGAAGATGCAAAAATGATATAAAAAACAACAGACAAGCCCCTTGAGTCCTTAGGAAAGTTGCCACATCCCACTGATCAGAGGCCCTCACCCCCCACTGCACTGACTTCCTGCCTGCACATAGAGGCAGCCAATGAACTCATGGCAACAATAATACACACCTGCTCACACATAACAGGATGCCACAGAACCTTCAGTCCCAGTGGCAGAGCCAACAAAAACCTTACTGATGCCAGTCCCCAGGGATCTCGCCAGACAGGGGTTTGAATCCCCTTAGCTCAGGCACAGAGAATCTCCAGGCCTCTCTGCCTTGCCCTCGGCACTCTCCCTAGACCAACCTTTCTCAACCTGTGGGTGGAACTACAACTCCCATCACCCCTAGCTAGCAAGGCCAGAGCTCAGGGATGATGGGAGTTGTAGTCCAACAACATCTGGGGACCCACAGGTTGAGAACCGCTGCCCTAGACCATGGGTAGGCAAACTAAGGCCCGCGGGCTGGATCTGGCCCAATCACCTTTTAAATCCGGCCCGGCGACGGTCCGGGAATCGGCAGGTTTTTACACAAGTAGAATGTGTGCTTTTATTTAAAATGCATCTCTGGGTTATTTGCGGGGCATAGGAATTCGTTCATATTTCCCCCCAAAAAATATATATATATAGTCCGGCCCCCCACAAGGTCTGAGGGACAGTGGACCGGCCCCCTGCTGAAAAAGTTTGCTGACCCCTTCCCTAGACCATGCCCATCGCTGGCACTGCTTCACCCATAGAAACATAGCATTGGAAAGGGACCTCAAGGGTTTTCTAGTCCAACCCTTCAATGTAACAGTCTTTTGGCCAGCGTGGGGCTCAAACCCACGACCCTAAGATTAAGAGTCTCGTGCTGTACCGACTGAGTGCGTCTGCCTTAAAATGTTACAGGTAGGTAGCCGTGTTGGTCTGCTGTAGTCGAAACAAAATTTAAAAATTCCTTCCATTAGCACCCTAGAGACCAACTAAGATATTTGAAGAAGTGTGCATGCACACGAAAGCTCATACCAATAACTAACTTAGTTGGTCTCTAAGGGGCTACCGGAAGGAATTTTTTTATTTTGCCTTAAAATGTTTCGGCCTGGCTGGAATGTGCCCTTGAAACCCCGACGACGCCTCTTCCTTGCCTGGATGGAAGGCAAGAGAGAAAGTGTGTAGCCTACTGTACAAAGGTAGCATTTACAGCCGTCCAGTTTCACCTCTGGCCCTGCCCACCCCTGGTATGCGGCCCCCAGAAGGTTGGCTGGAAACGCCCTACCGGGCAAACCTCGACTGGGCACTGGGTGCAAGTTGAGAGATAGGTCCTCCTCCTCTTTTTTGATTCTGAACCTGCCGTTTCCTTCTTTCCTCTTAGATATCAAGGCTTTCTACGTGATTTTCAGCTGGGAGGACGGAGCCCAGATCTATGAGCTGGTTGCGCAGACGGTGTTGGAAAGGAAGAAGTAAGAAACGGGGGAGGCGAGATTGAGATGCTGCCGGGGGGGGGGGAGGTGGGCATTCACCGCTGGAGTACCAGAAGGGTTCCAACCACCACCACCCCAGCTTGATGCCCTCCAGGTTTTGGCTCGCTGGCTGATGGAAGTTGTAGCCCAAAGCGTCTAGAAAGCACCAGTTTGGGGAAGGCTGGGTTTAGTCTGTGAGCTGGAGTGGGTGGCAGAAACAGGGGGGTGGTAGTTTTGGAGGCGAGGGTGGTTCAGTTTTCTCAGCTTCGATCCAGGGTCAATTTTCAAAATATGACTTTGCCTAGCACCAAGGGATGCGGGTGGTGCTGTGGGTTAAACCACAGAGCCTAGGGCTTGCCGATCAGAAGGTCGGCGGTTTGAGTCCCCATGACGGGGTGAGCTCCCATTGCTCGGTCCCTGCTCCTGCTAACCTAGCAGTTCGAAAGCACACCAGTGCAAGTAGATAAATAGGTACTGCTCCAGCGGGAAGGTAAACGGCGTTTCCGTGCGCTGCTCTGGTCCGCCAGAAGCAGCTTAGTCATGCTGGCCACATGACCTGGAAGCTGTCTGCGGACAAACGGCGGCTCCCTCGGCCTATAGAGCGAGATGAGCGCGCAACCCCAGAGTTGGCCACGACTGGACCTAATGGTCAGGGGTCCCTTTACCTTTACCTAAGGTCTTTAGGTAAAGGTACCCCTGACCGTACGGGCCAGTCGTGTCCGACTTTAAGCTTAATAATAATAATAATAATAATTGAATATGTATGCCACACTATACTCACAGATGCCATTCCTTAATTTGAGCTGAGGCTCTTCCCTGGGCTTATAGTGATGGGTGTCTCTGAGCATGTTCCAAGTGCCTCTGCCATATGCAGTACATTTGGCATTTAAGGGGCCAGGCTTCCAGGTTTGGAGATTCCAGGCCAGCATGAGCCCTATCACCTCTAACTGTTGTTGAATCAACCAGTCAGTTTTTGTTTTACCTGATTCCCTTCCTTTGTTCTTTTCTAGCTGGTGCAGTATGATCAGCGACACGGCCGGCTCTCTGAAGGTCCCCATTAAACCACGGCTTTCAGTTCCAAACAGTCGGTCTTCGCCACACAGCCCCAGCTTGTAAGCCTGGTGTTCCTGGGGAGGGAAAATGTCTAAACCTTTCTCGTACCAAAGGCCACGTGGGGCATTTTCTGGGGTCTGCTTGCCAGAAGCGAGTGGGGCAAAGTCAGAGTCAAAAATGAGGAGGGTAGCAGATGGGACGTTTTCCTTTGCACGTTCCAGTCATGCAAAACCCAGGAGTTTTTGCAAACATAACCTCCACGCAGCGTCTCTCCGTCCAGACCAGTGAGAGGCAATATCACAGTTGAAAGAAAGGTTCCATCCAGGCAGAAGAATTTTAGGGAGGGGGCAGAGGGAGAAGACTGAGAGGAGGAGGTGTCAGAAGCTGAAGAGGCGACGGGGTTTAGTGAGCAGGGAGAGCCTGTGGCAGAAAGAAGTGCAGAATCTGAATCAGAAGCTGAAGCAGAAGAGGAGGGAGGCCAAGAGGCAGAGATGAGTCCAGGTGGGGAAGAGGCGGAGGTGTCTCCCCCTCCTACTGAAACTAGCTCCTCTCCCTGCTGGTCTCCCAGGACCAGAAGAGGTATGAAGGGAGAGAAGCAAAGACAGGTGTGCTGGCACAGTCTCAGATTGCTTGGGAAGGACCAGGGGGCGGAGGAGCCTTAGGCAGCTGCCTCATAGGGGCAAGACCCACCAAGAAGAGTTGCTGTGCTCATGAGGCCTGGCTCCTCTGAGCAGGCTTTGTTTCTTCTTATAAAGAGTTAACTTCATTTACTCAGTGTGATTTATTGCTGGCTGGCTCCCTGACACTGGAAGGGCTGTCTCATGGGGTGTGCGGGGGGAAGGAAGGATCCAGCCTGCCAGTGCAACCCATTTCCCCACCGCCGGCATAGATCTGCACTCACAACTTCTTCTTTTTCCCGCAGCAGCTACTCGGAGGGGTTGCTGGGTGGGGCGGAGAACGGCAGCTCCCACAAGGAGACCCTGCATTCGGAGGGTGAGTTTGCGGCCAGGCGGTTTGGAAGGCAGTGGGAGGAGCTGGAGGGGGCAAATCAAGAGTTCTGGGTTCTTACCGAGCTCAGAGCCAGGGGAATCCAGGGGCTCTGTGAGAGCAGGGATCCGATTGGTCTTTTGCTACCCCGAAGCAGAGCGAGAGAAGGACGGGATGCTGGAAGGAGCCGAATTCGAAGGGCGCAGCCCTGTGAGCGGACCGAAGCTGGGCAAGGCAACGGAGGAGATCTTGGACGACATGCTGAACTTGCACAAGCACCGGCCCGTGGGCCAGGGGGCCCTGTCATCCGCCGCACAGGACAGAAGTATGTAACGCTACTCCTTCGGAACTCCCTGCCTGTTGACAGCAGGCAGGCACCTTCAACTCCGCATTTTCTAGTGTCTGCTTAAGAACGTTTATGCTTAGGCAAGCCTATCTAGGAGGTGCAGGTGGCACTGTGGGTTAAACCACAGAGCCTAGGACTTGCCGATCAGAAGGTCGGCGGTTCGAATCCCGGCGACAGGGTGAGTTCCCGTTGCTGGCTCCCTGCTTCTGCCAACCTAGCAGTTCGAAAGCACGCAGTGCAAGTTGATAAAAAGGTACCGCTCCGGCAGGAAGGCAAAAGGCGTTTCCGTGTGCTGCTCTGGTTCGCCAGAAGCGGCTTAGTCATGCTGGCCACATGACCCGGAAGCTGTATGCCGGCTCCCTCAGCCAATAAAGCGAGATGAGCGCCGCAACCCCAGAGTCGTCCGTGACTGGACCTAAATGGTCAGGGGTCCCTTTACCTTTACTTTTACCTTTACCTTTAAGCCTATCTAGACATGTAGAGAAGCCTCCCCAAAATTGCTGCTCTCCAGAGATTTGGAGCTACAACTCTCATTGGCCCCAGCCAGGGCTGCAGAAGACTGAAGTAGAATGTTGACATGTGTTTTAATCTGGATTTAAGCGTATCATTGATTTTGGTTTTTTTAAAAAAACGACTTTGAGGTTTGTTTGTCTTTACAGTAAAGCGGTATGTAAATTGCATGAAGCAAATAGATAACCCAGGGCTGGTGGGAATCGGCAGCCCTCCAGATATCGTTGGATTTCAGCCTCTATCCAGCACGGCTGGTGGCAAAGGATGATGGGAGTTGTAGTCCAACAGTATCTGGAGCGCCGGAGGATTCCCCCCTCCCCTTCTCCATTCTTTCCCCTCCCCTCTGCGGAGATTCCTTCTGCCCCCACATCCCCCCACAAGCCCCAAGGCTCACGAAGCAGGTGAATCTCACCCCAGTCTTGTGTCCTTAACAGTATCAGCCCTGAGGAGGCTACTTCAAGTATCGGAGGAAGGAGAAGTTGCCTTCCCAGCAGCAGAACCTGTGGACCGTCCGCCGGAGAACGGGAACCCCCGCGAGGGAGAAGAGGAAGAGGAGTGGGAGGCGGGTCATGGGACGGAGGCAGACGGCAGCCGACGGCATCCAGGTGGGGGTCTGAGAGCCAGGTGCCTGCTGGGAAAGTCAGCCAGGACTTGGCGAGAGAGGGGCATGCTGGGAGTATTTCATAGAATCATATATTCCCCTCCCTCCCTCTTTGCAGGAGGTCTCCCCAATGGCCCCTTGGAGCCGGAGTGGGGCTCAGAGCACCTGGATAGGGAAGGATCCAGTTCCATAATTCTGACCCACCAACAATCTGACGGGGTGAAGCATCACCTGCGGCTTCTAGAAGATGCCATCCAGGGTCTGAAGGTGAGAGAGGGTTGCAAAGACACACTCACACACACCAGTTTGGCATGCTCAGAATTTACTGGGCAGTTTTGCACCTGTTTGCTTTCCTTGCAGAGCTAAACCCGAGCCCTGGAATATTAATTTCCAAGATCGTTAGGAAAGTGCAGAAGATGGGGGAGGGAGGTGCGGGAGCAAACGCCTGAATGTTTTTTCAAGCAGTGGGGTTGAAAGGGAAGAGGGGCAGAGAGATGGGCCCTCGTGTTGAGAATGAGGGAAGGAGTGTAGGAAGGTGTGTGAAGACCGCCCTTTGATGGCTGCAGCCCTCGTCCACTGGGCTCTTTTTAAATGAAGGAGAAAGACCAGGACTACAGCCATGAACACTAGAAACTTAATGCAGGCCGAGATGAATGGGAAGCCACATTTTTCAAGACTAGATGCTGCCTGGAGACTTCTCTCCTGAGCCCGTTCTCTTCACTAGACAAAGCAAAGAGCCGGGGGTGTGTGTCTCTCTTCATGCCTGTACATGATTTGCTTTGTTATATTTCACTGCATTTGGGTCCCATCATTTTCTCCAGGCAGCAAACGTGGTTCCCTCCCTCCTTACTTCACTCCCACAACAACCCTGTGAGTTAGGGCTGCTCGCTGTCCGTCGGCTTAACCTGAGGTCACCCAGTGCCCTGCTCTCCCCGGTCCTTGTCTGCCACCCTCTTAACGGCTTCTTTTTAGAATTTATTCCTTACAAGCCCCAGTTTATGCACCAGGTCACCTTTAGAAGGGGGCTTGCCACTGAAGTGCTGGTTTTGACCTTTAAAGCCCTTCACGGTATGCCCCGTGGAGGACCTTAAGGTCCATAAATAGCAACAGCCTAGTGGTCCCGGGCCCTAAGGAAGTCAGATTAGCCTCAACCAGAGCCAGGGCCTTTTCAACACTGGCTCTGGCCTGGTGGAACACTCTGCCTCATGAGACCAGGGCCCTGCAGGATCTGATTTCTTTCCGCAGGGCCTGTAAGACAGAGTTGTTTCACCTGGCATGGAATCAGTTTGACTCCCTCCCCCTCTTTCTTTCTTTTTCCTTTCTCCTCCTGTGATGAGGCTGCATTTTAATGTTTTAGTGTTTTGATGTTGTGTTTTGATCTTGTTTTTAAGTTGTAGTTCAATCAACTTGTTTTTATTATTGGTTGTTAGCCGCCCTGAACCCGGTCTTGGCTGGGGAGGGCGGGGTATAAATAAAATTTATTTATTATTATTATTATTATTTATTATGAAGCAGGAACAGGGAGCCCGTGGCCCTGCAGGTGTCCTTCGACTCCAGCTCCCAGCCGTCCAAGCCAGCATGCCCAGTGGTCTGACAGGGGGCTGTTGCCCTGAGGGGAAGGGCTGCAGCTCAGTGGGAAGGGCTGCATGCAGAAGCTTTCATTTCCCAGCAATTCTGGGGAGAGGGGTAGCAAAGACCCTAATCTGAAACCCTGGAGAGCTGCTGCGAGTCAGTGCAGACAGTACTGAGATAGATGGACCCAGTGGTCTGACTCTGTATAAGACAGCTCTTCCTGTGGCCCTGTGCAGTCCAGCAACACCCAGAGGGCGCCACGTTGGCCGATCTAGAGCGACTGGGTTGCCAAGGTTGAAGCCTCTCACCCTTGAGAGTTGGGAGTGTCCACATCCCTCCTTCACCCTCTCAGTGAATTGTCCCCACATCCCTCCTTCACCCTCTCAGTGAATATTTTCCTCAATCTGTTTGTCTGCCTGTCGTACTAGGAAATTGAAGCGGATTATTGGCACCTGCAGCAGCTGATAGGAAAACTCACGCCATCTCAGCCGCCCAGTTTCACATGAGGCTTGGCCAAGCGGAGAAGGTAATGGAAGAAACAGGCTCCGTTCAGGGTATCCCAAAAACTCGGTGCATGACTGACCGGCTTCCTCTCACCACCCTGTGTCCTTTGGTTAGGCTGATAAGACAGCGATTGGCTCAGGATGAGCCTGGGATCTTAATGGCTGAGCAAGCAAGTTTTTGAAATAAGTGTTTGTGCCTCAAAATTTAATTTAAAAGACAAAACAGTGCCTCCGCTGAGGGGAGTTTAGGAATCGCTCAAGCCACTTTTATGTAAATCCCACCCATTTGGTGTTTTTTGTTTTAAATGGGTGAGTAATTTGCTGTGTTTTTAGCTTGTTGGAAGTCTCGCTGCCTGTTTATCCAAACATCCTCTGGCCCATTGAGCCAGTTTCGAATCAGCCCACCAGGAGAACTCTCTGCTCTCCAACCCCCGAACCCCGAACCATCCCATCCTTTCTTGCTCAGATGTACCTGGTAGTTGAGGGCCTGTGAGTGGAATGGCAGGAGGGTGGGAAGGCTCTAGTAGGCCCGACATGTATCCATAGCAACCAGGAACCAGTGAAACGTAGTTAGGAATATTGGGGGCCACGGGAACTGTATTTTCCATGGCTCCTAGCAGTCCAGGATGCCTCTAGGGCCTTGGAGGGGGGCCTCTGTGCGATTCCTCCCTGCCACCGCCAGGCAGACTTGGATGGGAAGGGGCAGAGAAGGGGCAGGAGAACAAGTAAGCAGGTGTTTTGCCAAGCATGATGAGCGGGGCCTGAATTTTAGTCTGGGTTTCAGCTCTGGCTCCAAACCAGGCAAGTACATTTCTTAAAACCGCCCCACCCGCTCCGGTTTCAAACTCGGGTTGACACTGCTGCTTTCTGCAGCCCCATTCTCACTGTCGTCTTAATGGCTTTCTGTGTCTTCTCCCCCCTCTCCAGGCCTGTCTTTCACAGGGAGGAAAAGGGATCTTTTTTGCCAACCGCTCTCTCCAGCCGGATGTTCCTCCTCGAACAACACCAGCAACCAAGTGCGGCCTACACTGCTTTTTGTATAGAGGATTTATAATGCAGGGAAAGATTCCAGGGTTATAAATATATATTTTATATATATTCTACCTAGACCACGCTATAGGGGGCCATATTTAGAGGCTGCGGAACTGCATGTGAGTTAAGGGGTCAAACCCTTCCTGAGGGGTGGGGTTCGCTATGTCATCAGGCCATAGAGGTGCTCTTGGGGGGGTCAGCTTTTTCTTTAGCTATGGGAGTAATTTGTGGTGTCTGTCCCAAAGAGAGGCGAATTAAAAAATCGGGTCCCTGTGGCAGCTGTCTAGTGGACCAAAGATGATGGGGTTGGGGTTGGGTGCAAGGCGCTTGTAGGCTTCTGGGCTCCACAGACCTATTCAGAACATAACTGCTGGAGACATCAAACTTGACCTCCTTTCTGCCAAAAGTGACCAGCCAAATAATCTCAGGGAAGGTTTGCAAGGAGGGTATGACGATAGCAATATCGAGCCCCTCCTCAAATTGTCAATCATCCTGGTGGTATAAGCTTGCCTTACAGTATATCCTCACACGTGGACCTAACCCTCCAGATAGGCATCTGATCCTTTTAAAAAGGAAGCGCTTGGCAGCAGCAGCAGCAATCACCGCGGTTTCATGGGGAGGCAAATCTTTAACTCACTTCACTTGGTTTTCCTTGCCTTTACTCATCTCCCTGTCCCCAGAAACGCCCCGCTTTTCTAGAATGCATTTTTATCCTTTTCCTGCCTCATTTATTCACATCTGCAGTCCTGCCCTAGCTGTCTCCCTCCATCCCTTGGCTCCTTGCTACCTTGCCATTCCACACAGTGCTTTTGTTTTGGCACCAATTCAGCTGAGACACACACACTCACAAGCACACAGCAGAAAAGCCTTGGGCTTGCATGCAAACTGCATCGGCTGCCCTGAAACTTGAGCTGGTTCTCTCCCCGACACAAACCCCCTTCCAGAAGACTGGTCTCTCCTTGCTGGGTGACCCTTCACAGCTGGCTTCACAACCTAACAGAAGGCCAGCTGTACTGTCAGTGCCATAACCACCTTCTGAAGAGAGGAGAAAGGCAGGGGAAAATGGGTCTTGTGTTATGAGATGAGCTTGAAGTCTGAAGGCAGCGTTGTTCCAGCGGTGGATCAAGGGAGACCCCTGGTGTTCCCTGGAAATGCTTCTCAAGAGATTTCCCCCAACGAGATCAGTAGTGCCAGGCAAGCTCCCTGGAAACGCCGCTTGATCTTAACCTAGCTGGGTGCCGTTTCATGTGAGCCTTCTAGCCTGCCCTTGTCCCAACTCAAGGGAGACCTGGAAGACTTGGCCAGCAACCTCCTTCACTTGGTTGTGTGCAGAAACGCCATTGCAGGGGTGGAAAGATTTATTTTATTTTTAAAACGCAAGCTCCTGCTAGCAAAGCAAAATCCCAACCAACCTCCTCCACAAAGCTGCTTTCTCACCACATCCCTGCTTTCTTTAGGAATTCCTGAGAAATCTCGGGGTTTGATACCCAACAACGTATATACCAAGGATCAGCTGAGCAGTTAGATCGCATTTGCCCACACGTTATCTGGAATCAGGGTTGCCTTTCACTCGGTGTTGCCGACCAGGTTATTCCCAGCACCGTGTAGCATTATAAAAGCTGCTTTTAGCCACAGGGTGCTACAGGTGTAGAATATGAAAGTGAAACCACAAGGTCCTGGGTTGGGGGTCTCATCTGCCATAAATGTAATTAATGCACAATCCCTTGGCTGCCCTTCTGTGACATGCTGTTTTATGGAAGGGACAGCAGGTGGAGCCATATCAGTAAGTCAATGGGGGCCTCTTGGCTCTTCAAGTGTTGGGGTTATTGGCCTTTTGCAGTATTTTGCAGGAATTGAGTGGGGGCGGGTGTGTGTGCCCGTTCCTCCTCCTACCCCTGATCCCCCTTTGGCTGTGTATGGAAGGGACTTGTCCTCAAAGCTGGTCTGTCGCTTGGAGCAAGAGGGCTCTGGACCTATAGAGGGCTGCTGAGCACCCAGACTCGGGGTTTGCTGCTGCTTCTGGCAACTCTGCTCACCCTCCCCAGCCAAGGCACCTCCTATTTGTAGGACCTTTTGCCCAACTGGAGGGTTGCAGTGGGTCCTCCCTAAGCAACCGTGGCGTGTTTCCGACCTCCGGTTGGGAGAATTCCATCTGCCGAAACTAGTCAAGGGGGATAAACACGGGTGGTGCTTTCATCCCAGAGGACAGGTAGCAGACCTAAGGGTTGAGGTGAGGGGGAAAAGTCAAGTGAAACCTGTCGCCTCCCCCCACTCCCCACTTGATGTCCTCAGAGACGGACCTACACAGATATTGCACACGTTCCAGTTCTTCCAAGTGCCTTTTATACTTTTTGTTCATAATGTGCTTGTATGTTTAAGAAAACTCAATATTTTGCTGGGATATTATATATATATATATACGAACATAAGGGAGTAGTCTTAACTCCTCCAGCTGGGGCTGAAAGCGAAGAAGAACCCAGAGGTTGTTGTTTTTTTTATATAGAGTGATATTATATATATTTAGTCTTTAGGGGGTTTTGTCTTATTACTGTACAAAGAGCCTAACCCAGTATATTCGGAGAAGAAAGAGTGTGACCTTCTCAGCTTCCCAGTATTATGGAATGTATAATAGCCCCTGCCAAATCTGTTGCAGTCAGATGAGGTGTTTTTTTAAAGTCACACTTAAAAAAAAGAAAGAAAATGAAATAAAAATTCTAAACTGCAAAATGTAAAAGCATCGGCTGGGTGGGGTGGGGGGGATAAAATCCCCCGGGATCTGCTTTCACGTCTTTTACCATTGCTGTTTTGTACTTTCGTGAGACATTCTCAAGATGGTGCGCTATGGATTAGTTCACACAAGCAAAAGTGCCGCACTTATTTATGGCTTTTCCCTTCTGTGTGGCGCCCTCCATTTTGGACTCCAGTTCCCATCAGCCCCAGCCAGAGATGATGGGAGCTAGAGTCCAGCAACATCTGAAGCATGCTGTATTGGCCTCTGCCCTCCCGTCGCAACCCATCCACCCCACCTAGGAAAAATGAGAAATGCAAGTTCTGCACTGTCCTGTCTGGGGCACAACTATTTAAGGAAAATTTAAGGAAGAAGCAAGTTCTGCTTGACTTCCTAAACTTTTTTTTTTTTTTAAAGGCTGAATCAGGCAGCATAAAATCCCCTCTTCAAAAAAAACCCCAAAACAGCCAATGCTTATAAGTGCAATTCTCACAATCTGTGCCTTTTTAGCATTCTGGATTCTTGACCTGGAGTGCAGCCTCAGTCGCGAACTGGATTTCAAGAGCAGTTTGGGTCTATAGACTCGCGGTTGGCCTGGGGCACAAATTGGAACTTGTGCTGTTGTTGCTTGATCTTCCCCCTCCCCTGAATCATGTGAATTAACCACGGGGTAGCTAATCGGTGGTCAACTGTCTTGAGAATGCTCTCAGCTTGAGCTTGGGGGTTACTTTCAGTTGAGTTCAGTTGAGGATTGAGCTCTGTGTGGTTCCCTCCGCCTGGCAACGTTTTTGTATGAGGTTTGCAGTGAAAATACTAGCCAGAAGAAGGAAGAAGAGGGAAATGTTTCCTCGCCAGAGGGTGGGGAGATCAGGTGAGTTTCCACTCTGTATAAGGACGGCGTAGAAGGGAAGAGCAGGGATCCTGGATTCCACATCCCTCCTGCTTATCTGAGCACAGGAGTCGTGGCCCCTCCTTCCCGCACCTTACGTAGAGAGAAATCGGAGGCTTTTTGTATGTTACAGGAGGGTTACAGGTATGTGTAGGAGAGGCGAGGAAGAGACTGAACCAAAGATAACTTTTGTAAAAGATGCCAAATTAAAAGCTATATTAATCGCAGCAGCCTTTGTGGTTGGAATACAGCATGTATTTTGCATTTCGTGTCTCATTTATTGCATTGGGTTGGGCGAATCAAGGGGGGGGTCCCTTCTAACTCTATGATTTTCCCTGGACGGAACGTGCCCTTCAGTTATGATGGTGCGTTTTGCTTGCCTGTGTTTTGGGCACACGTGGAACTCTTGACTCTTTTGTAACTTGAATATATAGCTTGCTGCGCAGAAGGAAGAGCTTAAATGGTTCCCCTTCCGCTCAGTTGCAGGCAGCCCCTAGACCAGGCATTGGCAAACTCGGCCCTCCAGATGTTTTTGAGACTACGATTCCCATCATCCATGACCATTGGGTCCTGTTAGCTAGGGATGATGGGAGTTGTAGTCCCAAAACATCTGGAGGGCCGAGTTTGCCTGTGCCTGCCCTAGACAGTTTCTCATGAAGAAATGTAGCCCTCGGGATTGAAAGAGTCACTCATCCCTTCCCACTTACCTGGGAGTAAATGCCACTGAGCTGAGTGGGACGCAAGTGCCTCTACTGTTAAAAATCTTCCTTTGCTCCTTTGTTAAGTGATCTACTTGTCAGGCTTCGAACTGCCAACTTGTAGGTTCCTGGCCTCTCACCCATGAGCACCCACTTCATCCATTCCCTTTTGCCTGTGAGCAGAGACTCGAGTGACGAATAGATATTTTATTGCTTTAGAGGCCAGCGATGTGCTGGGGTAAAATTCTTTCCCATCTGTTTTTTCTTTTTCTTTACACACTCCATAAATTAATATAGTATTTACAAAAAGGAAAGAGAAAACATAGGGGTCGGGTTAAACAGCGTCTTCATATCAACCACACAAATACAGTTTTGTTTTTTTCTTCTTCTTTTAAAACACGGGGGGGACACGAGCACACAGGTGAGGCGTGGTAGGGGCTATTTTTTTGTTTTTGTTTTTTTTACAGAGGGTCACACCAGAGCATGACAAGACAATATTGCACTTCGAAAGTCAGGGGTGGGTAAAAAAAGGTTAAACTCCCTCTCCCGTCATACAACTCCCTGTATTTTGGAGCGGGCCTGGATTTTCAAGTTCCTCCCCACAATTTTGGGAGCTGGGAATCAGGTTGGTAGGTTCTGGAGGACACAGGAAACTTGGAACCATGTTGGCTTGCAGGAGCACTCTCAACCTAGCTGTGAGGACCCTGTCAATAAACACGTTTTGCTGCATCCCAGTTTGCAACGACCTACGTGTGCACCTTAAACTATCGGGTGTAGAGCAGCAACACAGGAATGGTGGTATTTGGACTGCTTGGACTTAAAAAGGGATGATGCACACAACTACTCTTGTGTTCTGGCTGGACCTTTTTGAAGACACCTTCACAGCACACTCGGGGCAGCCCCAGATTGTGACAACCCAAGGTGGCTTTAAAGGCATCAGTAATGATGAGAAGCAGGCAGAAATCTGAGCCAAGAAACTTATGTCAGGTGAGAAAAGATCCTGCACTTCATATCAACAAGGCTTGTGCAGGAGAACTTCCCGGCATGGCAGAGGGGCATTTGGGTGTTCTTTACTGAAGCACCAAAATAGATTGTGCCAGCCACAGCAGCAAGCTGGTTGTCTCTAGAAGCCTGGCTGTTAAATAGGTCAAAAGAATTTCATGGGGTGGCAGGTGCACTGAAAGGGATTAACGTAGCCTGTGGAAATTTTCAGAGATGGTGTGGAGCTGGCCGGTCCAGGAAGTTTAATGGGACTGGTCTAGGGAGGGAGAGCTGAGGCAGATTGTGATCAAAAGTGCATGGAGGTATCTTCCCGTGGTATTGGAAGAGGTGATGAAGAGGACACTTTCAGCTCTCAAGTCTTAAGTGTTGCTGGACTGCAAATCCCATCATCCCTGACCATCGGTCATATGGGCTGCTGTGAGCTGGAAGTCCAGTAAGATCTGGAGTCTCACAGCCCCCCACCAAATCTCTGCCACACTGCTACCTGTCCTGAGCCCTCGTCCCTTTCTTCCGGAAAGCCTTTTTGCCCCAATCTGGGCCTCCCCAGGAATGTGAAGACAAGGCCCTCCATTGATGAAGTTGAGAGGGGGAAGGGATGAGTATTCCAGCCCAGGGTGAAGGGAACAGGGAGCAGAAAGTGAGGGTGCTTTGGGGAATTAGACTCAGTATAATCAATGAATAAAATTTTCCTATAAAAATAGAGACATCAAACAAATGGGGCAGGTTTTGTTTTCTTTCCTTTGCTTTAAACTCTTTAAGAATCTGGCTACTGATGGAGAGGGACCAGCAGTTTGGGCTGCGAATAATGCTTGCGTTCAGCTGCCTGGCAGACTCTTCGCTTCCTTGGCAGTGCCCAGGCTGGCCTCTGCCACCCCTTCCGGCTTGCTGGCTGTTGCCCCTGCTGTCCGCTCTGTCTGCAGCCGCTTGTAATTCTGCACCTGGCTCTCTATCGCCTCCAAGCTGTCGGGGCTGAAATCGCAGCCTTCGTTCTCCGAGCTGCATTCGCTTAGATCTGTGATCTCCAACTCGGAATCGGAGCCAGGGTCCTCTTTGGCCCCTCGCCCCCCTGAAGGGCTCTGGGCCCTGGGACCCAGCAGCTCCTTCTCACGCTCACCGGCCGCATTCCCAGCGCCGCGGAGGGGCAGGGTCATGCCATGGGGAGGGAGACAGAGGCGAGGGATGGAGCTGCCCCCCAGAGCTGCAGCCCGCTCTGTGCTATCTCCCGGCAGTAGTGAAATGGGTGCTGGAAGCTGGGCTAATGACCCAGACAGGGGGTTGGGGTAGAAGTGGGGGGAGTACAGGGAGGCGGGCAGTTTGGAGCTGTTCAGGGGGAAAGAGCTGGACAGGTAAGGGTTAAAATTCCAGGGGTAATCTGGGAAGGAAGCGTTCCTGCCATACGGAGTCAGCAAACTGGGGGGCTTTGTATATCCGGCAACACCTGTGGGGGAGAAGGGGGGGAAAAAGAGGTGTGAGCAACCAGTCTATGCTGGGTTCAGAGGCTTTGGTTTTACTGGAATCCCAATTCATTGTGATATTTTCATATTACCCTTTTGGCGTGAATCATAGCAATATGGAAAGAGAAGTAATCACCTTTATGGGGAGTTCTTTTAAAAAACCCAAAATGAACAAGCAGCAAAAATAATAATTAGGGACCCCTACCTTGAAAGCATCTCCTGCCAACCTAGCAGTTCGAAGGCACGTCAAAGTGCAAGTAGATAAATAGGTACCACTCCGGCGGGAAGGTAAACGGCGTTTCTGTGCACTGCTCTGGTTTGCCAGAAGCGGCTTAGTCATGCTGGCCACATGACCCGGAAGCTGTGCACTGGCTCCCTCAGCCAATAAAGCGAGATGAGTGCCGCAACCCCAGAGTTGGTCACGACTGGACCTAATGGTCAGGGGTTCCTTTACTTTTACCTTTACCTTGAAAGCATAGCCTTCCCAGATTTTTTTTATTATTATTTTGGAAAGGTAAACAGCTTGCTCTCACCTGACCCCAGAAAAGGGAAGGTTGCATCCAGTCTGAGCTTCTCTGTCTCAGTTTGGCGTTCAAAGAGTGGGGTGCGGGTTGCCGGGTCCCCCAAACGGGGGCTGGAGAAGAGGCTTTGCAGGGTCTAGGGGGAAGAGAAAAGGGAATGAATGAGCTACGCAGATGCATGGTCTCAAATGGTAAGTGGCTGATCTCGCTGCCTCCTGATCTGACCATCCTGGCCCTGTAGGCTGAAAATATTAAAAAAAGGTGGGGTAGAAATTGCCACTCTGCACATTCTCCATGGCACCATTGCAGCACAACGTTCTGACATCAGAGGCCCAGCTCACGACTTGAGCTGAAACGTGCTCTGAAGGGGAGCAAACGGCATGATACACCCTCAGCACATCCCCTCTTAAAAAACAGACGTGGTTCCCTCTTTCCCGCATCATACCTCAGGGGTCAGAGGGGCACAATCTGCTCCATGGTTGCTCCCATTGAAAGGGTTCTGAGCCAGCAGAAACGGGGAGTTGGCAGCCATGTCCAGGAGAGGGTAATTCACCAGGACCACTTTGCTGAAGTTGAACTTGTAGGTGAAGCGTTTGCCCTTGGTCTTGTGCAAGATCCGTTTGTTGTAATAGTACCTGGCAGGGAAAGAAGCAAGGGGGGCCCAGGTGAGCCAGTAGCGAGCAGGGTGGCTACAAATCCCCAGGGGTCTAAAGCGTCATTGTGGGATGTGCAAAACTGAGGTGGCAGCTGCTGACCAGAACCAGGAGAGTCTACCTTACACAAAGGCCTGCAAATATTCTGCGGTTAAAACAAAGACTAGTCCAGTGAATAGATAGCCAGGCCAAATCAAAAGCCAGTGAAATTTTATGTGGTGGTTTTTCATACAATGGAACCATTTGTTTCACCAAGACTGGAGAAATCCGGGTTCAAATCCCCACTTAGCCATTATACCCACCGAGGAACAGTTTGCAAGCCACCATCTCTCAGTCTAAGGACGCGGGTGGCGCTGTGGGTTAAACCACAGAGCCTAGGAGTTGCTAATCAGAAGGTCGGCGGTTCGAATCCCTGCGATGGGGTGAGCTCCCGTTGCTCGGTCCCTGCTCCTGCCAACCTAGCAGTTCGAAAGCACGTCAAAGTGCAAGTAGATAAATAGGTACCGCTCCGGCGGAAAGGTAAACGGCGTTTCCGTATGCTGCTCTGGTTCACCAGAAGCAGCTTAGTCGTGCTGGATACATGACCCAGAAGCTGTACGCCGGCTCCCTCGGCCAATAAAGCGAGATGAGCGCCGCAACCCCAGAGTCGGTCACGACTGGACCTAATGGTCAGGGGTCCCTTTACCTTTACCTATCTCTCAGTCTAACCTATGTCTCAGTATTGTTGTAGGGATAAAAGAGGCATAGAAACAGGTGCACAACCTTGAGCTCCTTGGATATTATTATTATTATTATTATTATTATTATTATTATCAGCAGTAGTATTATAAGTATTAGTTTTCTTATTAGCCGGGGGGCAGGGAGGGGAAGAGGAAGGCAAGAGCTGAGTTTTGCAGAGACTGAAATCACAAACCCAGTTAACTGAGAGGCCTGCTCAGCATCTGCAACCAGCAAGAAGAGCTCCTGATATTTTACCGAACATGGCTTCACACACACATGACAAAGTCGATCTCTGCAGCCATGAAGACTAGAAACTTGCAGTTTTAAAAGGAGGAGGAGAAGAAATCTTAAGAATTTCAGGAAGCTGGATTCTGCACTACCCGATACCAAATTCCACACTACGTGTTGCAGTCGTGAAGCAATGTATGGCAGCACCCAACATGTGGAACGAAGAGAGAATCAAAGAGAGAAGAGTTTTTTTTGTTCCAATTAGTCAAACATGAGGCAGAGCATGAAAGGATTTGGTGTTCCAACCCAGTAGGAAACATGGGTCCCAACAACTAAATAGTGGCAACCAGGACTGTGTGCAGTCAATGCAAAAATGAAATAATAATAAAAATAATCCTCTAAGCAATCTGAATTCTGCACCCCAAAATGATGAATTCTGCAACCTGCAGAAATTATGCAAATAGAGCACACGTGCGCTGTTTCTCTTTTCTATGACTTGCAGTGTTTACTTCATTGCTTATTTTTTCTGCTAGTGCTGGTCAAGAGGAGGATGAGGATTAGCACATGAACATTGCTGTGGAGAGGGGACGTGGATGGCGCTGTGGGTTAAACCACAGAGCCTAGGACTTGCTGATCAGAAGGTCGGCGGTTTGAACCCCCGTGACGGGGTGAGCTCCCGTTGCTCGGTCCCTGCTCCTGTCAACATAGCAGTTCGAAAGCACTTCAAAGTACAAGTAGATAAATAGGTACCACTACGGCGGGAAGGTAAACAGTGTTTCCGTGCGCTGCTCTGATTCGCCAGAAGCGGCTTAGTCATGCTGGCCACATGACCCAGAAGCTGTACGCCGGCTCCCTCGGCCAATAAAAGCGAGATGAGCACCGCAACCCCAGAGTCGGCCACGACTGGACCTAATGGTCAGGGGTCCCTTTACCTTTACCTTATTGCTGTGGAGTTGGTGAAAAATCCATTGAAGAAAAGCTGAGCTGCAGGACCATCTACACAGAGGTTGATTATGCAAAAAATATTGTTGTCCTTTCAAAAGAACCTGCGGTGCATCACCTTCCAAGATTTCAAGCACCCTCTCCAGAATTCGAGAGAAGTTTTTATTTTATTTTTAATGAAAAACTGTACTATATTAAATCACATCACAAATGCTCTTGGCGCCAACTTGTGACATTGGCGTCTGACCTGACTTAGGAATCAGCGCCCTCTGCAGGCAACACCAAATTTCATCCCCTTAGTGGCCTATTAGGGGGAATTGGGCTCGGCACCACTTCCAAGGAAAGAGCGCCCCCTAGTGAGTCGTAACATGTCATCTGGCTCTATGCTAGCAATAAATCTCAGAGCGTTCCTTAAACTGGTGCCCTGGGGAGGGAGCGTGGGTTATCAGGGAGTCTTCAGCATTTATTTACTGGGCAGAGCAGAGACGAATTCCCGGGCTCAGTTAATAGGAAGCGTCAATAGCACTTAGCTCCTCATAAATATTAATTAGGGAGGTGGAATCTCAAGTGGCCAGAAAGGTGCAGTTAATTAATAAGCAATAACAAATATCGCTGTCGATCAATTACACAGAGAGGCTACTGGGAGAGGATGATAGCAAAGCTCTTGTGGGTTTTAGCAGTGTTTAGGAGAGGTAGGCGAAGGAACAGGGAATAAAAAACACCCCTTCTCATCTCAAGAATTTGATAAAGTCCTGGGAATAACGTAAGGAACTGGGTATGTTGCATGACTGCATGTGAAACCAGTATTACACATAGCAAAAAATACAAAGTGCAATCCTATACATGTCTACTCAGAAGTAAGTCACGTAGTTTTCAATGGGGCTTACTTCCAGGGAGGTATGTGTTGAAACTGCACCCTTAGTCCAGTTGCCTATGTTGCAGAAATCTAACTGATGAATCATATCAGTTTTAACTGATTAATCAGCTGATGGATTAAGTTTGCCAGTGAGCAAACTAATAGTACTTTCTTTGTTTCTAAATGATATAAATGTGGGTGTCTTTCGTAAGCATCCCTTTCCTGCACGGGGAGAATGCCTCTTTTTACAGATGATGGTTCGCCACCGGCAGTTTATATCAGCTGTTATTTTGAAAACTGAAAAATAACTTCCAAAAAAATAAAATAAAGAAAGATGTTGCAGAATTAATCAGGGCATGTTGCAATGTGTGTGTGTGTGTTTTAGAACTTAGCATTAATATAGGGCATTCCAAGACAACCGCAGCTCTGTTATCTCAGTTCCCCTTACCACAGACCACAGACCTGAAAAGCAGGCCTGTATTAACTTGTCCACATCACAGATGTGAGGCTGAGTGATGGTGCCATTTTGGTTGGCATCTGTCTGGAGACAACAGAGGAGTGTGCCTTTGGCCACCCAGTGAGATTATGGCTGAGGTGGGATTTGAACAAACGACTCACTCCTCCTTGCCCACTGCCTGACATACCCATCACATTACTGGCAATGCTGAAGGCCACTGCATACAGAAGGTTGCCTTCTGTACCCTCTGAGCAGGATCACACGCTCTTCTTCGGTCAGGCAGGTATGGTGGAGTGTTCAACTTTTTAAAGCATCAAATGGAAGGAACACACACACACACTCCTAAAATCCCTTCAGTTTCATAGTGGGCTTGCTATGTGGCACTACTCTCAGTGAAACTTGGTTGAACACAGCCCAATATCTTTCACGGATTAGATTCCCTACTTCATGCATAATCATGCGCAGGTAGGGGGCATCCTCTCACCATTCTTTAATTAGCCCACTCTGTGAATATGGGAGATTAACTAAAGCATGTTAAGAGGCAACAAATCCACTTTAATTTTGCTTGTGTACATTTTCACACACTCTTTAATGGGTTCCTTTTACACCAGGGCTGTAGACAGACTGAGAGAAATCAAATAGCTCTGTATTCTTCTTGGTCAACCTGGAGATTTCTGTCACTGAAGATGGAGGAGATATAGAAAGACAATCCCACTAGGCCCTGCATCTCAAGCTATGGCCAGTGCCTCCACCTCCTCTAGAGAAATGGGGCATGAATGGTGCAATTGGCTTCCTGGGTCTGTTAGTTTCAATTAAATGTATGATAACTTAGAATTTATCTCCTTCCTTTGGAATCTCCAAAGCAGCAAGACTGTGCAACTGTTTCTTTAGACCATGTATGACTCCTTAAATTTAATCAATAACCAATCAGTTAGTTATAAAATTAATCAGTTTCAAACTTTTTAACCAATAGGTAACTCTAGTGGTGTTTTATTTAAAGGACTCGGGGAAGTTCCCCCACCTGGCCCCCACTCAAATGCCTGCACTGATTGAACATTATCGCACTGTGAGTATGAAGGAATAAAGAAATATAAAAACATAAATTCACCCTGGAAGCTGTTTTCCAAAGCAGTTGGGAGAACTAGACGGGTTTCAAAAACCCCGTTCAACCAGAATAGGCCGCAATGCTGCAGCGCAGGGCTAGAGGGCGCTGTGGCGCTACAGCGCAGAAGCCTGCGGATCCTGCCGCCCAAGAGGCGCTGTCCCGCAGCGAAAGTGCTGAAACTGTCCGGGTCCGGCGCCGCAGGGCGTCCCAGTTCCTCCCAGTCCCCACCCAGCGCCTCACCTCAAGGCCCTGCTCAGCTTGTCGTAGTTCATATGGGGCTTGCATTTACGGATTCCCCACAGCCTGGCCACCTCGTCCGGGTCCTTGATGACAAACTCGCCGTAGTCCCCTTGCCAGGCGATGACGTTCTGGTATTCTTCTTTTTGCAGAAGCTCCAGGATGAAATGCCACAGCTGGATCTGGCGAGAGCCGGGGCTGGACTCTGGCTTGTAGGCCCAGTCTGGGAAGGCGAACCCTGCCAGGAGAGAGGTGGAAAGAATAAACCGGCTGGGGTCTAGAAGGGAGGGGGAGTTGCACTAAGACAAGCCAGGAGAATCACTTACGTTTCTAGAGATCATAAGTTTGCTGGATCTTTCTCTCCTGCACCTTTGGAGCAGGTACGCAGGTACTTGCCTGCTGGGGCTCACGAATTCTGGAACCTCGTGAAGCATAGGAGCCAACTCCCAGGAGACAAGGGGTCTTCTGCCCCCTCCCCATAAAATATTTGAGGAGGCAGCCCTGCCCCCAACTTGATGGGCATTGCCATTCAAATGATGTACGTGCACTGTGTCATGTGATCGATTTTGAGGGCTGGGGCTTATTTTATTCAAGTTGGCAGCCCTGTTGAGAAAAGCAGCAGGACCTAACACTCTCTGGCGCAAGCCCCATACCTGTCTGTGTGGATGCAAAAAGAGGCTGCCCGTGTCCCGGAACATGGCAGTTTTCCCTCTCCCGCCCCGCCCCCCGCAGTATGGAAAGGAAAGGGGGTTAAATGTCCAAAATGCAGCGACCTCTCAGGAAACTGATGCATTGCAGTGCTGTCACCTGATTTAAAAGTCAATTGATTAAACGAGCTTTGGTTGATTAATTGATTAGTCCCTAGCTAAATCTACACAAGCTTGTATACGAGTAAAAAAAAAAAAAATCATTCTGAAACCAAATGTGCATTGCCTTTTTTTAGGGGGGGGTGGTTTGCTCATATATTTTTATTTATTTCATAAAATGAATAAAAAGGGGGAAAACTTCAAAACAGATTTACAATAAGTGGGGGGGGGAAGGAACTTGAGGATGGCAAAGGGGTGGAATGGGATTGTGAATAACTGATTTAACTTCAGGCTTCCCCCAGTCCTTTCAGAGGCTGCGTTCGCACACATATTTGGAACTAAATCCTGCTGAGACCTGCGGGACTTGCTTCTGACTAATCATGGACAGATTCAGGCTGTCAGTTTCTCAGATTTTAGCACTAATTGTCCATGCGTGTTTGTGTGTGTGTGTTTTAGAACAAAGAGGTCTAGAAGCTTGTTCTGGTTTGAAATGGAACGTGGAGGTTGTCATGTTTTTACAGAACAGCTGCTTGTTGTGGGGTCAGAGGGCATTCCACTGTTTCTAGTTCTATTTATTCATTTACTCAGCTTCTATCCCTCTCTTCATCCATGTATGATCCCAGGGTGGGTTACGGATAAAATAAAGCTTCAGTGAAATGCAAGAGCACTGAAATATAACTAAACAACCATATTAAAACCCCAATTGATATATTAACAGAGCAACAGAATGATTACAAATTTACATCTGGTTGATTCAAATCCCTGTGAAGGTGCCTGCAGAAGTCTGGATAAAGACTTGTGTCTTCAGCTTATGCTGGAAAGTCAACAGTGTCGGTACCAGTGACAATGGAGAGCAGGGCATTCCACAATCAGGAGAAGGTGCCACCACCAAAAAGGCCCTCTCATGTGCTGACATTGTACCTGTCTCACTCAGCAACAGGGCCATAAGAAGTGCCTCCCCTAAAACTCTTAAAACACAGCCTGAATGGTTTAGGGTCATATTGTTTTGTTGAGTTAAAGTGCTATAAACACTTACTTGGGACTAAGTCAACTGAACTCTGCAGGACTTATTTTTCATTACATTGCATGGATCAGGCTGTGGTAGCAACTTATGCTAAGAATATCATCGGTTAAAAATGGCCACAGTTAATTAATTAATTAATTACATTTCGCATGTTTCTCAAGGCAATATATGAACCCACCACAAAAACTGCAAAAAAATAGTTTTTAAGACAGTGCAAAAACAACAATTAAAGATTGGTTTGAAAACAATGCAAAAGGAACACCTTAAGTAAGAAGCAGTCTTGAGAATAGATTTTCCTGGGTGTATAAAAGTCGATTTCAGCTGGGCTGTGAATATTTTTTGCAGTACTGTATGCAGATAAGTTACAGTGCAGATTAATTCCAGGGGGTTGCTGTGTTTGTCATGGTAAACGTATGGCGCTGCAAAGATTAACTGGATTCTTGTATGAGTGTTTGTGGGATGCAGCCAGTTTGTCCAATGTATGAACAAGTATCCTCAGATGGCAGACAAAGGGCAAAAAATAGTATACAGTGATCCCCCCACTAAAAAAAAAGCCAGTAATATTTCATTGCCACGGTAAATTTGTTAGTCTTTAAGGTGCCACTGTAATGTATTGTTTTCATATGGATTTTAAAAGTTGCTATACCATACAAAGTGGTATTCCTGAGTAGTTTTTGTTTTTTTTAAGATACAGTATTGTATATGGGACATTCCTAAAAATCAAGTGAAATTGGAAGTGAATTTGAAATGGTTCAGTTAAATCTTGTTCCAATTAAAGCTAGGAAATATTTTTGTATGTTATAAGTCAGGGGTAATTCTTTGTTACATCATTAATCTTCTTGATTAAGACCCCAATCATTGTGTTTATTATTGAATTTGGAATGGTTGGACTGCCTTTTTATACTAGCTTTCTGAGGGTTTTTTTTTTAAAAATCCCTATTCTGTCAGCAATGAGTATTTTTCATACGGTGTTTCTCCTGCATGAAACTGCTGAATGCTCATTCACTTATCAAGAGGTTCAGCTCTGTCACTTGTGGCCTGAATCGAGATAACGGTTTTCTATCCCACTGCATGTATTAATTAGCATAGCAGTGCAGGGATGCTTGCTTTAGAATCAACACGGCTTTGTGAACAGCCACTATAATCATTTCACATACATTTAAGCATTAACACAATTAGCACAGTCTGTATTCATGCATTTCATTTCCCACTGCTTTCATTGCCAACATTTGTTTTCTGCCCACATTTTGGTGAGTACAGTATACATGTGCCATCTTAGGAAATCTCTAGTCCATGAAAGCTTGTGCCAGAATAAATTGTTTGTGCTTGAGGTGCATAAGACTCCATATTGTTATTTTACTGCATGCAAACGTTGACGTTACTTTCCCATAGATGGCAATTTCAGTATTTTTCACTCTATAAGACGCACCAGACCACAAGACGCACCTAGCTTTTCGAGGAGGAAAACAAGAAAAAAAATATTCTGAATCTCAGAAGCCAGAACAGCAAGAGGGATCGCTGCGCAGTGAAAGCAGCAATCCCTCTTGCTGTTCTGGCTTCTGGGATAGCGGCGCAGCCTGCATTTGCTCCATAAGACGCACACACATTTCCCCTTACTTTTTAGGAGGGGAAAAGTGAGTCTTATAGAGCAAAAAATACAGTATATTTGATCTCTTTTTGTTGGCCTGCCCCTTCGCCTCTTCTTTTTTAGTGGATGTTCCTCTTTACAATATTTTATTTTTGGTGTCTAACTCTACACCGCATGAACATTCATGCGCAGATCGTTGCATGCAGGCACACGCCGAATAAACCCAAATGTTTGTGCACATGGCAAGACCTTTGCTAGTGAGTTTCCTCTTACACTACTTATAAAATGTTCCCCGAGTCCTCCGAGATCTCTCCCTTGAGGCTGAGATGCTCTCCGCCTTGTAGTTATTTCCACTTTCAGATCTTCATTCTGCAGTGGGCTTGAATAACAACCTGACACTGTGTTTAAAAGCAGGCATCTCCAAGGAGCAGGGATAGCCAGCTCCGTCACCTCCACCCCGACTAATTAATCATGGCTAAAAGCTGAGCTCTCTCTGCAGCTCAGGAGGGAACGGACTTCAAGCAGGAGGTGCTGAGGGACACACTCTGGCCTCTTCTGTGCAGGAGAGGTCAGGCCGGCCTCTTCAGATCTGTGCCTCTATCTATGAATCTATCATTAACAGGCCTAATGAACTGCTGATCAATGCCTTGATTTTCAGTTACACAGAGCACCTTTGGCACCCCTGCAGTAAATTACATTCACTCTCCCGAAGGCCTCTCTCTCGGATGCCAGGGCCCTCGAAGTGTGAGATCAGCCTCTCAACAGAGGCGCAAATACTTTGCTGGGAAGTCCTGGGCACTATTGATGCCTCTCAAAGTGCAAAGGGGATACCTGTCGCATTCCTCTCCCCCTTGCATTAATTGAAGGCATGAGGCACCAAGGGCAAAGCACTCTTGGCCAATGGTATCGTAGCAGGACTGTACTGTAATGCCCACAGAGTTTCTACATCAGCTCTAAAATATGTGCAGTTTACCTGCAGGCCCACAGCCTGGAATATTAAGGTGTTGGTAAGCCCTAGGATAAAGCAGTGGTCTGTCTGTCTGTGTCCAGTAGCCTTCAAATATGAACACTACTTAACTTGCTCAGTGCTTTATTTTGACGAAGCAAAATTTAATTTATCACAAAGGGAGAATAAGTACCACATGGTTGTCTGTCCATTTTATACTGGGAGACTGGAACAGGAACATTAGCTCTTCATTCTCCCTACACAGTTTTCCTTTTATTTTTCCATAAGAAAAAAACAGCTAGCAGCCTAAACAGATAGACAGTTTTGTCTCAAAGGTTTGGTTTGAGTCACCCAAGGAGATTTGGGGAGGCTTCCCAGTTTCCATTCCCCATCTTGAACATGGGAATGTTTTCCTTGGGGTTTTTGAAATAGCAAGACAAGTATATATATATGTATTATTATTACTATTATTATAGCATGGGAGGCTGAACGAAATTTGCTTTTCATTTGTATAGCCTGCTCTTGGCATTTCCTGCTCTATTTGCAAAGCAGAAAGAGAGGATTCACCATGGTTCCAACTACTTCACTGAGCAGAGAAAATCCTGGACGGAGTCCTTGCTGCCGCTGTCGCTGCTGGATGATCTGTTTGCTCCCAAAGCACATTTGCAGTTCACATGGAGCAATGGTGCGGAGTAACAAACCACATAGGCTTGGGGTGTGTACCCCAATAATCCTACACAGCGTGTGAGAGCTCCTCAGCAGCGGACAGCTTCACACAGAAAAGTTTCCCTGGCGTTCGAAAACCCCTGTTGTAGGTGGAAATTGGCAGGTTCCTTCTGCACCAACCACTCCCATTACTTTTTGAAAGGGAAGCGCCAGCTCACAACTCCCCCAGGATCAAGACCTTATCAGCAGGTGGTGGGTTGCTTAGTGGTGAATGAATGACACTTTGTACATGCTCAAAGGCCGATTCTTTACACTTTTTAAGGAGACTACACCCTATTAATCACCCTGTCCTTTATTTTTAGGACCGCTTAGTAAATTACAGCTTCTGCCAAATTGACATGGAGTGCCTGGATTTAGATTGGCAGGAACAGGAATAAGTTTGCTCAGTCCAGACACCTTGAAAGGGCACATGTGTACCGGCCAGTTAAGTCAAAATGAGCCTTGATTAAAATCTGGGCCTCCTAGTCCTGTTTATCTGGCTCTTTGGTCTCTCCCCAGGCCATGACTCTCACTGGCCTTACAGCTCACTTCCTGGAGTCCCTTTGACTGGCTAAAACGTGTCCTTGATTATGCCTCTTGCTTGCCTCAGTGGATGGTGGAGAGATGTGGTTATAGCACTGCAGAAACCTCAGGCCTCTGTGTTGCTGAAATGTACCCTACTTTTTAAGAAGTAAGGGTCACATCCCAAGCCCCGCCCACCTTTGCCTCTGGCTCCACCCACCCCTGGCAAGTGGCTCCACCCACCCCTTAGAAAGTTGCCTATGGGGGGGGGGGAATGTGGGCCCCCAGGCTGAATAAACTTCCATGCCATGGATTTAAACTCTTTCAGGTCGTTCACCCTTGCAAACAAATGAACCAGCAAACTAGGCGTGTGATACACAACCGCAGAGAGGTTAAGCAAAACACACTTTTCCACTGCTGTCGCTAGAGTGCTGGGCCTGGCAATGTGATTGACTGTTAAATTGCCATGCATTGACGCTGCAAAAATAGGTGAAGTTGCTCCCCTTTTTCAAGGGAGAGCCAGGTGGTGTAGTTAATGTGTTGGATTCACAACGGGGGAAACTAGGTTCAAAAGCTGCATAGCCGTGATGCTCACAGGGTCACCACTAGCCTACCTCCCAGGGTTGCTGTGAATCTTAAATAGGGACATGGGAAAACCTGCAAATGTTGCCTTGTGCTTCTTGGAAGAAGGTGAGATGTGGATGCAGAAAAAAATACATACGGTGAGACTTTTCCTCCCCCGCCAACACCAGACTGCTAAGATTCTTCCTTTGACTGCCCTGCCATGGTTTTAGCCTCAGTGTATGGGGAAAAATAGAATCAGCTGGCTAATGAAACATGCAAGGCTTCTGTCCTCAGAGGCCCAGCATGGAAAAGAGTGCCCTGCGGTTAAAACCAGCTCCTTTGATTGTCACTATTGCCCCCCAGCCTTCAGCTTGGAGCTACAAACTCCACAGCAGTCTAGACCCTTGGGGGAGATTTTGCTGTGAGAGAGGGGGAGGGTGCAGTTCTTAGCTGTGTGAAATGAGTGGGTATGGTATTGTGTGTTTGTTTGTTTCTAACTAACTGGGAGAAGATGAACGTAGAAGCCACAATGGCTGTGTCTCATACAGTACATGTGGCTGGATTTGCATTTATTCATTGGATGGTCTCTAAACTGGATCCAGTTGCAGAAAAATCTCCTCTTCAAATTCTAATGTTTTATATTTACCAGATATCCACTAACGAGTCAAATATTTGCGAGTGAACCACTGAATATTTTACATATGATAATGTATCTTCCCTTCCTTTCTTCAGGCCCCTGTTTTCTGGTGGTTGCTTTTTATTATTCACAGCTGCGCTCACATTTTTTTTTAAAAAAAATAATCTTCATTTTTAATTCATTTTGTTGCTATGAATTCATTGAATAAAAGTTAGGCATACATTTTAAAAACAAATAACTTTGTTTTTTTCCATGTTGCATGCAATGGTATGTAGCATTTGATAGTTGACATGCAATAGTATGTAATGCTTTTTGACATTTGACACCTGTCAGTATCAAAACAATCAAGAGATATCAACAGGTCTAAAGCCCTTGAGATAATGGTTTCACCGTCAATGTCGAATTGGAATTCTGAAAATGAAATTTTTGCATGCCGACTTTTGATAGTGAGAGAACAGCAGGTTTCAAATATTTGTGAATGTTGATTTCAGCGTTATTGTATATGTCAGCAGCAGTAATGTGTAGCATTCTTTTGTACAATAGCAGTAGTATGTATGTACATAGGTACCATATCAGACTAGGTTTGATGTTGGGCATGCGATAAATAATGGTCTGAACACTTCACCTTATCTGTGCAGGAGCTAGTGAAGGAGAGAAGGAAATTCTGCACATGCTCAGAGGTCCCCTATTACTTACATATTGTGTGGCTAGCATTAAAAACCGACCAAATGGCACACCCATTTCTACTAACCGAAAGGAGCAAACTGCAGCAGAACATTTTGCCAAGTTCTATTAAAATGAATGGGAAACAGAACAGTAGTATCCATTATTTTCTTTTCAGTGTGTCCATGTTGCAAGGAATAAGTTAGCTCAGCTTTTCCCAAAGTTTCTTTTGAGCCATTTGTCACCAGGTCCTAGAAATTGTTTTTACCTGAGCTAATCAAACTAATAATACAGAAGAACACTGTGCCTCTCAGGAATTGCAGAGCTTATTCACCACTGCATGTGGACAGACTGCACTTGTGGTCATTTGGAAGAACAGTGTTTCATAGAATCATAGATTTGTAGAGTTGGAAGGGACCACGAGGGTCATCTAGTCCAACCCCCTTGCACCTAACATGGGGCTCAAACCCACAACCCTGAGCTTAAGAGTCTCATGCTTTACCAACTGAGCTATCCCAGCTCAGGCAATAAGGAATGATTTCTACAGATTTATTTTAATCGCATTTGTTTTCATGGCATTGGGGAAGACAATATGTTCACCCAAGCCCCTGCATGGAATCAGGGTACAGGGCAGAAATGAAGGCATTCTTGATGCCCATTAACACATGGTGTAAAATGTGTGTGTGTGTACTTCCCTTTGTTCTGCCTGTGCAGCATGATTTAAAGCATTTTGTCTGGGATGCGGGTTCAAGCCTTCACTCAGCCACAGAGTGACATTCAGCCAGTAGCCTAACCTACCTCACAGGGTTGTTGTTCTAAGTATAAAATGTGGTGGTGGTGGGGATTTGTACACTGTGTTAAACTCACTGGATGAAAGGTAAGATAACAGTGAAATAATAGATAAATAAATAAATAAATAAAAGCATCAAGTTGCCTACTGTTGGAATTCATAGCTAGCTGAGCTCAAACACGTGTTTAAAAAGAAACATGTGTTTTAAAAGAAAGACAGCTTAAGAATTATTAGGATAGGGCCACTGGGCTCCAGAAACCACAGAACAGAGTCTGGCGATTGGACCTCTCCTTGAGGGCTCAGCTAAAGTGACAATAATAAGGACTTGTGGTTGTTTCCAAAGCTAGTCCTACTCAGAGTAGACCCATTGAAGTCAATATACATGACTAACTTAGGGCCATTGATTTCTTTGGCTCTACTCTGAGTTGGATAGAGCCCTTGGGTGGGTGGGTGTGTGTGTGTGTGTGTGTGTGTGTGTATATATATATATATATATATATATATATATATATGTACCCCTGCCCGTACGGGCCAGTCTTGACAGACTCTAGAGTTGTGCGCTCATCTCACTCTAGAGCCTGGGAGCCAGCGCTGTCCGCAGACACTTCCGGGTCACGTGGCCAGCGTGACGAAGCTGCTCTGGCGAACCGGCACCAGAGCAGCACACGGAACGCCGTTTACCTTCCCACTATAAAGCGGTCCCTATTTATCTACTTGCACTTAAGAGTGCTTTCGAACTGCTAGGTGGGCAGGAGCTGGGACCAAACGATGGGAGCAAGTCCTAGGCACTGAGGTTTTACCCACAGCGCCACCGCGTCCCTATATATATATATATATATTCATATTTTTGCTAACTCCTTGACTTCCTGATTTGGGAAAGACATCTCAAACAGCACCATCTGTGTGAGTTTGTAGGTGGGTATTATGGTGGTGATTAAATTTGCTTTGACTTCTTGGGTACATCCCCAACCTGTTGAAGGTGCATAGTGGTGTGGTGGGCCATCTTAAGCTTCTTGGAGGGGGGGAGGAAATAGGTGAGGTATAAATGCAATAATAAATAAATAAATAAATACGGCACAATAAAAAAGCAGGAAGTAAGGCAAAGGAGAAAAATGTTGGTTCTAGTTGTATCTTTTCATTAAAAAATTGAGGTAGCTCAGTTGGTTAGAGCCCAGTGTTGATAGCCCCAAGGTCATAGAGTAATAGAATAATAGAACTGTAGAGCTGGGAGGTACCCCAAGGGTCATCTAGTCCAACCCCCTGCGATGCAGGAATCAAGGTTTGATCCCCGTATGGGACAGCTGCATTTTCCTGCATTGCAGGAGGTTGGACTAGATGATCCTCAGGGTCCCTTCCAACTCTACAATTCTACCAAGTCCTTTCCAACTCTACAGTTCTATGATTTTCCAACGGGGGAGGGGGAGCAGCACTGGCCAAGTGAGATCGCCCTGGGTGCTTATAGGAACTGGAAGACTGAGATATAAATCTCTACATAAAGAAACATAAACTTTTAAAAGTGGTGGATATGCTGGAGTCTCACCTGGAAAAGAGCTGGGCCGGTTTGGTCTATGGCCAGATCTTCCCTGAAATTAACCCTCGCTGCTGATAAGTGTGTGTGTGTGTGTGTGTGTGTGTGTGTGTGTGTGTAAAGCGAAGGCAATTCTACCTGGAGTCCAGAGAGCAGGAACCGGCGAGGTGAGCAGCAGGTCCGAGACGCAGTTACAGTCCATGGCGCGAGAAGGTTACACCTGCAGAGGCGGAGAAGGGGAGGAGGGTCGTGAGATTGGATGGGTGGATTGGGGAGAGGAAGCACAAACAAAAGGAGGGTTTGTGCCGTTTGAGAGAGACAACTGGATGAATGCGTTAGAACAGCGAGGAAACTAGTTCAAAAAAAATGGGGTGGGGTAGGGGGGAAGTGGTTGGGTTTTTTTTTCAGGAGACAGCAGAGGAGATAAAGTTCTGTCAAGCTTCTCAGAGGGCGACGGGCCTCCTGCTGCATCCGAAGGACTACAAGCACTCACGGACTAAGGCCGAAGCCGCCAGCCAGCCCAACCCTCAATGCCGACCCGAGCTCCATTCCCTGCGCCCGCCGGTGCGCAAAAAGCTCAGCAGCGCAGCTCGGCGCGAAGAGGGAGAAAGAGCCCCGAGCCTTCGACCCGCAGAACCCGCGAATTATTCGCCTCTCTTTTGGGGTGCCTGCCGCTGTATTCCCCAGAAGTTCGGCCCTCTCCCCACAAGCCGCTTTCAGTTGAAGTACTCGGAATGGGACGATCCGAACTCGGAAATAAGCCGGACTCACGAGTTATTACTAATTGTGGGTCTGCTCCCCTGGAATGTGGGAAGGGTCGAATTAATTGGCATTTCCTTCCAATTAAACTTGTTGGCTTCAACCCCGAGGCATCCTGGGCTTTGTTGCGAGTTGGGCTGCTGGTGTTTTGTCGGCCTGGGCAATTGCGTCTGCGTGCATTAAGGAACGCTGTGTGCCCGTGGTCGTGTGAACACGTCCCCAGAGCGTGTGCACATTTAAATTAACGGTGCTGCCTTGCACATATACCTCTGCGTGACCCTGTGTGTGTGTGTGTGTTTGTGTAGATCCATTTGGCCCTTGGGTGCTGGTTTCCATAGAATTATTATTTGTTAAATCTGTATACTGTATTACTTATTAAATACGTCTGAGAGGGAGGATGGTCGCCGCCGTCAACTGCTTATTTGGCGCCGTCTCGCATGCCGAGAAGCCTCCGCCCAGTTGTATAACTCCCCACAAGTCTACCCCCAAAACACCCGCAGCAGCCCACCCAACAAAGCGAATATTGAGGGCGGGAAGGGTAAAGTTTCTTTTCGTAACCTGCACATTATCATTTTACCCAACCCCTTTCAACAGAAGAGCCACAGGGAAAGAGAGAGGGCAACAGGTAACCCTCATTCAATTAGAATGCGCTCATTCAATTAGAACAAAAAACAGACCGCGATCCTAAACACAGCTCCTTGAAAGTTCGTCCCACGCTGCATTTGATGGAACTTTCTTCCCCCAAAGCAGGCATAGGATCGAGGCCCAGCACCAAGCCCCCTCAGAGCCCGTGAAGGGCTCCCCTTTAATTGGAGAGGGGCCTTCTTCACACACACGAATATTGCAAACCCTTGGAGTGCAGCCTTGCACGAGGACAGGGCCGCTTCCGCAGAATACTCACCTGCTTCCTCCACGCCAGCTAGCAGAATAGGGTTTGTTGGGCCCAGCCGCCCTCTTAGGAATCTGGCCCAGTTAGCTCAGCCCTGCCTACACCGACCGGCAAAAGCTCCCCAGGCATTTTTTCTATCTGCAGATACCCATGACCGAGCTAGGCCTTTCCGCGTGCCGAAGCACGACCTCATCGCAGCTCTTTCGCTCGCCTCTCCCCAAAAATCACACTCGGAATGTCCGATTCTCCCCGCCAAAACTTCAGATTCACAACAGCAATAATAAATAACAGCAAATGTACTCATACCACCAGCGCGCTTTACAGCGGTAGCAAGCAGGGAAGCGAAAAGAAAGAGGAAATGGAAAAGGACAAGTCTCTGCCCGCAAGGAACTTACAAATTACGAAGGGAGGAGGAGGAAAGGGAAAGACAAGGCAGCAGAATAACCGAGGAAGGGTCTATACTTACGGTTTCCCCGCATGTAGATGCATATTCCTATTAAGTTGCATTAGCTTCCCACCCCCACCCCGCCGCGCCCTTTCTTGTCCCCTGCTTCCTTTCTCCCCACGGATTGCCCCATTTGCGCCCCACAAGGGTTTAAAGCCCATCCTTACCTCTTTCCCGCGCCACGCGTCCATCCGAGGGATTTTTTTGGGTGCCCAGAGCGGGGGCAGTGTCCTCCCTGGTTCTTCACGAAGCATCGTCAAGCTTTCCGCCAACCACACCCCCCCCCGCGCCCCAGATCAGCCACCTTCCCCCCCCCACTCAGCCGGCTTATTTGGCGGCTGAAACGCGCCTCCTCCCTCTCACTCGCCCCCACCCGCACTCCCCCTCCAGCCACCCCGGGGCCGAGCGCGCGGCTGGCCGGGCTGTCAGATAATTACCGCGGCGGCGGAGGAGCCGGTGCCCTGGGCGACTCCGCTCGGCGCCTGGCGAGTGACACGCGGCCCGCAGAGCCGCATCATTTATGGATTCGCCCCCCGGACACGAAAGAAGGAGAGGAAGAGAAGGAGAGAGAGAGAGAAAGAGAGAGAGAGAGGGGGGGAACGCGCACCTGTCTTCCTCGCCTGCCCCTTACACGCTCGTTCCTTCTTCCCTTCCGTCCCTTGCACATTCCCCTTTTCCTCTCCCTTCTTCTCCCCCTCCGTCCCTTCTTCTCTTAACTTCTCTCCCGCTTCCCTCCCCGGGAGCCCTTCATTCTCCCTTATTCCTTTCACACAGACAACCACGCAACCCTTTTCTCTCTCTTCTCCCGTCTTATTCACATTCCCTCCTTCCCTCTCGCGCTCTCCTCCCCTCTCCTCCTCAGCCTCTCTCCCTTCTTCTTCTTTTTTCACCTCCTTCCACCTCCACACTCTCCTCCTCCTCCTTTTCAGGGCCTCTTTCGCGTTCCCTCCTTTTCTTCCCCCTTCCACGCCCGCTCCTTATCCCGTGTTGAGTTCCTTCTCTTCCTCCTCTTCCCCCGCTTTCGCACTCTACTCTTCCACTATCCTGCCCTCCCTCTCTCCCTTCTGTCTCCCTCTACCCCTCCACCCGAGGAGCGCTAGAAACGAGGAGCGAGGGTGATGGCGATGGGGCGATGAGATGGGGCTGGTGGGGAGAGGGTCCGAGCTCCAGCCGTCTCCTGAGGTGTCCGGGTGCGGCGGCAGAAGCCGCTCCAAGGGTGACGGCGCCTGAGCTCAGCGCTCGGCTCCGTTTGTCTTCATTAGGGGCGGGTGTTTGCTTGTAACTACTCCTCACTTCCCCACAACAGCTCCACCGCCGGCATAAGGCGGGCTGGAGTGGCGGGGGTGTGCGTGGGGGAGGCGGAGGGGGGCGGCGATGAAAGAGACTCTCGCTGCTAGAAGCGAAAGTAAATAGAAAAACAGCCAGAAGAGACGAGGAAGGAGCATTTGCGCTCACCACCACCCCGTCTCCCTGCCACACAACTGACTGTTGTTGTTGTGTTTGTGTGTCAGAGAGAGAGAGAGAGAGGAGGAACAGGGAGCAAAAAGTCAGCAATCCCCGTCCCTCCCGCAGTTGTAAACGCAAACATGTTTGAACAAGAGATATTTCCCAAGGCAAGAGGGAGTTAAAAGTATTGGCGGCAGAATGGCCCAAAACTTTGATTCAAGCGGTATAGTGTGGGCGAGGAGTGGCGTCCGGCTCTCCTCTGACAAGAACCACTTGTGTGTGTGTCTTCTCAAGCGGATGCTACCAGTTTGGGGGTGGGGTGATGTTTTTTTAGACTGGGATGCAGGTGGAGAAATAGAAGCCTCCACCTGCCTCCGCCCAGTTGCTCTCCAGCCGCGCAGCTGCTTATGCCCATCTTCCCTGTGCAGGTTATGTCCGTCTATCTCTGTATTTACAAAGGCGGGGGTTTAACACTTCCAACATAGGCGCAGGGACATAAGATCAAATTCCAGAGATCTGGTGACCCGGCCTTAGCAGGGTGTGTGTGTGGCTGGGAGACGGCGGAGGAAGAAACATGAATGACCGGAAATTGAGGAGCGAGAGAAGATAGAAGATAGGCAGGAGGAGTGATGGGGAGACGCTCCACAGAGAGGTGTATTTAGACATCGTATCTGGAACAGAGTCGGTTTAAGACCAGTTTAGCAAGACACATTAGCAACTGAAATCGAAGGGATCGGGGTGTTCAAAAACGCCGATAGATAACAGGGACGTCGCAGATTTGTCCCTGCGTTCAGCACCGGGGACAGCTCCGCCTAATAGCGAAATGGCGCTTTTCTCTTCCAAGCAACTCAACACAGAACGCAATACGGATAGACATAACTTCCACCCAGTGTCACCCCCTTGCCACCTTATTTCATGTAGTATCCCCTCACCTGCCCCCCCTTCCCGAGCTCCAAGGATGTCACCAAAGCCCCCGTCTTCCTCTCTGCGCGCCCCCCGCCGCCAGCTCCCAGCCTCTTGTCCTTGGTTGCAGTAATTTTCCGTTTGATTTGGGAGGTAATGCATTTTTTACAAATCAAAGAGGAAGCTAGCAGATCCCCCCGCAGGCCCCCAGGAGCCGGGGCCCAGATGAGAGGCGCAGATCATTTCCTTGTTAGTTTTGATTTCGGTTACCGAGGCTTTCAACTTCCCTCCAACCTCCTGGAGAAATGTTATAACAAGTAGCCGAGGGAATTTTCCCTTCTTTGCTTCCCCACTCCTTCCCTCCCTCCACACCCCCTCCATTTCTGCCCCCTCCCCTTCGCTTTCTCGCTCGGTCTCATCTCTGCATATTTCTAAAGCGAGGGGGGCGTAAAACAGCCGTCCAAAACTGAAAAGAAGGACGCAGGAGAGACACGAGGCACCCAGGATGCCCCCCACCACCACGTCGCCCCCACCCCTATGAGACCGCCACTTTCTTATTTATATATTTATTCACTCTCTTCCCACAAATTTTCCCCACGCGGTCTTTTCGAGAGATCCAAACATATTTTTTGAAAGTTAGCGTTTCAGGTCAGAGGGATTATAAAATCAAGACACCCAGGTTTTCTATTTTTATTTTGGGTGGGGTCTGGTGTTATTTTTGGTTAGGATTAAATGTTTGCTGTAAATGTGCCTCCTCTGC